GCTACTCCGTAGACTCTAGAGCTCATCTACGTGTCTCGGTGGAGCTGGAAATCTCCTCATTCATTGCTGTTGAGGTGGCTTAGGCCCTCGAATCAGCCGTCATGAAGGCTCCTAGACTGTCCTATCAATGTCCACGACGCTGTCCACCTGACTGGAGCAGGCATTGGTGCTAGGGTGTTGGTAGCTTCAGAGATCCTACAGTCTACAGACACCTGGCGTACACACAGTCAGCAGCTGCGACTATGATTTGTCGGATACTCACGACTCGACTCACGACGACGTTCAGCACCGAGCTGGATCTATGATCACGTACATCGACAAGGCTCTTGAACCCACGATCTGACCTTGAGAGGAGACTTTCTATACTGAATATTGAATTGAAGGCTACACATGCATACCATACCACCAACTCTCCAAGAGGATATGCTGTTGCTCCACGCAGCAAGACCAGTTACCGCCAGCCGCACACGGAACTACAATCTATAAGGGTCTGAAAGGTAGGGCAGACTGGTGACTGTCCTCCAGAACGGTCGAAGTTGACCTGAGGAGATGCTGTGTAGAGACCAGACATGTATGTCTTTTGGATGATATCATCAGCCTTGCCCTTCCTTGTTCCAACTCCTTCTCGTTCTTATCTTTTTCTCGTTCTCGACGTCCATCCTCGGCAGCAACCTGCAAGGGCCAGGCCCTATGTACCTCTGTTGAGTACTGTCATACATATTGCCCACTACCAACCCTTCAAGAATGGAAGTTCAGCCTGGGATAAAAGAATAGAGAAATAGAGAAGACCAAGCCAACATGGTCGTTTCTGGGCTGGTGCCGGCTAGATCTAACTACGTATTTGCTGCCACATAGAGCAGACTAATGTCGTCTGGCATCTGGAGATCCTTTAGGGACCGTTCTTGGAGCGGTTAGATTTGACGGACCACAGTACGGAGTATATACGACTACGTAGTCTATACTAAAATTATATCTTTAGATTGCTGGTGCAGTTATTTAGCCAAACCCACAACCGCCTCCGTCGCCGCCTGACAGCCCCCAACGGCGCAGGCTGCACCAGCTGTCTGTTTCGTTCTGTGGAAAAGGAGTCTGACGCCTCCTACCATGAAGCTTCAGTTCTCTTGCAAGTCGATTGGCAATCGCATGCTTGAATTGGCAGGCCAGAGTTGATTTCTGAAGCCCCAGGCCAGGCATGACGCATCAGTATCAGGAGAGCAACGTCCTTCCTGTCTCCACCGTTTACTGTGGGAGCTGTACTGTATGAAACAGACGGTCTGGGACTGCGCCAGACTTCCAGCCGAGCGTTCATGTGCTATATTGTGCTGTGCTGGCTGCAGTGGTTACTGCTCTCTTGTTCGAAAACGCTAATCATCATTGCAGAGCAGGTCATGAAATATTACGACACCATTGTCACACTCTCTACAGTCCCTTCAGTCACGACTTCCACACCGGCGTCTTCGAAACTCGAGTCCGTCCCTACATGTCGATCTCAAGTGCGCGTCCGACCAAATCAAATCAGAGTCTCTACTCTACCTCAATGACATTCCAGGGCAAATCTGGTGTCTGGCCAGCCAGCGAAGCCACCCCAAAGAAAGAAAATGTAATGAGCGTGTCCGGGGAGCCGAGTCTGGCTGAATGATGGAAGGTGGAAACAGCAGACTCGGGTTCGTGCCAAGATACATTTATGTGCCCACGACCGGGTCTGGATACTGGTGCCTCCATGAACAGCTGTCGCCGTTGATTCTGCTCGCTCCAAGGCGATTGCTCAGGCAGCCAGGCAGCCAGGCCACTCAAAATAGATATCAGATCCAAAATCTCGTTGGAGACAGAACCTGGTCCTCTCTCAAGCCACAGCATCTCGTCAAGAACCGTTGACCTGCTGGGAAGCTCTATTTCCCGACAAGAGGAGCCAACATTTGGCTGTTGTCTCTCCAACCACGCCCGAGCTGCTCTGCTGTACACAGGGGGTGTTTGATCAACAACGAATTCCACAATGAGGCGACCAGGCAGTCCAGGGCATCACTCATGCCACTCTACACAGACATGTCGAGTCCCCTGCGTCTCGTCACATACTAAGTTCGCCAGTCCCAACCCATCAATCTTCCAATGTATGTCACACCTCCCTCAGCAACGCACAACAAGCCACCAAGGGGCGTGGTTCCCTCTTCTCGCGTCCTCAGCCATGCAAGCATACCGTGATCTTGTCAGCCTGTCGGAGTTTCGCCGAGCGATATGGTCAAGACTCACCGTCGGTCCGGTTTCAACAGCCTTGGAAGGAAGAGGAGGGTATCTAAGAGGATACTAATACGGGAGTTTTTGGCATCGAGCCGATACTAATACGGGAGTCGTTGGCATCGAGTCGATGCACCATTCTGGGAATAAAGGACACAGGGTAATAAACACAGAACGGAGACCCTTGCAAGAGGTAGGTACCAAGTCCGACCATCCTGGATAGCTTCAATTTACAGCATCGTCGAGGATGACTCAATTGGCTTCTTTATCTTCGACCATACTCTACTGATGGTACACATACTCTACACTGTAGACACAGACACCTGATGTACCAAGACCATAGACTGGCTTCTTTCTATCTTCGACCATAGCCTACTGACGGTACACATACTCTCATAGCCTACTGATGGTCACATACGCTGCAGTATAGCATAGACACTTGATATACCAAGACCCAGACCAGGTACAGAACATGCATGATACATGACCAATATACACAGACAGAATACTGAGTACAGAAGACACGAGCAATATACTCTTAAGATAGCCACACACAAGTTCAATATAAATCCACACGAACCGAAGACATGAGATTCATGATTCCGAAAGAGTTCTTCAGCAGCACTGACCTGAGACCTCAGACCTCGCCCGATAAACTGACATACATACATACCTACAGAGGACGACAGAGCGCGAAGCCCATTCCAGCCCTACTACATCCTAGGAATCTATAGGTATGTAAGTAGTGGTTTCTAGCCCTACTGTTAAGGTATCCTACCTACCTTAGGTGATTAGTGGTTTGTTCTTCAAAAGTCTCGCTGAGAAAAGACATGACGAACCTATCGTGGTGTGCCGTGTTCGCAGTCAAGAGCACCTTTAGGTACCTACCTACCTACCTACCTGCACGTACTCCGTACTCCGTACATCTCTTTCTCAGAAGTATTGTCCTACCTACCTTGTGTAGGGTATGATTAGCTAAAACACAGCAAAGCATGAACTATACGAAGACAGAAGACAGAAGATAGAAGACAGGACAGGAGACAGCCAACACCATTCCTAATATTTGGTATTTTATTTGGTATTTAGTATTCAGGTATCCTGGTTTATTTTTATTTTTCTGCTCCTCCATGTGCGGTGCATGTCCTCTTGGAAATATTGTGTCGTGCTGCATTGTATCTATTATTTTGTATTCGATACTGTACGAAGTAAAGTTTTCAGAAGTAGAGAGGTATTATCATGATAGCCCGCTGCAATTTATGTATTCCCACTTTCACTTTCCTTCCTTCCTTCCTTTCTTCCGTCCCAGTCGGCGAGCCGGTCTACACTGCAGGTCTATGCACGTACCTACGTACCTACTCTTGTCCTAACATTTCTAAGGAGTTAGTTTATTCGTTGACCGATAGATCTTCCATGTGCCCCGTGCCCCTTCCCTTCTTCTATTCCATCGATATAACCCTATCCCCATCCCCCACTCCAAGTCCCCACGAGTCACGACTGTGGGAGTATACTTACTGTAAGGTGATTGCTCGTGGGTTTGATGGCGTATATGTACAGTACATAGATAGGCCAAATATACAAAGGAGAAGGCCGAACTAGGTAGGCAGGTATCGGTAATTATCGATATTTCTATAACTATAACTAAAACTACGAGAGATCTAGATCTAAATACCTCTGAACTAGACCACGACCACGACCACGACCACGTCCATGACCACGACCACACCAACAACCACACCACGTCCACTCTGATATCCAACATGACGCTGGACAAGGCCGAGTCATGTTCCTACTATGCTACCAAATGCCAGATACTCAGAAGAATCCAGACAGGGCCTCGGCGCCGCTCCTACTGCACAAAGTACTCCGTATTGAGCTGAAAACGACCACCGTCCTCGTCCTCGCTTGGGCTGTCCTGTCCAGCCTTGCTGGTGCGATATTAATGGTCGGCAGGAGTACGGAGTACTCAGTACGGAGTATGTATCCGTGCACTCCGAGCATCAAGTTTGCCAACTTAATCACCTAACAAAACAACCTTGACCTCGAGACATGGGAGCCCGGTCATGGACAGATATGTACGGATATATGTCAAAGGTTGAAAGGTTCCATGTTCTCTATCAAAGGTTCGCAGGGGGAGCGCAGGCTGTATACATAGTATGTGTAGTACGCCTAAACCAGCCTTTTGATTAAACCACAAGCTTGGAAATGCCCAAAGTCACCTAGGTAGTGCCCAAGTCAGACAGTATACCAGGCTGTATCAAGCAACTCCCAAGTAACTTGATACCAAGACTGCTCGTGTATCTCCCAAGTCAACTCGCCAGCTCATGTATCGAAAAAAAGGGGACAAAAGGACGCAGAATGGCGGCGACCGATAAATCAAGAGTCCTGCTTGCACATATCTTAACATAATCTCTATCTCTATGTCTTTTCTGCAATGCTCATGCTGCTGCTCATGCTGCTGCTGCTTATCCCGAGGACATCATGAACATCTCGTTCATCATGAAGCCAAGTCTACCCCATCCCGGTGTCGTCCCAACTGTACAAGATGACATCCATGAACCTGTCGCCCTGTTCACTCAGGGACAAACCACACCGGCCCGGCTCAATGCACACAATCTGTCTATCTTCCAAATCCACCCTGACGCCGAAACCCCACGAATTTCAATGTGGCTCACAGCCTATTTTGATGTTCCGATTTCGGAAAACCATGTCCGTGACGAAATTTGCAAGAAGAGAAAATCACTCGTCCATACCGTACGTTGGCCAAATTTCTACCAGCGGCTGCGGCCGAGGGGGGCAGAATTGGAAGAAGTGAAGCCGCCGCCGCCGCCACGGCCTCCGCGACCACCGCCGCGTCCATAGCCACGGCCACCACCTCCGCCGCCGCCATAACGTGCCATCTCAGCAAGACGAGGGTCGATGTTCTGCTTGGACTCTGTCAAGATATTGACCAAGTCACGGGCTTGTTTGGCATCTGTCACGCAATAGTCGTTAGTATTCTGGCCGACCAACCACTAGGGACCATTTGACACTTACTTTCAGTGCTGAAAAGCGTAATGGCGGTTCCTTTCCGTCCAGCTCGTCCTGTCCGGCCGATGCGGTGAACATAGTCTTCTGAGTTGTTGGGATAGTCATAGTTGAACACATGAGTAATGTCTCGAACGTCTTGAAGTATAGGTTAGCAAAACAGCCAATGGAAATCTTACGAGGCGTCGGGGACCATATGTGGTCGTGTGAGCGAGATGCACATCACTCTCTCTGAAACTCGGAGCATTATCCGTTTGGATGGCCAATGTCCATGTCCGGGGGTCGGCAATCGTCTACGGTCCTTGGAAAAGGAGATCCTGGTTTTTGCAGCTGGATTTGGTCAAGATGAGTGGTTCCACCACCTACTCGTTCTTACGGAGCAGAAGTGGAAGTCAAAATGCTGGACCCTGGCAAACTGCAAGATCAAAAAGATCCAAGATTTCCGAAACAAGGACCTAGGAGAACAAAGAGCCTGGACAATTACGCCAGGTCGGGGGCGTAACGAGCGAAGAGAGCGCGCACCATATCACACGACGGCAATGGTAAGAAATGCATGAAACAGCATATACAAGTGGAAAGAAGGGGGGAGGGGGGTCGTTTTCTGTTCATACCAATACCACGGGATGCGACATCCGTAGCAACCATGACTGGACTCTTGCCAGTCTTGAATTCGTTGAGAACCCAGTCACGTTCGTTTTGTTGCTTGTCGCCATGAATTGCTGTTCACTTTGTTAGTCTGGACAACCCTGATCGGATGTGGAGGGGGGTTAGCTTACAAAGCGCTGGCCAACCGTCTTGACGCAAGAATCGAGTGATCTCGTCAGCAACGCGTTTGGTGCCGGTGAAGATCAGGATCTTGTTGTTTCGATCTTCCATGATCTGTTCCAGATGCTTCACCATCCGGTCTCTCTTTTCGAATTCGGAAACGACTTCGACGATTTGGGTAATGCGGTGGTTGGCGGACAAATCCATAGATCCGATGTTGACTTGGATGAAATCATCGAGGAAATCAGACGCGAGTTGTCGGACCTCCTTGGGCCAAGTTGCAGACCACATGCAGGTTTGTCGGTCGGGACGGATCTGGCCAATAATCTTGCGGATCTGAGGTTCGAAACCCATGTCAAGCATGCGGTCTGCTTCGTCGAGAACAAGGTAAGTGACACGACGCAGGTTAGTCTTGCCGGACTCGAGCATGTCGATGAGACGACCCGGGGTCGCAATGCAAACTTCCACACCCCTGCTGAGGTCGCGGATTTGGCCACCCTTGGGAACGCCACCATAGACACACGTATTTCTGATGCGAGAAGACTTTCCAAACTTGGTCATTTCCTGTTGGATCTGGACGGCGAGTTCTCGAGTGGGAGCCAGAACAAGCACAATGGGGCCATCACCTGGTGCCAGAAGCGGCTGGGCATTGATGTGGACGATGGCGGGAAGACAGTAACTGAGAGTCTTGCCCGACCCGGTCTCAGCAATACCCACCACATCACGACCAGAAAGCGCCATCGGCCAACCTTGGGACTGAATTGCTGTTGGATGAGTGAAACCTTGAGCCTTGACTTCAGAGATGACATAAGAAGGAAATCCAGCCTCGTCGAAGGTCTCGACAGGGCGTGGGACATTGCGGCCTTGGATTGTAATTTCGTGTTTTCTGCGGAACTCGTCGACCTCTCGCTGTGATCGGGCCGTGACCGCAGGGTCCTCCTTGTAGAATGATTTTTCGAACTTGGGCATAGTAGCCGGGTCCCAGTGTTGCTGTTTCAGTCCCGCGCCCAGGTTGGACATCTTGTCGCCGGCGCCGCCACCACCGCCACCAGAATATCCGTTGGATCCGCCATAGCCACCGCCGGAATAGCCGTTGGAATAGCCGTTAGATTGACCGCCGTAACTAAAGATATGTTAGTAATGTTGTTACGCATGAGACAATTCGGCCTGCACTGCGAGGGCAAACCGCAGTAATCGCGGCGGTGAATGCGCGACAGTGATGACAGCGCAGAGATCAAGTTGCGAGGCCACATATGGTGGAGGGATTTCACATACCCGTTGGAGTAACCGCCATCTCTTGACGAGCCGTAGCCACCGCCGTAAGACATGGTTGGTAATTACTTGTTGGAGGTGAGAACAGCAGGAAACGGAGAGAACGGGAGCCTAGGGAGTCTCGGAGATATTCTCTGAGAGATCTCGACAAAGCTGAGGAAGTAAGAAGATGGAGATCCGCGAAAATGCGAACGGAGAAGAAGTGAGGTTGAAGAAAGATTTGTAGCAAAGGGGCGAAGACGAAATTTTTGGAACAAGGAAAGAGGCAGCCGTAGGCACTAGCGGCAGGACTCACTGTCTGCGGCAACTTTGCCGAGCGCGAAATTTCTAGAGTCTTGGCGACACTAGATTCCAGTTGATCACGTGGGCGGTTGGAATTATCCTGCTGCTATAGGCGGCAGTGCCGTACTACTACAGAGTATGTGTGAGGTGTGCAAGAGTGGCGTTTCATTTCAAGAGCACCTTATTATATGTAGCCGTACACCCTGCTGGGATGGGTTCGATCCCATTCCATGACTAGGGAGACCGTTGGCAATCTCCAGCTAACCCCCCTTTTTGGTCATTGGAACTATGCATTACCACCGAGGCCCCAGATATCTGGCATGTCAAAGTCGAACAACGTGTCTGCAAATACATTGAAATGCTCTCCAATCGGTGCAAAGGGATCAAGCTCTGGCAGCACTTGGGGAGGGGTGGGCTCACCAGTCGCCTCAACCAGGGTAGGTGCAGTGCTCCCCGTAGCATCTTCCTGCCCAGCTAGCTTGGCTGGAATCGTTTGGTTGTCCATCATTTCGCCATGAAGTTTGGCCACGTGATTGGCAATGTCTTGTGCATGCTCTTCTGCTGGTTTCCCTGGCGACATCTTGGACCGAACCAATGCAAGCGCGCTACAGGAGAGCCAGAAGGGATAGAATCCTTGCCCAAGGTGTCGAATGCGGGTTTCTAGGATACCAACCACTTGTTCAATGAGAGATGCCGATAAGTTTTTATCTCCCAAGATATTATCACTCGTTGTCGCCTCCGCGACAATATCATGGCAAAGCGCTAGACTTGCACGGAACGAATCGCTGCGGAGATTGGTGAGGCTCAACGCGCTGCTTGGTCGCATGCCCACGTATGTCTTTAGCGTAGTCACTGCTGCACTGCGGTAGGCGACGCGTGGGTAAAAGTGCCGTGGATGTGCCTCGGCTTGTGCTGCAAAGGGTTGGTGAATCAGCATAAGGTATTCATAGAGCAGCAATTCCGAAAGATCACGCGACATGGCCTTTGCTGCAGCGTCAGTCCATCTAGGCAGAGCATCGAGGATTTGTCGGAGACCTTGATCGATCTCGATAGCAGAGTCGCTTTCAAGACAGGCCCGGATACTGTTGATCTTGGATAAGATCTCTAACCTTAAAGGTAGGTGTTGTTGGGCCAGGCAAAGGAACGAGGTCCGTGTGAATGTTGTGATTGGCCGAGGAGGAGGCATTTTCTCTGACGTCTGGTCAAAGTCCTCATCGTGGATATTCAATGGTGCCACACAATCCCAGTCGAAAGGGCCGAGACTGGGGGTCATGCCGCGATCAAGACAGGTTTGCACCTCTAATTCCAGGATCGTGAACCATAGTCTTCGACGCATCTCTTGGTCGAACACTGAGATCCTAGTGCTTAGGTATGTGGGCTCCCGATGCAACCCAATCGACATGGCCCGTCGTAACAAATGGCCGGCCTCAGTCCACTCCCTTTTCAGTTTGATACAGTTCATTCTTTTTGCGATGACAATGAGCACCTGAACCTGAAAGACCTCGAGCGTCATGTGCTTCTGGCTTTGCATACTGAGCCATAAATCGCATACGTCGATCCATTTAGTGGCTGTGTCTCGGTCTCGTGAACTGGGGCCAACATACGCCATGGAAACATCTGGCACGACGCAATTGACACAGGCGCATACAAGCAGCAGCTGGACCAAGAAGGCTGGAGAGGCGTCATTGGAAGAAGTCCAGAATTCCTTGTATCTTTGGAAGAACGTCGGCGCATGCAAGACACGGTACGTGGTCTCCAGAGTCTCAAAGTATTCCTGTACGCGGGCATCGGCGGTAGATCGATCTGGGATCAACGACACCAGTGTTTGAAAGTCTGGTAAGACTAAGGCCGGCTGGGCTTCCCGCCGTTGGCGCTTGAAGATCTCCCTTGCCTTTTGTAGGTGGGGTATTCGTTGCAGAATATCCTTGACGAAGCGAGAAAGTTCTTCAAATTGTAGAAGAATGCTGGCGGCTTGGCTTGGACCATAATACTGTGTCTTGAAGGCTTTCCCCCGGAGCAAAGCCCGATTGTGATCAGGAACTGCCTTCTTATCCGTTGCTACTCCGTTCCCTGCCGCGCGTTTAGTATCAAGACGACTGTCCAAAGACACGGGCCTTGATCCCGTGGCCCTCACATATGTCTCGAGGGATCCGATTCTTTCCTGCAATTCTTGAAAAGTTCTGGTAGGTGGTCGAGCCGGATGGGCAGCCGTAGGACTGGGCTTGTCTTCATTTGGTCGGGCAATCTCATGCTGCTTTGAGCGTGCATGCCATTCATTTGCGTACTCCGTCCAAGAAAGGGCCGATCCTTCTCTTGCAAGTTGAGGGCTCTCTTCAGAAGGAGTTGGGACGGTAGTACTGTTCTGCTGCGAGGTATACGGGACATAGTCGCAAGCAATACCGCCTCTCTGACAGCGGACGCATGTTGGCAAAGTCCGATCGCACCTGACCTTACGTTGACGACAAGAAACACAGGACAAAGCCAGGCGACGGCGCTTCTGACCCATGTCTGAGGTTGGAAGTTGGGTATATGGCGGGTCTTTAGGGCCGAAGGCCGATTGAGATATGTCGGATGGCAACGCTGTACAGTAGCAGGCTAGACCAGCCCTTGTCCCGCCAACCTTACTCGTCTTGAGTTGGAGAGATGTCGACAGCCTATGGCTAGATTGGGCGTCGGGACGTCCTTGAAAGTGTTCAGGGCGACATTGTCCGGATCATGAATTAGTCACCTCGTCCACACAGACAAGCTGACGAGAGCGGCGGATGAACCGGATGACCGATTATGACCGAGCTCAAAGCCGAGAAGCGACAAAAGCGGGACGAGCAACACAGACCAGTTAACTTACAACCTTACCTTTCCAGGGGCCACCACGTGTCATCTCGGAGATGTGGTGGCTGGTGGCCCTGGATGATTGAGGACAGAGGCACAGCATTACAGTACGAGTACCTGGACATTTGATTAAAGACACAATACGAAGGACGGCTGAGGAGAGATGCCTAATTAGTAAGGTGGCCTGGCCAGCACGTCTATCCACGTGACTCTCTCACGTGACAGAGGTGGATCACGTGCATCGCCATCCGAACGTCAGTCAAAGAATCTCTGTATCACCAGATATGAATGTTGCTATCGCTATTCAACCTATCCCTATGTGATTGTAACTTCTCGAGGTGAGTAGCCATCTGCACAGCATGGCGTAGGCGATCTCCAGGACCGTCGCTCTCCCCGATGCATTTTTGCTCAAACCATGCTCTTCTCCTTCCCACCGAGGATCTCGCCGTCCTACGAATCGGAATCGTCGGAATCGTCGGAATCGTCAGAATCGTCAGAATCGTCGAAGAGAGCAGTGAAGATGAGACCAACCTCGTGGAGTGGGAGCTTCCAATTGACTCTAGCCGGCTCAGGCAACTGCAAAGTCACGGGACTGTCATGAAGCCATGGATCGACCTCTTCACGCGCGGATGGTTGCGGGTTCTCCTCGTTTCTCATGCCACCAGCACCAACAGTGTCAGCCTGAGCCACGTTTCGCCGGCCACCTCTCCAGAAGAACACATCAGTGACCCACGATTTGACATGATTGCGGAGACCAGTGCGTTCAGACCGCTGCTCCCGCTCTTTTCGGTAGTGGTGTCTTTGCCAAAGTAGCACAAGGTCGCATATCATCGGTAGGACATCTTTCGCCAGCCTGAGAAAGCACCCGACAATGAGAAATATTCTGCCAAGAGGGACATCTTTCGCCAGTGTGAGAAAGCACCCAACAATGACAGTTATGATGGCAAGAGTCGTGGCAACAATCGTGACAGTTTTCGTCATGTTGTCGCATTGCAATGCAGGCCGTGGCTGGAGAGGCTTGATCTCAAAGTGTAGGCGGTGGTTGGTAGGCGGTGGTTGGAGGCACTTTGATTGCAAGGCCTGGGAAGTGCGAGTCTCGAACGAGGACATATATATCCCGCCATGGAGCACTGCCTCGCCCGTAACGAGCATTCACCCGCATCGTGTCTAGTTCTCTGCACTGCGGCACTGAAAGGACAAAGCAAACAAAGAAGTATGCACAACGTACATTCACGCGATTGTCGCCCACTCAACAAAGCTGCCTGCCTGCCTGGACAAAACATCTATCACAAAGCCTCAGAGGTGGTGAGCCAGACTATTTCGCCTGAACGCCGATTATGTGGCATCTTGGACAATGGACCCTTGCACATTGCAAACCCAATGGTACTTTTTTCTCTCTTTCTCGATACAAAGACCACCAGGGCCCTTATGCAATTATCTTCCCTTGAGGGCTTTGTTTGTTTATTGCATTGTCTGCAAGCCTCCTGCTCCGTCGCTGAGGCGCAAAGGGCATAAATACGACAGGTTCTGCGCATCAATCTTGTGTCCTCCATCCTTCTATCACAATCACAAAAGCCTCGAAAGGGGAACTCACTCGGTCGCGGATCAGCTATTGTTGGAGATTTGTCTCAACCAATTTTCATCAAACAGCAGATTCGTCGATCGAACCTTTCAGATGGCTTCCCACCAGGAAGGATCACACTCACTCGCTCACGGAGGCCGGACCTCCATAGTTGGCTTCGAAGCTTCGGCCTGTAGACAAGGACAATCGTATCACCTGTTCGAAGAGAACACTCCGCACGACACTCCTCAATCTCTCTCGATAGTCGACACAGCCCAGCTCTCCGAAAATCCGATGGCGAATTCGCAAGACATGTCTCTGAATACCAATTTGGACATGGATTTCAATGGTGATAACTGGGCGGCCGAATCTTCAGCATTCCTTGCTGTTGGAGAAGCATTCCTTGACCCAGCCGAGCGTCATTTTGCCGACGATTTCTCTGCCTTCTCTATGGAACAAAACTTCTCTATGGAAGACTTCGTCGACGGCTCTCAATTCGTTGACGCTGCAGGCCCCTGCAGCTCAATAGTGGGATCAGTAGACGCGGTGGCGAGCAACTCTCCCAGATTCGACACATCGGCCCCGGTCCACCACCAGCAGGGCTTTTCTGGTTTCGTGCCGCAAGCTCCAGAAAACTTCCTAGTCGACGATTTAGACTGGGGCGAGTTCGATTGGAATGCGCTGGAAGCTGATCCCGAGTTGGCTGCATTGACTTCAGCCTGGTCCACTGACAATTCGCTCTGCTTCAACACTGACGACTCTTGTCTCTTCCTAGATGCTGAAATGTCAGCACCCCAGGATCAATCACAAGCGTACAATCACCAGCCGCCAGCTTTTGTCGATCCGATGTCAACGGTGTTGAACGCAGCAAACGGAAGACCGCGGCAGTCGAGCCTGGTCCCTCCACCGCTCTTCTCTCAGCCGAGATCTCTGGCCTACGGTGCTGCTGATGATCATACTTCTTGCACTGCCACCACCACCAGACTCGGCCCCGAGCCAGGTCGACCTCATCAACGATTGAGCGTGGCGCCGGCGCAGGACAGTGTACTCAGCACCTCGTCTTCCTATCCATCTTCCTATCCATCTTTGCTGCATCTGGGGGAAGTAAAGGGCCTGTCTGTCCCTCAACGCCCACTTCCAGGCTTCCAGCACTTCCAGATGCAGCCATTGGCCAACGATGATCGTGAATTCACCTTCACCTACCCTGTTTCCGGTCCCCAACCTGTTTTTCCCTCGCACGATGGGAGCTCGACGGCTGCTCACTCGACCGCCACCAGCAACGGCGCCTCGGCGACTGCTACCGAACGCAAGCATGAGTGGCGCCTGTGTCCGCGCCAGACACGCTCAGGCCTGAGAGAGCGCCGTCAAGCGAAGCTCAATGCTCGGGCTCGTGCCGAGGCCGCAGCCGCAGCCGTAGCTGCAGCTCGAGCAAGTCCTTCTCCCGCATCCTCTACATCTCCCAATGGCAATGGCAATGCCAATAGCGTCCAAGGAGGAGAGCTGCGTGCCAGTCATCTGGAAGCATCCAAAGGCGGGGTCTGGTACCGCGTGACCAGCGGCAGCAACACCATAGGATACTTCCACGACTTGCGGGCTCCCAACCAGTCTTCTGTCGTTGACTCTCGCCCTACCAAGGATTCTGGCGCAACCAGAGTCCCCTGTCCACTCCCGCCACCGACGGTCCTGCCGCCGCCGCGACGCTCTCAACGTCTGCGCCGCCCGGCTCTCCGACGCGCATGAATGAGACCAGGTAAGTCACTCTACAGCTGAACATGCGCTGACTCTGTGTTCAACTAGTCAGGACTGATCGCGATGCACATGCCTTGGCGGCCTTACTGACCCGCAGGTAAGTCAAGCAAACTCCAACAAGGTAAGTTGCCCCATCCCCCCACCCCCCATCCCCCGTCCCCCATCCCTTCGTTCCCTCCCAGTGGTGGCCTTGTGTTCGTTTTCAATGGATCTGGCAAGAAACAAAGAAACCCCCAAAAAGAGTGGTGGCTCTGTGTTCATTTTCAATAGATCTGGCAAGAAACAAAGAACCCCCCAAAAGAAGAAGGAAAGAAACAAAGAAACCCCTCAAAAAAAGGAAAGAAACAAAGAAACCACTTCAAAAAAAGGAAAGAAGAGAAAGAAACCCCCATCCCTACCAAAAACACGCGGAAAACCAGACGAAACTCGCAATTCAAGCCTATAGTAGCCAGTGCCTTTGCCTTTTCCCCTGGTGGTTAAAGACAAGGGCTTGCAAGGCTTTGAAGGCGACTTCGACAAAAAAAGAAGAAAAGAACTGGCAAATCTCAAGGTCGGTGGTTCTGGGAATATATTCTCAAGTTATTAATAATGGTTCTGGGAATACATACGTACATACATCCATGCATGCAAAAGCAAGTACTATGTTGAATACATACAAAAGCAAGTAGTATGCATGCAAAAGCAAGTAGTATGCATGCAAAAGCAAGTAGTATGCATACATGCAAAAGCAAAAGCAAGTAGCATGAGTATGTTGAAAGGTTGCAGGCTACATTATAGTATACTACAGGGTCGGTCACATACACAGGTAAGTACCTCCTACTCCTACCTCCTAGTAGGTTGGGAATGGAATGGAATGAGATCAATGTTTAATGATAGCTTGTTTACGTTTTACCTTATACCTGAGTTATGACTTTTGTTTTTGTTTTGGATCTATCCATCCACCTCGATTGCTGGCCTCTCGATTTCCTCTAATGATCTAATGACCCCCACCAAAGACATGGTACGTAAGCACACTGACCAAAGACACGGAGCCGAACTATACACCCGCATGTCTCGGGCCGCGGTGTCTGGCATGATGGCGGGGCTCGAGGCATAACAAGAGCCATGTAGTCTCGGTATATCCTATCGGCCATTAACTCTCCTCAGGGTGAGCAGAAAGAGAGAGAGAGACATTGCTAGACAGTAGCACGACGTGCCGCGTGCTGATCTTCTCTTCCGCTTAGGCCGTGGCACCGTCTCCTTCTGCGCTGCGCTGCGTTGCGCCGGGCTGCTCCTCACTCGTCCAGATGAGCGTCAATGTCCCAGAAGCGAACCTCACCCGTCCAGATGAGCATCAAAGTCCCAGAAGCGAACCTCACTCTTCCACATGAGCATCAAAGTCCCAGAAGCGAACCTCCATCTCGGTGGCGCGGACGAAAATGCCGATGAGCTCTTGGATCCGTGAGGGAGATTGTTTGATGATGTGCGTCTCGATGAGGTCTGCTCTCGGTACGGGACAGTGGTCAGCTTCAAACAATTCAAAATTCAGATAGCACAAGGCATATGATGGCGGAGGGCGGTAAGAGGTTCAATCGCCAGCCAGGGCAAAGCGACATAGGGTAATCAGGGTCGGCACTGTACTCACCTCTCCCGGCAACAACGGCCTCTTGGTAATCATCGGCGTTATAGTTCTCCACCCAACGCCAGTACCGATTTCCTTGCTGCGTGGTGCGGCTCTCCTTCTCGGCGTACAGTCTCTGGGCCGCCTGGCCGTAGCCGAGCAGACACGGGGCCAGGGCCATCTGTAGAGCGAGCCAATCTTGGCTTTGGCCGATGTCGAGCACGTAGCGCGAGTACGCGACGCAAGCGAGCGACTCTTTGTACGTACCACTCTCGAGGTCGGCCCGGGAGATGCCAAACTCGGCACAGAATGCCCGATGCAGCGTCATCTCGCGCTCAATGTGCAGAAGGATGTTGGCCTCGGCGGTGATCGCCGACATGGTCCGCGACTTGTATGCCGCCAGCGCGTGCGTGCGTGCAAAGTGAGTCAGGTACAAGTAATCCTGGACCAAGTAATTTTTGAAGAGCACCTCCGAGAGCGTGCCGCGCGCCATCTGCGTCGCAAACGGGTGGTGTGTGTATTTCTGCCACACAGGCGCCACGGCCGGGTGAGACAACAAGTACTCGACGAAATGGCCCTGCGAGAAGGGCTGGACCTGCACGTTGTGGAAGTGGTTGATGGGGCCAGAGCCGTGGCCGAGATTGGGAAGTGAGGTCTTGATCCCTGTGGTCACGTAGGCGACTGCCAGCCGGGAGGCGCTGGCGAGGTCGATGGCTTGAGATTCAGGCCGTTGCCACCCGCTCTTCTGGATGGCGAGGTTGGCGGCGATGGCGCTGGCGAGCGAGCAGCCGGTGCCGTGAGTGTTTTTGGATTCTAGATACTTGGACTCAATCAACGTGTAGGCTTCGCCGTCGAAAAGAATGTCCACCGTGACAAACTTCTCTTCGTCGCTGGTCGCCTTGGTGTATTCTCGCGTCAGAGGCATGTGGCCTCCTTTGAGGAGCACCGCGCGGGGGCCGAGTTGGTGGACCTGACCGGCCAGTGCCTTCAAGTCTTCAAGCCCAGACGGTGACTTGTAGTGAATGTCTGCATCCTGAAGTAGGAGCATCGCCTCGGGGATGTTGGGTGTCAGCAGAGTGGTCGTGGGCAGGAGTTGCGTTCGAAGGTTGCGGACTGCATCCCCTGGGAGGAGCTGCGCGCCGCTCGTAGCTATCATAACCTATCCAGCCGGTGAGTCCTTTCAAACGTCCTTTCAAACGGGAACTAGAAGCGGGCGAGGGAAAAGGGCCGAACGCTGTGCAAGTGCAACCGTACCGGATCAAGCACGACAGTCGACACCCTATGTTTTCGAAGCGATTCCGCGACGACTCGGATGGTTTCCGCCGAGGCGAGCATGCCTTGAGATGCCGGATATCAATCAACTGCCCCCCATCCCACCCCAGTCCATGTAGAGAAGAACCTACCGATCTTGACGACGTCGCACGGGATATCCGTCAAACAGGCATCGATCTGTTTTCCGACGAATGCCGGCGGCGTAATGTGGACGTCGTCGACACCGAGAGTGTTTTGGGCAGTCAGGGCGGTTGTCGCTGTCATGGCATAGCACTCATGGGCTGACAGGACCTTTTGGTCGGCTTCAAGCCCGCTGTCGGACGGATGGATTGGTCAGTTCTGTAGGGGATAGGGGAGCGAGGTCCCCGGCAGGGCAGACATTGATTGGATTGGGACTCACGCGCCGCCTGAGCTGTCAGAGCCAGCAATAACCAAGACCTTGGGGACGGTCATTGCGCCACAAACCTCGAAGGTGACTTGTCGGGCGATATGGATTTCAGGGAGCCAGCATGTAATCAATAGTGATAGTTAGGTGATGAGCAGCCTTGACTGAAGATGAACAGACCGGCACCGGCACCGGCACCGGCCAGCGCAAACTCGGTCGGTGTCGTTGGTTCCCGGCCAATCAGATGTCACCATTCGAGATGTCACCATTCGACCCCCTATTGGTGCCTATCAAAAGCCAACTCGGTGGTTGTCTTGATGCCCCTGCCACCTACTATGCGTACAGAGTACGGATATACAGAATGCCCATACAGAGTACGGAGTATTGCATAGAACCCCGGAAGGACAGTGTGTAAAGAATGTAGAATGTGTCTCATGACAACTGCAAAGCCCGCCCGCCTAGTTATCCAACCAGGCACAGTCCTCTCCTACCTCTTACTTCAATGCAAACTTGAACAAAGCGTCCATCTCAACCCATTGTCGCCCACATTTCCTCAAGTAACCGTCCACAACGGCCTTGACTCCTTCAAATCGTTCCTTGTTCGTCTCGGCCAGCACAATCACCCGGTCCTTCTTCTCGACATACTCCTTCTCCGACCGAGCTTTATTCTTGGCCTTTTCCACATCAAATAGGCCGGCAAAGTATAACAGTTGGTTGTACAGCTTCTTCTCCGTGTACTCATAGCTCATCCGGCCCAGACAGCCCTCGGCCCGTCCGCTTGGACCCAGGCATCGATGGCCATAGACGGACATTTGTCTCGTCCGGTTTCCGCAAGATGAATCGTCGCAGACGAGCCAGCCCTCATAGTAGGCCGAGGTCTGTATACGGATCTGCGCCTCCAATTGAATCACAATGGCCATTGTAGAGAAGACCTTCTGGCATTCAGTATTGCTGCACAAAATCCCTTCCGGCGTGCACACATCTGCCGAATCACAAAGGCCTTCATACACGGTTGTTTTGCTGCATGCTCGGCACAAGAGACTCAGCCGAGCAGCCTCCCGAAATCGCTCACTGTCTGGGATTTGTGACTCGAGGGGAAATATCTCGCTGTTCTGCTGGTTTGTACCGCCAGAAGTGTTGATTTGATATTTGCGGACGTCCAGTCCCAGGCACTCCGCCAGTCTGACCGAATCTGTGCCAGGAATGGGAGCGCATAGACGTTCGATGGGTGGGAAGATCTGCTTGTAGAGATAATACTCGACATCTGGCACAAGCCCAGAGTCCGGCTTCTGTACATCTTGAGGCGTGTATGATCGTTTGGGCGCTGGTAAGCCTTTCGTCTGCTCGTCTCCCATAGTAACAATGTATGACATGACGTCGTTGACTCGAACAGTCTTGCCTCGAGTGATCTCGCGAAGCGCGACTTGGACCTGAGGCATCGAATCGGCGTTGGGATATTCTTTAGGATTTTTCCCGAGTTTCTGCATGTTGTCAGCCGATTTGATCTCAATAGGCGAGCCAGGATACTCACTGTGTAGATTACATATTTCTGCACTGGGATGGCATTTTCTCTCATCTTGTCGGCCAATTCCCGCAAGTACTCGTGGATCTTCTCCAGCACCAGTTCCGGGTCCTCTCCAGAGAGGATTTCATTGAGAAGCCTTTGGGAGGCCTCCTTAGACAGAGCGCAATATTCTCTTCTCTTCATGTCAAGACCTTTGACTTCAAGTTTCTCAACATATTTGCCGTCAACTTCCGCCATGTTGATGGCCGCGTACTTTTTCTTCGCGTGGAGCAACAAGCGTCGGAAAATATTATCAATGTCAATCTCCAGCAATTTGTACCGTTCGTTTACCGATCGTTTGAATTCAACACCCACACTTAAGGCCTGGGCAATGTTGTCTGCGTTCGTGTTGATCATGACGGAGTCGGTGTCACCGTAAATGACTTGAAGCTGATTCCCCTCCGCCAGTTCCTTGGTGCTTCTCAGGATCTCTCTGCCTTTGAAAGTGATGAGCATGGCGAGTGGTCTGGCATAAAACCGTGACTGAGTATAACCCAAGCAGCCGTACATGGAGTTGGCCGTCAACTTGAGCGCGAGTTGTTTGGTATCCCAGAGAGCCATTTCTTCAACTGTTGCTCGTTTGTCTTTCATCAACTTTTTGACTTCACGACGACGCATGACGAGAGTGGAAATGAGCTTCGGCAAGATTCCCTGGGCCTGTTCGACTGGGACCTCGGGCACTTTTTCCTCGTTTTCGTTCTCTGATGTCGTTGATCTGTCGACGGTGGTGAAACAGATGTTGTACTCCTGGATGATGCTCGGATACAGACTGTTGAAGTCCATTACCAGGATGAACTTGTCATAGAGGCCTTTTTCGGGTTCAAACACAAGACCACCTTTATATTTGTCTTTCTTCTTCGTATCAGCGCCCTCGTCGCCGTCCTCGTTCTCCTCTGCCTGTTTGGCGCGTCCTTTGCGGTACTCCTTGTCGGGACATATATATTTGTTGCGGTAGAATTCGTGAAGCAAGATATACTCGTTTCGTTCTGCCCTCGTACCGCTCAAGGTGCGTCCCCATGAGTTCCCGGCAAGCTCGGTCAGAACCTTGGTCAAAGGCAGCATTTGCAGCTTCAATGCGAGCGCGGCGATAAAAAACGTATCGGCATGGCAGTGGTTGACATAGTTGAGTAGACCGTCGCGAGTAGTCGCCCAGGTTTTCAACGCTGACTCGTTGTCGAGGTCGCGTCTCGGGTTGTCTGGCCCCAGATAGAGGTCACACATCTCAGTCAAGCTCCATTGTTGACATTTGGTCATCAATGACTTGCCCATGTCGTTTGCCAGGTCACACATGAGTCGTCCGGCGAGAAGCTGCCGCTCGGCAAAGAACGAAGAGCCGCCCTTGCCGAATGTCTTTGGCCATTCGCCTCGCTTCAACCGGCCAATTCGATGCCAGCCAGGGGTCTTCTTCTCCTTGAGGCGGCTGAGAAGAATGCTGTAATCGACCTCTTGCAGTTGGTGGCCCATCAAGACATCCGGATCCACCTTCTCAAATAGAGCAAGGAATTTGCTGAGCAGAAACTGCTCACTCTTCTCGAGCATGAATGTACCATTCTGCTTCTTAGTTTCGGCTTCAAATCCTAGCGGGTAAGATGATCCCGATGGCCTCATCACCGTAAACGTCCTCGAGGGCATCTTTTCTGGCGGCGTGGTGTCGGTCAACGATACATTTTCATAGACTCTAGCACTTGCAACCAAGATTTCCTGTTTGTTCTCTTTCACATTGAGCTGAGTCCGGAAAGCGAGCGACATTAGAGTCAGTCGTGGAGTCTCGAGGCTGTCAGAATCGTTGAGGACTGCGATGTTCGTGGGCCTGGTCACGGCACACTCAAGCTTGCACCAGGAGGCGTTGTTGACGGCGGTGAAGTCTGCATCCTCGATATTCAGCCAACATGGACCCATGATATTCTTCCACAGAACGAATTGCTCAAACAAAGCGGTGTTAGTGCCAAAAACCCGCGAGAACGTCTCTCCTTGCAAATCCATGGGCAAAGCGCTATTCTCGTAGGGGTAGAGCAGTTTGAGGTAGTTCCCTTCCTTTGGGACGTCGGGGAGTTCGAACGCATATTTTCTGGTACAAGGCTTGACTTTTCTCGTGGTAACCTTCATTTTGGACATCATGGCATCCACTTCCGCAAAGACATCGTCCATCTCGACCTTCTCATCCGACTGACGGCCATTGACAAGTCTATGGCTCCTCGGGAGAAAGAAGAGTTTCCGAAGGATATTGTCCACCTTGACGAATGCACTGAGGTATCGTCCAGTGGACCTGTGCTTGACCTTGCCGAACAGGCATAGACTGCCATTGACCTCGGTATAGTCAAGCCAGAAGAAACGAAGGCTGCCATTATCCTCGAGAGCGTCCTGAGGTTTCATTTTGCCAAAGATATAACTGTCCGTGGATGGGCTGCTCTGGACATTGAGCTTGCTGGTGATCTTATTCCATGATGATGCGTCCACGTCATTAACGGCGGGGAGCGGAGGGGATGAATTGTAAGGTGTGGGCAGTTGTGCGGCCTTGATCTTGGGCGGAGGCCGGCTGCCAGTCATATTGACGCTGGCAGTTTGAGCTCCTTCATGAGCAATGACTTGCGCAACGTCCATCACATCCTCGTCATCCTCGTCCTCCTCTTTGATGTTCACCTTTGCCTTGCGTTCGATAGCTTTAACCACGGGGGAGGAAGGTAGAGGATCACTCATGATATTGTCCTCGTCATCGAAGTTGGGCATGTTGTCATCTTCACCGGATGTAGCTTGCTGAGGAGGGGTATTCACCAGGTCTGTGGGCAGAACCTGGTACTTTGGTCGAGGTCGTTCTTGGGTCAGAGGTGGAGATAGCACCCTAACTTTACGGCGATGCTCGGATTTGACAGGCTTCTTCGTGTATGCACGGGCAGGCAGGATATTGGCATCGACTTCGCCGAGCAAGTCAGCCATGAAAGCCTCGTCCTCGGCGGTAGTTTGAACCTAGCAAAGTTAGACATGACTACCAAGCTTGCAGTGCCGGTGCGTGTACCTTGGGCTTCGAAGCTGCAACGGGAGGGTTGTTGAAGTAGTTTAAGATCTTGTGGTTGGTACGTTCATCTTTCTCACGGTCCTCCTCACGCTTTCGTTTGGCCGCTTTGCCTTTCAGAGGGACGTCTTCGTTGTCGTCACTGCTGAAGTACTGCCGTTCGTGTTGCCATTCCTCGCGACCGTCGTCTGCGTAACCCTCGCCGTTGTCGTCTACAACGAAGTCGTCCTTGTCGAGACGACTGCGGACAACCTTCTTGTAACCATCTTCATCGACCTCGTCGTAGATGGCACCTTGGTCCTCGATCTGGTACGTTTCAAGCCGTGTCTTGCCAGAGAGGCGTTGAGCCCGAAGCTGAGCTATTGCGGCACGGTGTGCCATTTTGCTTGCTCTGCCTCAACAAAGGCCGGTTGGAACCAGGAAGCAGTCAAGTATATTAGAAATGAAAAGCTGAGGGAAAGATACTGGGTGTACCGGCGAGCGACAAGCAATGACCACAGCATTTACACGCGACGCGAGGATACGCGTAAAGCACGAAGATTCGCGTAGAGTGGGGGCTTGGGGGGCGTGTCCTACCAAGTTGCCGTGTAGTAGCCGCGGGGGCCGCTCCGCCTTGGCACCACCACGCGTCATGCTCCCGATATCAAACTCCTGACCGGGTCGGTAGCCTTTGTTCACAAGTTAGATTTTGGATTGCCCACATGCACCTAGTAATGCTGCATTGCAGCAAAGCAAATGTACGATGAATATGCTAAATCTCTTGTCCAAATCTCAAGCCCCTTCCACACCCAGCCAAAAGAAAACTGCATCTACTAGGCGGGATGCCGGTCCGTGCGCCGACGGATGACAACTTCAAGTCCATCTTGCCACACAAACCAGCCTCCTGAAATCTTCCATTCCTGGTCTGGAAATGCCAAGGAGAACTGATGAAGGGTGAGTACGTTTAGCATGTATTGGGGGCAGTATATTCACCTTGTAGTGCCGCAGCAACTGGGGCACCAGCTTGCTGATCTCGAGCAACGAGATATTTCTGCCAATGCAAGCGCGGCTTCCATGGCCAAACTAATGCGAAGGTTAGCCCAACGCCAGACTCAGGACCTTCACACATATTTCCGTACCACCAGACTGGCTCTCTCCATGGCAAGTAACTGGTCCTTCGATGATTCAAGCCATCTCTCTGGACGAAAGAAATCGGCGCTTGCTCCGTATACTTCTTTGTCACGTCTGCACCGAGGTCATCTCGTTAGTGATTTCAACCGCAATGTAGTTCGAGGCCTTACGCTGTTACCCAAGGATTCATCCCGACGATGGTCCCTTCAGGGAAATAGTGGCCCGCCATTGAGATTCCACCTTTCGGCACGTATCGTTCAAGAAGTAGCCCTACAGCCGGGTGCATGCCTGCGATGACCGTCAGTCGTTCCCGCCCACGATTTGAGACTGTCGTGGAGACTCACGAAGAGATTCCTTAATGCACGCTTGAAGATAAGGCAGTTTATTCGATTCTTGCCATGTTATGAACTCGCTCAGCTGACCCTCTTTATCCGCCCGATCGATTTCCTTGACGAGCTTTTGCATACTGGCAGGGGTCTTGAGTAGATAGTAGAAGATCTGTGAAATATCAGCGGGGCTCGCTTCTGGAGATGTTCTTTGCTCACTGCTCGCAATGAGATCCCGGTAGTATCACTACCAGCGCCGACATTGTCACTGTTGTACATCAATATCATCCTGTCCGTGACAACGTTGGGAAATCTGGCTTGAGCCTCGAAGCATCTGGCAAGAAAGTCACGCTTTGGAATACCGCCTCTTGACTTTATGGCCGCTCTTTCTCTCATCCTATCCAATGTGAAGGTAACGATGGGATGGGTGGGGACGAGTTTTAGGAACACCGGGTTTTTCGTCAGCAGCTTGTCGAGGAACGGGATTTGTCCCACCTAGGTGCAATTGCAAAGTCAGCGAGGAAGCACGCATAAGACAAGTTCATGAAACCTTACACGGCCAGCATACGCAATCTTGACTCGAATATCCGCCATAATCCCTTGAACATCTGTCCCCGTGGATAGAAAGCCCAGCTTCTGACTGAACTGGATCTCACCACTACAACAGGTTAGGCCAGCCTTGCCGATGGGCACAAGAACTCACATGACGTCGAACGCATACCGCTGAAGCCAGATTCCTAGATCGAATGATGCTCCTGACACCGTGAATTCGTCTAGCCTCGACATAAGCAGCGAACTAGTGGAGTTAACCAGTGGCTCGAATTCCACCATTGTCGACATGCTGTAGGCGTTGGCGATAGGCTTTCTGTACAATGCGTGGTCGTGCTCGTCCAGGGAAGTGAACAGGCTGGGCGTAACTCTTCCCTTGAAGGGCAGCATCGAAAGGGTGTAGAATTCTGTCTTAGTAAACCCCGAATTGGTTCCATAGATGGTCGGTATCAATGTCGGATCGGAGATTGAAATGATTCGTGGACCGATTCGCACAAAATGCGAGTTCAACTCTCGATGGAGTCGGACGTGAGTCGCATGAGGCGTGCCGCAACATACATTGAGAAAGCGCCAGAGGTCACTGCACCCGGCGGTAAAAGGCCCGGGAATCGAATTCAGCTTTCGTCCATACTTGTTGAAGAGCAGTCGAGTCAGAAGCAGTCCAAAGACCAGACCGGCCCAGTGCGCCTGAGACAGACTTTGGAACTGCGCAAAAAAAGCGATTGAGGCCATTGCCACATCTCAAAGTTTGGGGGGGCCATCTTGCCCTTCATATACCTGCTCTGAGGCACGCACTGGGGGCTTCAGGGGTTAAGAGTCATGGGACGAACAGATGCCACCACCAGATCCGTGAACTGAGTACTAGGTCGGGGTCTTGGGGCAGAAACCATCCGTCAGACGCTGTTCGGGATCTTGTCAAAGTTAACAGATGGCCACAGCACTTTCAGGCCAGCATCGATTGCCCTGAATGCAAGCGGGAGGGCACACCGGCATAAGTTCACAGACAAGGGCCGGCAAGCGACTGCAGTATGACGGTGCCTCATTCTGACTGGAATCTGAGGACAAATGACAGTAACGGAGCAGTCGAAAGTGGGTTGCTTTCCCGCAGAAAGAAAAACATCCAAGCCACATTCCATTGAGGTAGACTGTGAGACGACCCCCTCGACCTTGCTGGGGCCAATTCATGCCGTTTCGTGCTCGATATTGTGTCTTCGTCACCGAGCCACTTTACCTGGAATGTGAGGTATGCGTGCGGTTGTGTTTGCAGTTGCCCTGCTTGAACACTGCTGAGATATGGCTAGTCCAAGTGAAGCAACGAGAAGACTTAGAGGGCTTAGGAGGCCTTGCTCTTCGACTTGTTTCTTTTCTGTATGGTATTGTGTTGAGCGGAGTCCATTATGGCATCCAAGACCTCATGACAATGTGTCTTTCGTTGGAGTGGGTTTTATTTTTGGACATCTGTCGATCTGATCGCCAATAGGAGTGGTAGGAGGAGCTCATCAGACTGGCGGTGAAACCACATCAATCCAATATGTAGCGTAGTTCGCCCATACCGGCAATATGGTCCCTGTCAAATCGGGCTTGCAGCTTCTTCATCTCCTTGGATTAGGCCGTCACATTTCAAAGGCGACTAACAAAATACCAGATTTGGCAAAATAGGAAGTTCAAAGTCCAAGGAGATCCGGGTTTGTCAGACTCAGGGCAGATTGCAAGGTCACCCACCAGCATCCCGTCTTCAAGTGTACCTATCGATGCGTGACTACGAAGCTGAATTTTCGGATGACGTGGAAGTCACATTTGCCTTGGACTCGATATGACGATTGCAGTCGATCCTCCAGGCGTCTGGAAAGCCCTAAAAGAACTGACGGGGCGGGGCGAGTCTCGGAACTTGTATCACACCTCATGGAATCCTAAATAGCACGCCCCTTTGTTTCAGGAGACACGATCTGCAACATTGATAGGTTTGTATTTCATTGACATTTCTGACCGCATCCATTTTTGATCATTGAGGGCATTGCTAGCGCCGGGTCCCCTACTTGACAAACCATAACCTTCCCGCAACCGGGCCCGACCCTTGCAGCTTGTTGCACGTAAAAGACGAGCAATTGAGCCATTGTGCACACATCGCAAACCACGGCGCTGGATCTAGTTCATCTGTCGGATGAGGGCATTGATGTTATCCTCCCGGTTACCGGTGTCACCACCTTCGATGTAGTGCTTGAACTTCCGGGTGCGGAAGCCACCGTTGGGGTTGGAGAGCTTGAAAGGCCACAAAAAGTTGCTGGCTTGCTTGAAGTTGGGTCCGACAGTGAAGATCTCGTGAATCAGATCTTCAACACATACGATGCCATATTTGCCCAGGTTGTCCTCGATCAACTGGTTGTCGGTGAGAGCGATGCGCTGCTTGTCGATCTTGCCGTATCCACGCTTGTAGACGAGCTCACGCACAGACTTGAGGTTGGGATAGCCGTAAGCAATGTATGGGCTGACGATTGTGAGCATCTCTTGGGTAGCCTTGGTCAACTTGATGAAGACACCATTGTTGATTTGGAGGAGTCGAAGGAGTTGGAGGATCTTGCGAGGCTTGGGAGCAATCTTGTTGATACTAGGAGAAGTCAGAAAGTGTGCCTGGCAGAGCTTTCGAGCTATTGCTTACCCCTTGATTCTGATCACGAAAACCAATTTAGGTTGCTCGTCAACGAAGAAGGTACCCTGTTGTCTGCTCACGCGAGCGAGTCTGATCTTTTCACGCTCGGCATCGCGGTACTCCTTGACATAGGTCTCCGCACGCTTGAAGATGACAGCACGCTTCTCCTTGTTTGCCTGTGTGGTGGAAGTTAGCATATAGCCTTGAATGTGCGATCCATGGTAGCAACAGGAGAGTTTTGTTCAGCCCCGAAAGATGGTTAACAAAAGCGACAGCATTGACCAATGGTCTAGTCACGCAATGGTAGTTATCATCACCAAATATAGTATGTGTATTTCAGGGAGTGTACCGACCTTCTTTTTCTTCTCGAGCTCGGCAAGACGCTGCTCTCGGGCCTTCTCCTGGCTCTTTCTCTTCTTCAACAGCGTCTCAGGGACGAGGACCTGATCCTGCGTCGGCACGGATCTGTAGGAGGAGAGTATCAGTACAGTCCGCAGGTGAAGGATCGCCGAGTCAGAACTGCAGCTATGGCGCGGCATTCTCGAACTGGTGATAGGCATAACTCGACGAAATAGATTTGATCAGTGAGAATGATGGAGGACGCAAGCAGCTATGCTGGTATTTGTCCACCACCTTTTATTCTCATCCGACAATACCCCAACGAAAAGTCAGGAATTTTCGACTCCACGACAACGCCCTGAAGACTCAGAAGCACGTGCAATGCGAGCTCGTTGTATTTCGAGGGAGAGGAAGTAGCTCCTCTATCCTCAATGCCCCGGCTGCTTGCCTCACGTTGTGGTTTTCACATTCGGTCGGCGCAAGCCATTGGGAGGATCGAGCTGGCGCAACGAAGCGAACCAGCGAGAAAAGAGCGGACCATATCTGAAGACCCCGACAGTCAGCAGGGTAAGGAAGGAACACTTACGACTTCACAATTGGCTTCGTCATCTTGTTTGGTGATCAGGGATCAGATTGTCGAGATGCTGCCAGGAAGAAGAAAGGGTGACTTGGGAGACTGCAAAGACATTCCGGACTGGAGAAATTTCCACGTCGAAGTTGCAGTGTGCGAGGCCCCAGTTTACTTGGCAAGATCACGTGTGAGCTCTTACCGGAAGTAGGCAGTACAGACGCTAGTACGTCCGAGATCCGTGATTAGTGATTTTCTAAGCCCGAAATAGATATAACCTGGGGCAAGAGAACTTAGTGTTGGTCTTACTAACTGTCTCTACTACTGGTAGCGAATGAACTGATGCACGACAACGAGGTACCACTGCAATCGTGAAACATCCGGTTTCATCAGCAGAATGATCAGGCATCGCTGATTCTTGCACCTGCGATCAAAATGTCGACCAGAAGGGGCGTCGGCTTGGGAGCATTCACCAACAGAAATGCGACAGCTCAGTCGTACGCTGCGCATGGCTCAAACTTGAAGTCTGCCAACGCAGCCTCGCTCCAAGCACAACTTGAAGTCTTCCAGTCGCTTTTGCACAATTTTGCCCTGGAGCATGCAGCCACCATCAAGTCGAATCCCACATTTCGCGCAGAGTTTGCCCGCATGTGCAATGCTATCGGCGTCGACCCTCTCGCAGGCAGCAACATCAAGGGCAAAAAGGCCGATTCTCTGTGGGCAAAGGTGCTTGGTCATGATGTGAATGATTTCTATTTTTCTGTAGCCGTACGAGTTGTCGAGCTATGCCAGTCCACACGCGCAGAGAACGGAGGACTGCTTGGACTAAAGGAGTGTTGTGAAAGTGTTGCTAGAGGCAGGGCTATCGGAGGGGGCTTGCAGGTATCAGAGGATGACATTGAGCAAGCCGTGAAATCCCTTGAACCGCTTGGTTCAGGGTTTGTCATTCTCACCATAGCACACAAGCGCTTCATCCGCTCCGTGCCCAAGGAACTCAACACCGATCAATCTACCGTCCTGGAAGTTCTGCAACTACTGGGAAGCGTTACAGTTACTCTCCTCCAACTTAACCTAGGGTGGGAGCCGGCACGAGCCGAGACCGTGATACAAGACTTGCTCGCCGACTCTTTGGTGTGGGTGGACTTGCAGTGTCGAGAGCCTGAGTACTGGTCACCGCAAGGCTTGATTGACGAGAACGAATAACGGGAGTGAAGTAAAAAGGAAAAAGTCTTAACGATGAGGTCGCTTCAGTGTATGCATACATTGGTCGATGATCACCGTCTGGGCAGCCTGCACTGGGTCGAGAAGCAAGAGCTTCGCCATCTACTTCTTGTACTCTTCCTTCAACACCCATCGACCTCTGCCTCGACTACCCTTCTCGAGCCTGGCGATCATCTTCAGAGTCTCTTTGAAATCCATCGTGGCCTGGGGTGTTGTGCAGTACCGGTTGAAATGATCGATAAGCATCTGGGTGTACGTGGCACCTCCGTGGGCGTTGAGAAAATCGCGAATGAGCTTGCCGAAGTCTTTGCTTTGCGGCGCAGTCGGTGTGCCAGCCCTGGAAGTCGAGGCGGTAGAAACCGAAGATCTTGCAGGGCTCGAAGTGCGTGGCGTCGCAACACGGCTACCTATGGCATTTGCCTGGCGCTGTTGTAGGTTTGCAAGCAGACTTGTTGACTGTATGGCTCCCCCTCTGGAACGAGCAGCCGAACTGAAAGCCCTCTGAGCTGTCGTCTCCTGTGGCCGACCAGATACCCCAAACTGTCCGGTCCAGGTAGGTGTGCCTATGGGGACATGTCGAGCCGCATCACCTGCGCGCCTCAACTCTCTGGCAGCCTCTGCAGCTACCTTTCGAGCTTCCTGCTCGATCAGTACTGGATCAGCGGCGACTTTCTTGCCGGTCTTGTTGCCATCAATAATCGCGTCATGCTCCACAGCAGAATGGATACCAGATCGTGCGAAAATGCCTTCCATCACTCTGTCCTCTGAATTGGTGGAGCCTTCCTTGTTCGCGTTGGCTTCTTCCACAATCTCTCCAGCATACCGCTCCATAGACGAAATACCAGGCAGCGTCTCAATATTTGTGTCGCCAGACTTGGGGGCGATGTTGTTGTCTGCGTCCTTGTCGCCTGCCTCATGAGCTTTGGCTGGCCCAGAAGGATATTTTACCTCGGCATCTTGGAAAAGGTTGCTTGTCTCAGTGGGCTCGCCTTCTTTGGCAAGAGTGAAGAGGTCATGCAAGTCGTTTAGGTGGAAGGTCTGCCTCTGTTTTGGGTCCTTCAAGATCTTGTTTGTCAGGAACTGCTTGAATATTTGACGATGATAAATCTTCTCCTCGATGGTCCCAGCCGTCATCAAACGATAGATTGTTACCTCTCGCTTCTGGCCTAAACGCCAGGCCCTTTCTCGAGCTTGCAGATCCGTCGAAGGGTTCCAATCAGGGTCATAGATGATAACTCTATCAGCTCCAGTCAGGTTTATGCCCAGTCCACCCACCTTGGTGGTTAACAAAAAGACGTGGAGATCTGGGTCTGTGTTGAACTCGTCGACCATGCTCTGCCTTAGCTGAATGGGCGTATTGCCGTCCATACGACGATACTTGAGCCCAGAGAATGATCTGACGTATTTCTCCAGAATGTCGAGCATGATTCGATGCTGGGCGAAGAGAAGAGTTTTGTGGCCAGTCTCCTTCCACAATTCAAGGAGTGCACCAACGACCTGCATCTTCCCAGATTTGGATGGATCACCATAATTGTAGCCTGGCTTGACGGACAGATGTTTATGACCCGTGAGGTCTGGATGATTGCAAATTTTCCGCAGTATGTCAACACCATAGAGAACTTGCCTTTTGCCGTTTATGATTGCTCCCATTTCGTTTGAATCAAGGAAGCGCTGGTATTCAGCTCTCTGCAACGGCGTGAGCTTGCAGAATAGCACCTGTTCACTTTTCTTCGGAAGATCAGAAGCGACATCGATTTTAAACCGCTGAAGTAAGTATGGACTGATGGCGTCCTTGAGGGTTTCTGCGCATTTGAATGCCGTCTGAACCTGCAGATTAGATGCATTTGCGTAGCCGCCCTGTCGAATGGGGATTTCGAACTGATTTCGGAAGCTGACCAAGGTGCCCAAACGCATGGGAAACACAAAGTCGAACAGTGACCACAATTCGATAAGGTTGTTCTGCATCGGAGTGCCAGAGAGAATAATGCGGTTCGGAGTACGCAGTTCTTTGCAGTAGATAGTTATGGCCGTATTAGGGTTTCTGATCTTGTGTCCTTCATCCAGTATCGCGTACTCCCAGTCAACTGGAATGAGAAGAGGGGCGTAGGTCTGGAGGCCAGAGTACGTCGTTACAAGAACTCCGCCGCCATCTTCGAAGACGGGCTTCAACATGTTTCGAGCCGCTTTTTGAGCTGGGGTCAGTGGTCGGTTCCTGAGCGTTGGATCCCATTCAAGGTCAAGCAACTCGTCTTCCTTGCTCGACTCATTGCGCAGATTGACCATGCCGCTGCCCGAAGAATGCAGGATCGTAACTCGAAATGGAGGCCACCAGCGATGAAATTCGTTGACCCACTGTTTCATGACGGTCGCGGGACAAACGACGATTATGGGCTTGGTCAGCTTTCTGCTGTAATGCAGGCCTGCCAGAAAGGCAATCATTTGAATGGTCTTTCCTAAGCCCATCTCATCCCCGATGATTCCTCCTACCTGTTGGGTATACAACTCGTACAGCCACTGTACTCCGGTCTTCTGATAATCGAACAAACTGGGATATATGTCTCCGGGAATCTTGTAACCGTCATTGAAGACTGTGTCCGGGATCTCTGGATGTGGGAGGTGTGCTTCTTCTAGCGCGACTGACGAAGATTCGCCATCAAGCACTTCATCGTCCTCATTATTCTGGGTTGGACCAGACGCATGCGTCCGGGCTCGTCGCCTCCTCAAGGCCCATCTCTTCACTCGGGATTGATAAATTGTCTCGGTACCATCATCGACGCCTCTAAAATCTTCAACGTCATCGCCGATTTGACCTGCTGCCTTCTGACGTGACCTCTTTTGCTTTCCAGAAGTGACGGGCATGTCCTCATTGTCGTCCTCTTCGGCATCGGAGAGAACGTCATCGTCAACTGAGTCTTCATCGTATGAAGAGTCCTCATTTCTTGCGATCGATTCTCTGGCTGCTAGACGTCTCCGTTTTCGTGGTTGTTCAAGGTCAACTTCTTCTTCGGCACTTGAGTCGGCAAAACTAGAGGCAAAACCGGGCTGCCGGAGGTTTCGATGGGACATCAACTTGTCACCGTGAATATCAGGAAGAATCTCGCCAAGTTCAGGCTCTTCCTCGGCATCCAGTAGCGCGCCTTGCAGGGTCGTGGATGACTCGCCATGAGTCGACAGACCAAACTTGGAAAATGGAGTAATCTTGCCTGTTCTAATTAAATAGTCGCGTTGCGTCTCATTCGGCAGCCGTCCGGTAGATGATGCATCATGTTGACCGACCAGGCTGGCATCTGTCTCTCTTTCTCTCATTCTTTCTTCGATTTCAGCAATATCATTTTGCAGATCTTGAATTTGACCTTGCATCCGGTCAATCTCAACGCGCAGCCGTGCTCGCCGAGTGGTCCCGACCGGACGACCCATTTCCTCGCGTGCTTTCCGGATTTGGTTCTGCAGCTTCTCCTTCTGCGCTAGGGTCTTGTCCAGTCTTGTTTGATCACGATCGTTGGCTTGCTCAAAAAGCATGCGATCTGCCTTCCGTCCAAGGTTGCGTTCCACGTCATCTTGGTCTTGCACCTCGGCATCCAGATTGCGTAGTCGGAGTGTCTCAGCGGATTCGTTCTTGGGTGTACCGCCATTGTCGACACCCTTGTCTGTCATGTCGGCATCGACGGCTAATGCGTTCTCAAGTTGATTTTGTTCTTGTTGGGCTTCCATTATGACAACTGCCTTGAGAACTTACTATTGACCTTTTGCCTTGAAGATCAAATTGATGTCGTCATCACCGCATAGAAAGTGCCATTCATTGTAATAGTAAAAGAGCAGTGAACGATCTCCCCAGTGATGAGATGCAGGATTTCTCGTACCAGGATGAGAGGTTGAACTGATTACTGCCAGTGTATGCTTGCGAACAATGTACTGTAGGTTTGACAGATGTGGCAACTCGTGGGTGAGTCAAGAGACCGGGATGGAAGGGAAAGGCAAAGCCTCCTAAACCTCAATTTTCGCCACAAGGATTACTGGCTGCCCTGTCAATAATATCAACGTTAATATCACTTCACATCGAGAAAGTGAATTTGAGGAAGTTCCATCACGGACCATAGACTAGGCAACGATGCGATTGATCCTGGTCAGAAAGCAGGCTGAACAACAGGTCCCATAATGCGCACATTTGCTGGACTGCGGTTGGGTAGCGGGTGACGAAGATAGAGGCATCTAAGAGGCTCTAAGTGCAGAGTACTATAGGTGCTAGCGGTAGCGGTAGCGCAGGCGGAAAGTCTTAGGCGGCCAAGGCTCGGGCGTAGCCTCCAAAATTAGAGCGCCTAATTAATCAGGCCCAGAAGTGATTTAGCCGCCTGCCCGCCGCGCAATTCGACAGCTGTTTTGAATGTGAGCCTGAACTGGTCGTGGGTACGGCACTCCGTACCTGGACGGACAAGTCACTCACATAACATACCTTCTACGTCGAGCACGCTCCCTTCTTTGATTGAATTCTGCTTGTCTCGGCACACCTTTCTGCTTCATTTTCTGCTGTAAAGGTTACTTGTCCGTCTCCGTGCCCGGTCTCAGAATCCGGTAGCAGTCATTGGCATTGTTTCCGCCCGCCCCAACTACGGGGCACCTACATTCACGTCCTTTTGGTCCACGTCCCACGAGCCTGCGCCAGCTCACTGCAGTCGACTTCTCACCACTTGTTCATACCGCGGGATAGAACAGCTCCACGACCTGATCGCCTCGTCTTAAACACCATGGCATCATGCTAAACGTGCGGTCTTCCTCTACCATGTGTCGACCCTCAAAATCACACTTTCGGTCCGCCTCGACTGCGCTTACCAAAGCCGCCAACCCCCTCTGCACACCCCTCTGAACGCAATCCCAGTGATTCCGATCTACACTTCAGATCCATCCTGATATAGAGGGCATTCTCTCGATAGACCCTGAGCATCGGATCTGAGGGCTTCATATATGTTTCACCGTTGAAACTGCGGCAAGACGGAGACACCACTGGCTCAGCTTCAACGCGGTACTGCATAAGAATCAGCTGCTGTGGATTTTGTTGCGTTGCCTACTGGTCTTAAAAAGCCAAACCATACCCCAGATCAGAGCCATGTCTCTGAATGCTACGCCTGCGACTCAATCGCATAACTATGAGCATAATGGTGAAGTTGACGTTCCGATGGAAGATGCGGACCCTTACAACCGAACCAAATACCCTGCTCGCCCTGCTCACCAACATCGACTATCGTCACAGTTTCTCGGCGAAACCTCTACTGCCGCACAGCGTTATTCTCCCCTGAACACCCAACCCACAAATACCTCGTACGCATCGAATCCCCAGACTCAGAATCAAAACAACTTCTCGCACATCAATCAGCCACAGTCCTCGCGACAATCTCCCAGCCGTCAGGGAGCTTATAACCTGGAACGATATGCTGATCCTCCTCCAACACCGACCAGATACACGTCAAGTTACGGCTCTATCCTGCAAAACTCTGAACTGAGCCCCGAAGCCTACTATCCCATTTCTTCGGGCAATGGACGTCCAGCGCCGCCCTCGCGACAACAGTCATATGGACCAGGACCGGTTCCGAGATTCAGGAAAGTCAACACATTGCAGGACCTCAACCCCAGAGTTAATGCACAACCGCTATATCGCAGAGCCAACCCCGAAGGCGGGTTTATCAGTCCCTTGCAAGCTCTCACCTCATACCTTCCGGCCACATATCGCATCTGCAATCCCAGCTTCAAGTACGAGTCGTCACGAAACCCAAGGCGAGTTTTAACAAAACCAAGCAAAGGAACCAAGAATGATGGCTACGATAACGACGATAGCGACTATATTCTCTACGTCAATGATATTCTGGGAAGTGAAGAAGCAGGCCACAAGAACCGCTATCTCATTCTCGATGTGCTCGGCCAGGGTACCTTCGGCCAAGTGGTGAAGTGCCAGAATTTGAGGACTCAGGAAGTCGTTGCTGTCAAGGTTATCAAAAATCGGACCGCCTATTTCAATCAGAGCATGATGGAGGTGTCTGTTCTGGACCTTCTCAACCAAAAATTCGACAAAAACGACGACCACCATCTCTTACGCTTGAAGGACACTTTTATCCATCGGCAGCATCTCTGTCTTGTTTTCGAGCTTCTCAGTGTTAATCTGTACGAGCTCATCAAACAAAACCAATTCCGAGGTCTCAGCACCACCCTCGTTCGTGTCTTTGCACAACAACTGCTGAATGGCCTAGCATTGTTGAACAAGGCTCGGCTCATCCACTGTGATCTGAAACCCGAGAACATTTTGTTAAAGAATCTCGAAAGTCCCATTATCAAGATCATCGACTTTGGATCCGCTTGTGATGAGAGGCAAACTGTCTACACGTACATACAATCCCGGTTCTACCGGTCCCCCGAGGTTTTACTGGGTCTGCCATATTCTTCTGCTATCGACATGTGGTCCCTTGGATGCATTGTTGTGGAGCTTTTCCTGGGGCTGCCTCTTTTTCCCGGATCCTCCGAATACAATCAAGTCTCTCGAATCGTCGAAATGCTGGGCATGCCTCCAATGTGGATGCTAGAGATGGGAAAGCAATCGGGCGAATTCTTCGAAAAGACAACAGACGAGTTTGGTCGCCGCAACTATCGGCTGAAAAGCATGGAGCAGTATTCCCGCGAGCACAATGTGAAAGAGCAACCCAGTAAGAAGTACTTCCAAGCGACGACTCTACCCGAAATCATCCGCAGTTATCCTATGCCTAGGAAGAATATGAAGCCTGCAGAAATTGAGAGAGGTATGATTAAACAGTCTCATCTTGTGCTCCCACGCTGACCGCTGCAGAAATGAACAATCGCGTTGCTTTCATCGACTTTGTTCGCGGTTTGCTCACAATCAACCCGCTTGAACGATGGTCACCTCAACAAGCCAAGTTGCATCCATTTATAACGCAACAAAAGTTTACACAACCATTTGTGCCTCCCATGAACTTGAAATCTCCTTCGTCCAGCAAGACTCCTGCGCCTGGTGTGCAGCAGCAACAACAAGCTGAAGCATTGAGCAAACAGCGAGCGGCTCAAGCCGCTCAAGCACAAGCCCAGGCCCAAGCTGCGCAGGCCCAGGTGCAGGCCCAAACGGCGGTTCAAAATGCCTACGCCTTGCAGATGAGTCCCTACCAGCAACCTCAACCTCCACCGATGTACAACGCCATGTATCCGGCTCATCAACAGGGTGCTCCTCCGCCCTATCCTACACATTCATCGAACTACGCTCCCCAAATGGGCGTGATGACCCAACAAACCCCTCAGATGAACCCTAGTCATTACAATCATCAACAGAGTCTGTACGCACAAGCCACGCAAAGAGCAGGCCGTCAACGGGCATCGACCATGGACCAGCAGCAGGGTGGAATTCCTCCTGCTATCCAGCGAGTTACCAGTCATTTGGACCCAAACGCACCTATCAGGCTTCAACCTAGTCCGGCCTACTATCCACCTCCTGCAGATGGCTACGTTGACTCGCCATCGACGGCACGAAGACGCGGTAGCCGCGCTCAAAGAAATCGTGACTTCATCCGGACTTTGGAAGATGGTGCTATGGGGGACAACTTCAACTCACAGTGGCACTGAAATCCATCAGATCAAGTTGCAGACAATCTCTGGCAGTTCATCCATTGACACAGATGTGTACCGACTACAAATCCCAAGGACATAACACTGAGGAGGCTAGACCGGATCCTTGCATATGTATGAACGCCACAACAACGTGGTTGTGACAGAAGAGAAACGCCACACTGTGCGCGGCACCTGACCGGCCTCAATAAACAGCTACCACTTCGAATGGAAACGATTTTACAAGGCAGGACCTGAATTTACGTGACCAGACTTGGTGCCAGCTGGATGAAGATGATCTATCAAACCACTGGGTGGGAGTTCTGTGGGATTGCTGATGTGGGAAGTCGGCACAACACTGGCTCTGGAACATGCTGGCCGTAAATTGGCGTGGGCAGGATGAGTTTTGGAATGAACTGCTGAGTGCATGGGGCAGGAAGCCTCGAGAGATGCGATCATGGTGTACAGTGCAGCCCAGTCGTCCCGCTTTGGAGGCTGTAGAAGCCTGTGGCAACAATGCCGGCGAGCTGAGTGATTTTGGGCTCTGTGTAAATGTCATGTACCGTCACAGGAATAGTTAAATCCCGTACCATGTGCAGCAGCACTTGTAAGCGAGCAGGTTAGCATCAGGATCATGGTAGAGTCACCTGCTGGTACCGTTTGAAGGAGTATTACTTGATATCCATACTACTGACGCTAGCAGTAGTATTACTGTAAATTACTACGGAGGAGTAGTACGCTAGGTAGTTGCGCAGTGTGGTGGTTTGCGACCACACCGCCAAGCCCAACAAAATTTCCAGTCTTGGCATTCGAATGCGTGAACCACTGGCATCAGATTGACAACTCGAAGTCAACGCCTCACGCACCGTCACCTTGCCCGCCTCGGGATCGATCTCACATTAATCCCCTTCCCACGACTGGTCACCATGTCTTCACGATTTTTCCACGGCGGAGATTCCGACAGCGAGTCTAGCTCCTCTTCAGAAGAAGAGCTCTATACCGATCATGGAGAAGAATCCGAGGAATCAGAAGAGGAGAGCGAAGAGGGTGAGGAATCTGAAGAGGATTCCTCCGAGGATGAAGGTGAAGGTCTGGGTGCGAAACGGTTCCTGAAGCCATCAGGACCGGGCGGCGATGACAGCGACGAAAGCGAGGATGAGGATCGGGAAAGAGTGGTTAAGAGTGCGAAAGACAAAAGATTAGAGGAAGTGGAGGGCACGATCAAGTTGATTGAAAATGCGACAAAGATCAACGACTGGGCTGTCATCTCTTCCGGTTCGTTTAACCACGTTGACCAGTGTGACATCCGCTGACCGCATGCAGAGTTCGACAAATTGAACCGTCAAGTTGTCAAGGTACTTCAGCAAGGTGTCACGCCCAAAATTTACATCAAGGCAATTGCCGACCTCGAGGATCTTATCAACGAGACGAACGACAAGCAAAAGACGGGGGCCAAGAAAATGAATCCCATCATTGCCAAAGGTTTCAATGCAATGAAACAGAAGATTCGCAAAAACAACAAAGACTACGTGACCGAAGTCGAAAAGTACCGCCAGAACAAGGATGAATACATGGAATCTGATGAAGAAGAGCACCCGGAGGTGGAGCAAAAGATCCGCAAGAACAAGGAGCAGAGACTAGATGCTCTTGAAGCAGCCATCGATGAGGAAGGCTTCGCAACTGTCGGCAGAGGTGGCAAGGCTCTCGTCTACACACCGGAAAGTATCCTCAAGCATCTTCGCAGCATTATCGAGTCTCGAGGAAAAAAGAACACCGATCGCACGGAACAGATTCGCATCATGGAGCGACTGTTGGAAGTTGCCAATACGCCCTATCAACGCATCCGAGTCCTCCTGACGCTTATTTCTACCCGGTTCGACGTCACCGCATCTTCAGTCCAGCACTACATGTCCCAAGAGTCCTGGCGGGGGGCAGAGCGAGAGCTTTCTACCCTTCTGCAGACGCTTGAAGATGAGTCGGGATATATTGTGACCGAGAACGCAGATGAATGGGAGGACGATGAAAAAGGACCCAACCCTACACCGGGCGAGATATTCAAGGTCCCGGGCAGCATCGTGTCCCTTGTGGAACGACTCGATGACGAATTGACAAGATCTCTCCAACAGACTGACCCCCACACAGCCGAATACATTGAGAGACTAAGCGATGAGCAACTATTGTACACCGACATTGTACGAACGGCCATCTACCTCGAGACAATCAACAAGTTGGAGCAATCTACGAACCAACAAGAGAATCTAAACAGAGCAGCCATCCGACGGCTAGAACACATCTATTTCAAGCCAGTCCAGGTTGTTAAGATCCTTGAGGAGAAGACCTGGGCTGCTCTTCCTCCCTCGCTCGACTCAGCGCTCACGCCGCGAGGCAAATACACCGAGGTTGCTTCTTTGGTGCAGACACTCTGCAGTCATCTCTTTGAGCACAGCGAGGGTATCATCAGAGCTCGCGCTATGCTCTGTGAGATCTACTTCCTCGCTCTTCAAGATGACTACTACAAAGCTAGAGACCTGGCACTGATGAGTCATCTCACGGAGAACATTTCATCGTTTGACGTGAGCACGCAAATTTTGTTCAATCGCACCCTAGTGCAGATTGGCCTTTGCGCTTTCAGAGCTGGCCTCTGCTACGAAGCTCAGGGCGTCTTACAAGAGATCTGCGGCTCCGGACGGCAGAAAGAACTTCTCGCCCAGGGTGTCATTATGCAGAGATATTCCACCGTCACCCCAGAGCAGGAACGTCTCGAACGTCAACGACAACTCCCGTTTCACATGCACATCAACCTCGAGCTGTTGGAGTGTGTTTACCTAACCTGCAGTATGCTGCTGGAGATCCCACTCTTAGCTCAGACAGGGTCATCTCCAGATGTCCGGAAGCGAGTCATCTCCAAAACATTCCGCCGTATGCTCGAGTACACTGAGCGACAGGTCTTCCAAGGCCCACCAGAGAACACCCGTGACCACGTGATGCAAGCAGCCAAGGCTCTCGCCCAGGGTGACTGGAAGAGGTGCCAGGAACTCATCGGCAAGATCGCCATCTGGGATCTGCTCGGCAATGACAAGGACAAGGTCAAGGAGATGCTCGTGGAACAAATCCAAGAAGAGGGTCTGCGGACGTACTTGTTCACGTATGCGCCGTATTATGACACTCTTTCCCTCACCACCCTCTCGGGTCTGTTTGAAATGGACGCCAAGAAGATTGCAGCCGTGGTGTCCAAGATGATCTCGCACGAGGAGCTGGCAGCTGCTTTGGATCAGGTCAATGATGCCATCGTGTTCCGAAAGGGGGTCGAACTGTCGCGCCTGCAGAGCCAGGTCATTGCTCTTTCCGAGAAATCAATGGGCATTCTGGAAACCAACGAGAAGGTTCTTGAGACGAGGACGGCTGGTATGGCCAACGCGTTCCAACGCGATCAAGGTCAACGAGGCGGCCGAGGTGGCCGGGGTGGCCGAGGTGGGCAGGGCTCAGCACGCGGACAAGGTGGCCAGAGAAGAGGCGGTGGACAGGGGTTCACTGGTGGTGCCCTAGGAGCGGCGATCAAATCATGAGCTTGCGTCTGCGGAACGACACAATGATGCGGCCACTAGGAAGTGGATGAGGATGGCAAGGTATTGCTCACAAAGCATGAAGATCCGACTTTGTACGACATGGCCGGTTTTGGCATTGCACATTGCACATTACAGATTGCTACGGGCATGACCGGCTGATCCAATGGGCGAGAATAGACAAGTTCCAATGTATCAAACAGAGCAGGTTGGTGATTGAACTGCTTCACGTTCCCGGAAGTAGACAGTCTCGTGAAGTCTCCCACACGTCAAGACACCTTACTGTACATACCACTTTATTATGCCCTTTTGCCTTGCACAAGGTTACACAGCGGCTTAAGCTGCGCCGGCCGCAAGGCTGGCTGACTCCTTTGCAGGTGGTGCAACACCACTGATCGGCCGGTCGGATTTGGTTGACTCCGGGCTCTGCAAAGTACGCTCGATATGCCGGTGCATCTGACGGGTTTCAGCATCTCACGTAATATGATGGAGCAGAAGATGCACAAGTCACAGTCACATAGAATTGTTTCAAGTGCTTCAGCGCACCGGTGGGGTGACGAGGAGAGATTTCCTGGGCGTGGCGTGACCGTGACTGACCACACTGGTCTAGATGGCAGATGTTCTCCCCTAATTCCCCTCCCAAGGCAACGAGCAACTGTGCTCCGCAACCTGGCTCAACTCCCCCCATTTGAGTGTGGGCAACCGGCGGCGCGTATCACTGTGGGAAACACATGGGGAGCCGCGGGCGACTATTTAACGTGCTGACAGTCTCGCTGCTTGTTCTTCTGGCCACTATGCTTTTCAGCCGCGTACTCAAGATGGCATCCAGAACAGAGAACACAACAGCACCTCCACGGGTCATTGTGGTAGGATCAGGGCTGGCCGGCCTCTCGGCTTCGTCGGAGCTTGTCTCGAGACAGATCCGCGTGCACATAGTAGAACGGCAACCGAAGCCTGGAGGCAACTCGATCAAGGCCTCCAGCGGAATCAATGGCGCGCCCACACGCTTCCAACCTCCCGGCTCGGACTCTGCCGCCGCCTTCTACGAAGACACGTTGAGGTCGGCCAGTGCGGACGTGCTGGCTACCATGAAGGAGAGAAGGCAGAGCTTGATCTCCACCCTGACCAGCTCTTCTTCGTCGGCGATCAATTGGCTAGTAGACGAGAAAGGAATTGATCTATCTCGCGTGGCCCAACTGGGCGGCCACAGTCATGCGAGAACGCACCGTGGAGCAGGCAACACGCCGCCCGGCGCAAGCATCGTCTTGACCCTCATCAATCAGCTCAAAGAAAATCCGCTCGTCACGCTCGAGACCGGCACGGCCGTGACTAAGGTGCTCAAGTCGGCAGATGAAGTGGTGGGCGTCGAAGTCCTACGTGACGGAAAGATCGAGGTCTTGGAAGGGCCCGTGGTCTTCGCGTCCGGTGGGTTTGCTGGAGACTCCCAAGGTGTGCTCGCGCAGTATCGCCCCGACCTGGCCGGCTATCCTTCCACCAACGAAGCGCTCCCAGGCAGCCAGGGCCTGTTGACCGAGGTTGGAGCTCAGTTGCTGGATATGGACCTCGTGCAAATCCATCCCACTGGATTCGTCGATCCGAAGGAGCCCTACAAACACACCAAATTCCTGGCCGCCGAAGTCCTGAGAGGAGAAGGGGGCATTCTATTGCGACAAGGGTCGCGCTTCATCAACGAGTTGCAGACCAGGAAGGTGGTCACCGAAGCAATCACCTCTTCCGGGCCGGCGGTCACCGACCCCGTCAAGCAATGGGATACTCTGCTCGTGCTGGACGAGGCTACCTATGAGGCGGCCAAGGCTCATGTCGATTTCTATCTCTGGAAAGGACTGATGCGCAAGACGACCATCGCCGAGCTCGACCATGCCGACGCGGCTTTGGCTTCCATCAAGGAGTATTCGGCCGTCGTGCAAGGCGAGGCCGCCGATGCCCAAGGAAGAATCTCGTTCGGCCGATGGAGGCTACTGGATCCAGCTCCCGACTCGACCGTCTATATCGGCACCGTCACTCCGGTGGTGCATTATACCATGGGCGGCGTGGTGTTTACGCCGGACGCTCAGGTTCTGGAAACCGCTGGCGCGCCGATCAAGGGACTCTGGGCCGCCGGCGAGATCACTGGCGGCATCCATGGCGCCAACCGGCTCGGAGGGAGCAGTCTGCTGGAGTGTGCCGTCTTTGGACGCATCGCGGGACAGAATGCGGCGGCGTATGCGGAAGCGAAGAGTAAATGAAGCAAGATTAAGCAAGGAATTGATTGAACAAGAACAAACAAAAGAAAAGCATGTAGCCACTTGGCCGGGTTATAACAAAGGGGAGTCAGGTTTCCAATGGACAGGGAACAGGTATACTTGCAGGCTACATTGGCCTGCGCGATGCAGGATGCAGCGTGCCGTCAAAGGGCCATTTCAACCACGGCGGACACTGTCACCAATGGCCTGGTGGCGGTGTACACTGTACAGTAACTTGATCAAGAGCCACAAAGTTCTTCCTACATCAGAGTATCATCTGCTATTTCGTTTTGTTTTCTACTGTCGGTTCTCGTGGTCTTGACCTGGCGATGTGCCCAACCTACTGCGGCCAGGCTGGAACCTGAATTGACTTGACTGCCCGTGTAGAAGTGACTTCTTCTGACAGCAGTGAATCCCTCCATTATCAAGGCCACTACATCCCAACGCAAGTGTCCCTTCTCCTGAACTCACTGTTGGGTCCCCACCGGACTACTGGTACGTTGAAGGCCGCACACCTGTGAGTACAGCACTGAGATTACGCGAGGCTGGAGCAGAAGACTTGACAAGGCGCATTGCACAGAGCCCACATCCTCTATTCGCAAGAATATCCAGACCGCTCTCGAATCCGGTGCCGCCCTAGACTTACTAAGCTACCTTATCTTAGTTATAAGTTGGAATAGAAGAAGAAGCTAGTCGGACTAGGTAAGGTTACGAACGCTAGGCCTGCTATCGCCTTAGCGCAACTTGGACTAGTCCTAGTATGGATTATGGAGTCAGAGAATCCCCCCTGTGCCACTAGTCGATCTCGACCTATTAACCTAGGCCTACTGAACAGGCCGAGGCTGGACTATGTCTGTATACACGGTAGGTCCGAGAGCCTTGGACCATCCGATCATCTTCGCCAGACAGGATGCGGTCGACCGTAGCCTACGCCTTGTCGGCGAGGTACCTGTCTCGTTACCAACAGGTACTGACAGGGGCTTAGGCTTAGGGAGTAAGTGAAAAGGTGGCTGTGGCCCTATAGTGTGCTTCAAGGTCTGTTCGATGTGTGGCAACAAAAGTCAGTCAAAACAAGCATGATTTTCCGCTCGTGGCATCCTCCAGTCGATGGCGAGTCCCAGCATATCTACAATCAAACGAAATCAACGACGCTGACGGCGAGCTAGTTCCCATAGACAAACACATCTGGCAATAGTTAACCAAGCACGCTCTCAACCGATAAACTAAATAGACGACATCAGGCTACACCTTGAACGTGGACTCCTGGTAGTGTATTACCTTCTTCTAGCTTAAGGACTATATCACGTATTGATCGACGGTATTGACGGCTAAATATAGATTACGTGCTGGAGAGTCGAAAGACAGCCACTGCAACAGCCTCGGTTAAAGCTGGCTCGGTGGCGGGTCCCAGACATGTACCACTCAGTGTATTTACAGTATACGCACGACGGACTTTCTCTGCCTGAAAAAGAGGCCAATCATGATTTGGCCTATCACGCATAGCATGGCACAGCATATAACCGCCAGATGCATCCTATAGTAAGCAGACCACTTCGGTGAGCCTGTGTCCGGTTGCGAGGCTCGAACACAATTCATGTCAAGGCAGCATCATACGGAATAACGAAGTTTTGTGTCAGCATCGTTCACCCAACGAGATTTCCGAAAGATGGAAGATTTCTCCGCCTTGCCCGATTTTGATTCCCTGCCGTATTCCCCAGATGGCAGTCTCCCAGGCTGTGCATGGAAATTATTCGATCACAATAGGCAGGCGGATCAGCTCGGGACCTTGAATCTGCTGACCCAAGACAAGGTTCTGGATGCAGCAAGACGTAAATCCAATGTGGTCAGACGGTGTCTCTCGACTGGGGCCTCGAAAACCCACCGTACTCTGCTTTCCAGCGAAGCACGTTGCAACACCGGATTCTCGATCTCAGTTCCAGCGGAATGTATGCCAGCGACGAGCACGTTAGCTTCTGTCCGCAGCATGGATCCCACTGGGACACTCCACTGCATTTTGCACATCAGAAGTACGGCCCAAATGCGTTGACAATGACGAACATGGCTTTCTATTGACACACATGTCAGAAGCAAGAAATACTACAATGGACTCGGCCACCAGGGATTCCACTCGCAGAATGCCCTTCATCAAGGTACGAGATTATGGAGTGCTCGTGGTGGAATCTGCGGACGCGGTGTCCTGTTGGACTGGGCCGCCTGGGCTGCCGAACACAACGTTCCATACCATCCGATCGGAAATCACAAAATCACCGTCGCACAGCTCGAAGAGGTCGCCAACTGGCAAAAGACAACATTGAGTCCGGGCGACATTCTTTTCCTTCGCACAGGCTTTGTGTCATGGTGCAACACCGCAGCGACGGATGACGAGAATCGACGAAGAATGCTGGAGCGAGCAGAGTACTCGGGCGTCGAGGCTTCGATCGAGTCATGCAGGTGGTGAGGCTCTTCAGCTCCCTTATGGATTAAATTCTGTATCATCTCGCCAGCTGACAGACGTTACCAGGCATTGGAACCATCACTTCTCCGCCGTTGTGTCGGACACCATCACGTATGAAGCGTGGCCGACCGGCGAAATTGTGCTTCACGAGTACTTTCTGGCCATGTGGGGGATGCCCATCGGAAAGCTGTGGGATCTGGAGAAGTTGTCAGAGGTCTGCAGAAGCCGGCAAAGATGGTCCTTTTTCCTGACCAGTGCCCCCCTGAATGTGGCCTCCGCGGTTGGGTCACCACCCAATGCCCTGGCCATATTTTGATGGTTATTTATAAATGCCTATTCCACCGATTTAACCTCTATCCCATGTGGGACCGCCACTTGATTCCGGAGGCCCCCTTAGATCCTTAGCAAAGCACTCCAATCAGTTCAATCTAAAAAAAACAATGACGGTATTTGCGATGCGTGCAGCATTACAAACTTAGAAGAGGCCCGTAGCATGACTTGACTAATTGCTGGATCCGCAATTCACATTACGAGGTGTTCGTGAAGTGACTGACAACCTCCATCTAATGTTCGAACTGCTCAATGACCCCGACGGCTTTTACGAATACAATCGGCGCTATTCAGCGAGTTTGATTTGTCGAATCATATACGGCGAGCGAATCCAGGATTGGTCAGATCCATTGATTCAGAAAATCTTCAGCGTCCTGATCAATCTGTCCGATATATCCAGTCCTGGTGTTCCTCAAGATTTTGCCGCAGTGGATGACGAATAACTGGAAAACTTACGCAAAGAAAATTTGCGAGCATGACTCGGGTATCTATCTCGAGCTCTGGAGGGATATGAACAAGAAGGTCTCCTCGGGGAAGATCAAGCCGTGCTTTGGCAAAGACTTTATCGAAAGCAACCCAGAAAAGTTGAACATGAATGAGCTCGAAGCTGCCTTCCATACTGGGCACCTGATCGAGGCGGGAGCCGAGACAACTTCGGCCGCATTGAACAGCCTTCTTCTTGCTTTGTCCCTGTTCCCCGAGGCGAGCAAAACTGCACAAGAAGAGCTGGATCGTGTGGTTGGCCCTGACCGACCTCCCAAATTCGACGATCAAGACAATCTTCCCTACATCAAGGCCCTGGTCAAAGAAGGCCTCCGGTGGCGCCCTCCGAACCAGTACGGAATGCACCACGCCGTTGTCGAGGACGACTGGTATGAAGGCATGTTTATACCCAAAGGCTCAGTGGTCATGTTGAATTGGTGGTAAGTGTCTTGGTGTGCCGAATATGGTTTCACAATGAGGATACTAATTATCTTTGGTCTAGGGCCATCCACTTCAACCCCGGGGTATGGGAGAGTCCAGATGATTTCCGCCCGGAGCGGTATCTGGATCATCCATTGTCTGCAGCGACTTATCTGAACGTTGCCAACCCTGCGGACCGAGACCACTTCGCCTATGGAGCGGGAAGGCGCGTCTGCCCAGGGATACATGTGGCGGAGCGGTCCATCTTCATCAACGTTGCGCGAATTCTCTGGGCATTCAACATCTCGAAGAAGACGATCAACGGTAAAACCGTCGAACCGGAGACACTCTGTGTTCCAGGATGGTTGTCGGTGCCGCAGAAATTCGAATGCTCCATCACCCCGCGGTCCGAGAAGCACGCAGAAGTTATCAGAAAGGAATATGAGGTCACAGACAAAGACATTTGAGTGTCTTGAGCTCTGGGGTTAGGTATAGTATCTATGACTTGTTATGATGGATGTGGGTATGACGGTATTAAGGCCTGTTTTGACGAGGCGGTCAACTGATTGTTGAACGGCCAAACCCTCTCTGTCCCTGATGGAAACATGACACATCAAGAACTCCGAGGCTGCCGGTTGGCAGGTTCGCGAGACACGACGAGGTCAGCATCCAACCATCCTGGGAAGTGAACCAGGGAAAAAAAGGTGAAGGGGGCCGACCAGGCTTGCGAGGTAGCTGGAGTGTCACCAGGAAAGCTGCGGGAAGATCTTCAGGGATGGCTTGACCTCCGGTTGTGTGAAATTGATAGGCTCCTAAAGAATAAAGGACTATGATACAGCCGAAACCGAAACACAACCAACTCCTACCATGGAATGTTTTCTTCACGATAATGACTGCGGTACGGAGTACTGAGGTCGAATATAGTTCTGTTATAGGTTATAGACGGCGCTTGATCCTCAGCGTCAGGTCAGTGAGCGTGGTGGATGTCAAGTCAGACTGTCCTCCGGTTCTCTGTCAGTGAGCATCGTGGATGTCAAGTCAGACTGTCCTCCGTTTCTCTGTCAGTGAGCGTCGTGAATGTCAAGTCAGACTGTCCTCCGTTTCTCTATCGGCCTGCTACAGGGCGCCCCTAAGCCCCTAAGCCCTTCCGCTGGGGTCTCATCAGCCTAGATAGAGTCACCCTCCACCTCCAGACTGCCGACAATCCGCTGGCTCGTCTTTCCGTTTTCGCCGCCTGCAAAGGAAGACTATAGTCTTCACAACATGACAAACATCACTTCCGACAACGCTCACCCCTCCACTTTACTGTATGGTCTCCCATCATCTCGGAAGCAACGCCCACCCCTCCACTTTACTGTATGCTCTCCTATCATCTCGGAAGCCATTATCATAGCATGTCCTTCTCTAAAGCCAGTAGATTACCGGAGTACTTATTCCTATCATTCATGCTCTTGAAGAACAGCTGTATTCCCAGGATCATACCCATCCGTGGATCTGGTGATGCGTAGATCTGGTCTTGCTGGCTACAAGTGACAATCATAAAAACAGTGTCGGAGTATTTGGACGGTCTGTACGTCCGCCCTGGAGGAAGGTATACAGCTTCGGAACCCTTCGAGGCCACTGTGTATTTGATCCAAGGAAGAGTGTATATATGAACACAGGTAACATAGAAAGACCGATTTGGAGAGTGAGGGATGCTGCTTTAATCCAGGCCGTAAATGTTGCCCCTTTTCTGTGTTAGGGCAACATTTACGGCCTGGCCGAAAATAAAGCACCGTGATATACCGTCCATTCTTAGGGTGTATCATACATATCTAGCACCCTCCCCTCTGTCCCTGCGCCTCAATCAAGTCGTCCACCCTTTGATGTACTCCGTTAGGTAGTCACGCGGATGTATTCCAAACCGCTACAACAAGGCAAGCCGAATGATAGGGCGATCATCTCCTACTACATACTATACTTCCGACGTCGCCAGATGAAGGTTACGCGATCGTCATGGCTCCTATAGAGTAAGTATCTTGAGAGTAAGTCGCTCATCCTACTGAGCGTAGCGAAGTAGTATATACTGCAAATCTCTTACTCGTACGAGTCGTAATACGAGTCGTGCATGACGGCCCTAGACTAGACTTCTAACTAGGCTCTTAAACAACGCCTTCTTAAGTATTAGAGCGACGAGTTGGTTTACTCTACGGATATTTATTCGCCTTACTAGGGAAGGTGGGCGAGGGTCCGAGCAGTTTTTACTCGTCTTGTCTTGCCATTCCCACTCATCGAATCGAAATGCCCCTCGTCCTATACTGGCTGTTCCAGTTCCAGACTTTTCCGACAACCTCGACCCCTAGGAACTGAGAAATGGAAAACAGCTCACCACTTAGAAATTGCGGTATAGAAATTGCGGTATGGAAAACAGCTCACGAGAGATGGTGACTGGTCTAAGACCAGCTAGAGCCTAGCTAGCTTTTTTTGACTTTGATATCTGTTGCGTTTTCGAAGAGGCTTGGATGCATTTGGTTTCATTTGGTTTCATTTCGTTCCATTTCGTTCCGTTCCGGTTCATTTTATTCCAGAGATAGTTGAGAAGGAGAAGGAACCCTGAAAATAAAGACTCCCTCATCCGTGCACTCCGAGCAAGTGACGGTTATATACACCAAGTGGCTAATTTCCTGGTGAATCAGTTACTTCGTCCTTTTTGGCGACTGTCGTGGTATAACAGTTTGGGTCAACTGTGACAGAGCACTAATTTTGCCAACTTAGGAGAGATGGCGTGGCCTGGCCGGCCCTCATACTAATTGGACTGCTTGACCTTAACCTTGTTCAGGGCGGCATAGTCCCAATCCTCCTTGATCATATCAGCCGCCTTCTCGGCAAGCATGTAGACGCTACTAATGATGTTCCCGGAGACATTGTTGGGCAAAATACTGGCGTCGATGACCCGGAGGTTCTGCACGCCGCCGCGCACCCTCAGTCGGGAGTCGACGGTGTCGCCCATGGCGCAAGTGCCACAGCTATGGTATTCGCCGAGACAGGTGTCGCGGACCGAAGCACGGCGCGTCTCGGGCGTGTCCAAAGACGGAAAGGTGCGCGGATCAGGCTTGACCCGGGCGCCCAGTTTCCCCTCGAGCGCGGGCGCATGGGCGACGGTCTCGAGGAACTTGATTCCGGCCGCGAGCACGGCCACGTCGGCCTCGTGGCTCAGATATCCCGGGTCGACTTCCGGGTAGGCGGTCGGGTCGGCGGATTTGATGTGGACATGGCCCCGGGCCACCGGGTATTGTAGACACACGCAGAGGGTGATGCCGTCTGGCGTGGCTCCCGAAGTGTCTTGCTGTGGCGGGAACAGCTTGGCCTGGTCCGGCACCCCGTTGTCGAAGTCGGCGCTCACCGTGATAAAGACGAATTGAAGGTTGGCGGACCGCGGGTTCCTGATGTGCGCGATCACTTGGTCCCACTGTTTCTTTTGAAACGGCGTGGTCGAGGCCGAGGCTTGCGACTTGGTGATGGACGCAATGATCTCGTCCATCTCCCCTTCCTCGAGGAACAGGGAGCACGGCAGGAAGCCCTGCACCGCCTGGATGCCTGTCAGGGGCCCGCCCTGCGTCTCGGCCAGCGCTTTCTGCGCCGCGGCCAACACCTCCGGCTTGTAGATCGAGTCGCCTCCCATCAGGCCGGGCGCGAGCTCGTAGCAGGCAAACGCGGCCACGTGGTCTTGGTAGTTGTTGCCGACACTGGGCAGGTCCACCAGGCATTCGATGCCCGCCGCCTGCAGGACTGTCGGGTCGCCAATCCCCGACAGCTCCAGGATCTGCGGCGTATTGATGGCGCCGCCGGCAAGAAGCACTTCACGCTTGGCTTGGACCCTGTGTTTCTGCCCGTCGTGGATGAACTCGACGCCGGTCGCCGTCTTGTTGTTGTCCAGGACCACCCGGGACACCAGTGATTCGGTAATGACCCTGAGATTCGGCCGATGTTCGTTGGCTTGGAAGTATCCCCGGGCCGCATAGCTGCGTTTGCCTTTGAGCGGGCCCGTCCGCGCCACGGTACCGAGGCCTCTGTAGAATCCGATATGGTCTCCGCTCCAGGGATCGACGGGCTTCTTGTCGAACCCCGCGGCCTGTTCTGCTGCTTTGGCCACGTCGTCTTCAAGCGGGAACCAAGTGTCGTTGAAGCTGGTGCGGACAGGCCCGCTGGTGCCGTGGTTCTCTTCGACAAACGGAATGCTTGTGCGGTCGGTGATGCGCTCATCGATCGGCTCCAAGGTCTGGTGCTTGCGCATGTACTGCTTCACGTTTGCCCACGACCACGAAGGGTCGTCGGCCAGCTCTGCCCAGTCATTGTAATCTTGGTCCGAGCCACGGACGTACCTGTTTGGCAAAGTCACGTCAGTTTGAATCTTGAGTGGCCGGTCTGGCTGCGCGATGAAACCCACATCAAGTAGTTGATAGCACTGCTTCCACCCAATGCGCGTCCACGAGGTACGTGATGGACTTTGTTTTGATTGCCTGCCTGCAGAGCGCCATGGCCCTGGTGAGTATCTGATCTCTGATCTCTGATCAAATGTGCGCGAGATTCTGTCGTACCTGAGGCACAGTTTTAAAGCACCAGTCATATTCCTTGTTGCCCAGCATCTGAGTAAACAGAGCGGGGGTGTCGACCAGGAAATCTCCAAGCCGGTTTTTCCCAGCCTCGATGACCCCAACCGTGACATCGGGGTTTTCGGTCAAGCGGGCAGCAACCGTCAATCCTGTTACGCCTCCACCGCATATGAGGTAGTCATAGCTTTCTTGTGCGATGAACTCTTCAACAGAGACATGGGCTGACTTGGGAGAGCCATTGGCACCATTGACACCGTTGACACCGTTGACTCCATCCACGCCATCAGTGGCAGCCATATCTGCAAGATTTAGCAGAAGAGGGGCTTGAAATAGTGAAAAGAGTCGCAGAAGAATCAGTGTTGGTATGAAACGAAATGCCGATAGAGCTGGAGCTGGAGGGGAACCTCCCAGTTGTTATAGACACATACTCTGTACCTGTTGGTGTACGTACAGACTCTGCGAGATCTCTGCTTGCAAAAGACATGACCAAAATGCAGACACCAATGGGCCCTGGCGAGTTGCCTGAACTGGTAACCTTGAGGTCAATCAAGTTCGTTCTGGGAGGGGATAGGCTCTCAGTAAACGGGACAAGTAGCACCAATTGGTGCCAGGGCCACAAGGTGGCAGCGCTAGACACTGGCTGGTTGTTATGTGTACAGCCGCTGCGACCTGTTCACGTAAAATCATGCCGCCCACTAGTAACTGTCGCCTAGGAGCAATCCATTTCGCCCAACGCCGACAGACATTGGCCGATCGTTTATCGGGGGCTCCGGGGGTGGGCAAAGGCTTCTCCATGACAATGTCCGGTCGAGGGGCCTGTTGACCACCTGAACAGACAAAAAGGACGTTCAAGAGGGCCGAGCTAGTCTCTCTATTAATATGTACCTGATAGGTGCCTGATGTTCTTCTGTTGGTGAGAGTTAGTCGCTGATGTTCGATGGCGTGCCCGGCCAACCTTCCCCATCAGGCTATCCATGTCTGATCCCGGGTCCTGGAGAGGAGCTATGTGTATTATATCCAGATATCTCAGGGCCTGGTCCGGATATATCTTGATCATGTGTCCCTGGTATACATTAATACGGGAGGTCCTCGAGCGGATCGTGCCATCTACACACTGCTGGTATTGAGCCGGCCTGGGAACCTCCTCGAGGAAAGACACCAAACCAAAGTCCTCTCGGCCCCAGTCGCGCCTGGCGAATGCGAGTCATGGGCGGGCCAATTGAGAATCAACCACTGCCTGCCCATCTTTTTCCCGACCGGGAAATCCACGTTGTCATCTCCATCTTGTCCGGCCACCAGAAGGCTCAACACTATTACGATGAGACCCTCAAACCGCTCCTCGACAGCCACAATCTCAGATACAGCACTCACACGACAAATTCCGAACGTACGATCGTCAATCTAACCCGGAGTCTATTTGTCATCAATGCCACGCAAGGAGTGAAGCAAACCATCATTCTTCTGTCGGGCGATGGTGGCATCACTGACATTGTCGACACCCTCACTAGTATCTTGAATCGAAGAAACGATGACTCACGGCCGCCCTCGATCTTTTTCAAGCCCACTGTGGTTCTTATCCCCATGGGAACTGGGAACGCGTTGGCCTGGAGTTCGGGGGTTGCTCGAGATCCCCTAGAATCTATGATGAAAGGAACTCCACGGTCTCTGCCATCCTTCCAGGTCCAGTTCAGCCCTGGCGCAAGACTCGTCGTCAACGAGGGACGAAACCGCGAAGTTTTGACGGACTCGGATGATAAGGAAAGTACAGTGTATGGTGCTGTAGTCTTCAGCTGGGGACTGCACGCGAGCCTGGTGGCGATGAGTGACAATGCCGAATACCGCAAGCATGGGCTGGAGAGGTTCAAAATGGCGGCTTCGCGGCTGTTGACTGACCTTCATTACTACAGGGGCAAAGTCCAATGGCGGAAAGTAGGGGAGGATTGGAAAAGCCCACCTTGGTCGGAGCAGTCCTATGTACTGGCAACCATGGTCTCCAACCTCGAAGAGCACTTCAAGATTTCTCCAGCCACAAAGCCACTCGACGGAACCTTACGGCTTGTTTCCATTGGTCCCGAACCCGCCAGCGAGATAACACGGCTCCTGGGGCAGGTTTACCCATCTGGTGACCATGTGTCAGACCCTAAAGTGATATATGAGGAGATTGATGGTCTCAAAATCCAGTTTGATGAAGAGGATGAAAGATGGCGGATGGTTTGTATTGATGGCAAGATCGTCACGATTGCGAAAAACGGATGGGTGGAGGTTACCCGAATCCCAGGGACCGGCATAGATGCGAGAAGGGTCGTCGAGGTGGTTTGTTGACTTGAAAGAGCCGCCCATGATCCTGCACACTATATATAGTCCAGAGTGGTCTTGGATCTCGGCGGACCTGGGACTTATATAACGAATGAGTCGGGGAGCGTCATGCACGGCGCAATTGAGGAGACGCTCCCTTGGCGAGGCATGGGCATAGGCATGGGCATAGGCATGCCCTGATGACAGCCATTGCAATTTCATTAAGGTGCCGGCAATTGAAGACACCATGGAGGTCCTTCAGGGGTACAGAGACTCAGGAGTAGAGACATGATGCGAAAACGAGAGTCCTTTCTTCCCTCCCGGACCTCTGGCGCGAGGCTGCGCACTGCACGTGATGTCAGGTGACCATCGCCCGGGAAGCAGGTGTGCTGACTGTACTCCGTTCTACCTCTTGATTGGTGCCAGCCCTTGCTTTCCCGCTGACGTTCCGTTTCGTGACATTTCAACACTGGCAATTGACGTCGGGCTCGTCGGGCACGACACAGTACTCTTGGTCGACAAGTCAGCCTTCTCGTACGTTCTGGTCCCCCCAGTCGCGCAAACTAGCTTCTGTGCCACTACTCGGGTCATTCTTCCGTGCGCCGTCTCCCAAACCCAAACGACGCTGTCGCTCTGGGAGATATTCGAGGAACCGCCAGATATCTTACGCCCCGAAGCCAGCAATGATCAACCGGGCAGCCAGCTGAACACACTGACAAAGACAAATACCGATATTGACTTGGTCGACATTGTCCCTCCGTTCCGGTCAATCCGCCGACATCGAGTTTAATCGAATCGCGCAGAACCTCATCTTCTGGAGCAACTACTGCCATCATGCATGGATGGGGTAAGCACATTGTCCTCCACATTGGCGCTTTCCAGTACCACGGAACTGACCTGCTATTCTGTATACAGGCCTTTTCTTCTTCCTCCTCTTCCTCCTTCTCATCTTCGCCGTCGTCGGCTGGGTCGGCTACACACAGTACCAAGCGCGAAAACAAGGCTTACCAGCTCCCTCGCTGAAGTCCTGGAAGACATACATTCCATTACTCAAGACCCAGGGCTCCTCGAACTACCCTGCCCCGCGCCATGCCGGGCCTCTCGAGTGGTTCCGCGATCTATTCTCCAGGCTCACCAACAAGCGCACTGCCAGGGGTGCCTACGAGGAGGCGGGCGCAGAAGCCGGTCTCAGTGGTAGAAGGAGGGGGCGAGGTGTTGAGGACGATGCATGGGATGTCAGAGTGGGCAATGAGGATCCGTACGCCTCCGGGCCGGGGTACTCAGGCTACGAAGAACAAGAGCTGGGCCTTGCGCCGACACCAGGCTTGCATAATGAGCCGTATGCCGGTGGCAGCGGAGGCGACTATCTCGGCGCCAACCGAGGCTACTCCGAAGTGGACAATCGAGGACGCCCATCGAGTGCGAAAGGCTTGGATCCCTTTGGTGACCAGAACGAGGCACCGAGTCTAAGGAGTGTAAGTCCCCGGCCCGAGGCGGATGGTGGTCGGGGACATACCAAAGGGAGTCAAAGTCTTGATACCCAAGGCAGTGGGGACGGTGGCTCGAGTCCCACGAGTACAAGAAAGAGCGTCTTCAGAGAAGGGATATGAGATGGTCGAGGCATGAAGTGTAAGGAGAAGGCATGTTTGTTGCGTACGACGACGACAGGCTTGTAACGTTATGATGATGAACTGGCACAGCGATCGATTGATTCGAATGACTTGGACGGCCTCTGGACTTGGATACAGCCTGCTGCTTACTCCCAGTACGATTGCAGGCTGCTGGCTGCGACGTCGGCTATCGTCAGCCGCCCTGGCGTGGGAAGTGGTACGGCAAATCTCTTTCCCACAACTTCCTCTATTCAGTCTTTCCGCATGAGGAGGCCGTGTGTTGCGGGCTTGCATTACCATGTGCGCTGCTGTCTTGCTTGGGTGATGTTGAACACGATGGAGAGATTGCGTCAGTACTTCTCCCAAGTTGCAACAACTTGATATCACTTCCAGTGGAGCTGGGCTTGTGGATGGAGGCTTGAAACCTCATGTCAAGCTCAAGGTTGTACCACTTTCCCACGCAGCCAAGGCGATAGCATAGAACAAAATCGGAGTTTCGGTATGGGTACCGTTGCGTGCAGATTCAAAAGATGCATATCTATGTATTCGACACTAGTATTGACTTGCTGGAAAAGTCAAACGGCCAATTTCCAACATCATTCTTGCCTCCTTTCGCACTGGATTGCTGTCATCGCCTCTGGGGTCGCTATAAATCTACAAGTGGACTATTTGAGGCTTGTTCGAGAGCTTGTTCGTAGTTTGATAAGTCAAAGCCCCATTGACCATGTAACCTCCTTGTCGAGCACCACCCCACAGCCTCGTCCAAAGCACGCCTCTGATATCCGCAATGAGCGATTGGACTCCTAGCACCCACAGCTGGAGATCGACAAGCTCGGTAAGTGGCAGACGATGGCTGGCCGGAGTCGCAGCGGGTTTGTTGTAGGCGTAAGACAGAAGTTTCTCCCAGGACTTCTGACTGTCGTCCCACCACACTGTTTCTTTGCCATAGCCGGAGTGGACGTGTCCAAACGCATGCAATGTGGGTTTGACACGCCAGACTTCCTGCAATTCGAACTCGTCGCCCAAGCCGCCATTCTGAGGGATGTCAAGGTGCCACTTGGGTGGGTTGTGCGTGATCAGCACGTCAACGTCGTCGGGTATGGTCTTGCTCCAGGCATCCTGTCCCCTGTCATATTGGAAGGCAAACTCCTTGCCACCGCACTTGGGAATCTGCGGTGCCCCGTAGACTTTCAGTTCCCGGCCGTCAGGGAAAGGGAGGGTTATGGCCGAATGTTGCAAGTAGTGAATCTTGCCCCAGTCGAGTGTGCGACGCGTATTCCTTTGATCATGGAGACTTCGGCTTCGCTCGTCGAAATAACTGTCGTGGTTCCCTGCCACGACGACAATGTGCCGAAACCCATCGGATGAACCAGACCAAGGCTTCTGGAGGGTCTTCAACCAATCTATAGATTGTTGTATAGAGGACAAGGTGCCTGTGTTGGTGAGATCGCCCGCGTGAATAAGGAGGTCGCCTTTCGGTATAGCGGTAAGAGGGATCTTGGAATGGGTGTCCGAGAGACATACGACGCGAATGGGAACTCTATTTTTTGGTGATACGTACGGCCGCCCGCGAAGAAAGAGGAAGACATGGTGGAGAAAAGTGAACCATGTCGTTAGTGGGTGGTAGATGACCTGGTACAGAAAGGAGGGAGGGGCGAAGGGCGAGTCTGCAGGTAAGAAGAGGCCCATTTGGAAGTGGTTCTAGATGTCAGAAACGGCCCCGAGATCTATGGTATCGTATCTCTTTCTCTTCAGTTGCGCCGTGTCACCGAAGCGCGTTGTTCTGGGAAGAAGAGGGTGCGGAGCTCATGACTGCGGGCATCTAGTGAACAGAAGTGTGGAGCTGGTCGAAAGCATATGTAGAAGAGATTTTTTGACGCTCGACAGGGTCGGGAAACGGGTTGCAAATTCTCGATTCGAGGTCAAGACTCAATAAATGGGGAAAGCGACGTTTCGAGGTTGAACTCCGAGTTGCGTAGGCGGCGTCGTCCAGCCAAAGAAGCTCAAAAGCACAGACTGCGCATGTTAGCGAAGATCTCGGAATCACTGGAAACGAGAGGTCGAGGGAAGAAGGGTCGCTGGCATGGCGATGGTCCAACTTGTAGTCCTGTCAACTACCATCATCGCTGACAGGAGTAAGAGACACAGAGGCCAGAGTAACACAGATCGATAGACGTAGGGACGTCCTGAGCAGCCATGTATTTATGCAAATCCCATCGTCAGAGACTCTCGCATTCTCTGCAGATGCAAAAGCAAAGACCATGCAAACGCTCCCCCCACCATCAATCAATCAATCGCTGGTCTATCACCTACTACGGTGCACTGTATTCTGTATTCTGCCACCAAAAGCCACCTAGTACTGTTGTTTGATCACTGGGTCACTTTTCCAGGGAAATCACTGTCACTGGCACCCACAGTTGATATCACCATCACCATCGATCGCCGTTTCGTCAACTGCCAACTCTCTTTGCTTCATTTTCTTCAGTCCATCATTCCTCTCATTCTACCCCAGTCTTCGCAGTCGACCAGCCTGTTGGCACAGTACAGAGACCGCACACCTACCTTCTATTCCCAGTCCATGTCGTCCGATCGTATCCTCCCGATGCCCTCGATCTAATAGCCGCCGCCCGTGGTTGGGTGCCCTGTTTCCTGCAACGAATCGCATCATTGATCTCGCAGCACGCAGCGCACATCTAGTATCCCACTATCCCACTCTTTCCTCCCTCGACTGCCGCCAGCTGCCGGGGCGCAACCACTTCGTTCTGCTTCGTGAGCAACGGACTGATGATAAGAGGGACAGGATTGGAGTCAAGAGAATAGTCCAAGAAATAAAACACCTAATTAACAGCTCACGCTGTTTCCGCCGGTAGCGTTGACAGTGGTCCGACATCCGAAACCGCCCACGGTTCTCAAACAGGTCCACCAATTCAAGCTTGTGCCTCTAAACGCTGCCGACCCAGACTGCACTAGACCAGGCGAGCTACGGTCTGACTGCCGCCCCAAAGTCAACCCTCTTCCACTCTACTCCAACATCAAACAATCCTCACAATTTCTGCCAGATCGGAAACTGGCCCTGCAAAGGGACCAGTCACTGTCCACCCCAACAAATTGTTGGCCGCAAACGCCGCCGCCTTTGCTATGATGAATGGCACCGACTTGAAAAAAGCCGCCATCAGCCAGGCCAAGAAGGTTGCGACCACTGCGGCCCTCGCCGCAAGCAGCAACGGTCAGAAGAAACGGCGGAAAGGCGATAACCTCAAACCGATCATCACAACCGAGAACGCGTCTTCCAGCCTCCATGAGAGCCCCACGCAAGCAGAGCCAGAGTAAGTCACAAACCCTCCTTGTCGCGCCGCGCCGCCCACCTTGTATTTCCGTGGATCGCCAGTCGCTGTCTGTTTCGATTCAGCTTCCTGGCTGATCATCGTCCCTCAGAACGCTGAATTCTCCTCTTTCTCACGGGAAAGTGCCATCAAATAACTCACATCTTCATAGATCCTTGTCATCCTCCTCATCCTCGGAAGAAGATCCCGCCGAAACCACCGCCGACGAAGAAGATTCGGAAGATTATTGCAAGGGCGGATATCATCCTGTACACATCGGCGAAACATACAATAACGGCAGATATGTTGTTGTGCGAAAGCTAGGATGGGGTCACTTTTCCACAGTGTGGTTGTCAAGGGACACTACCACCGGCAAACACGTTGCGCTCAAGGTTGTTAGATCGGCTGCGCACTACACAGAGACGGCCATAGATGAGATCAAACTGCTAAACCGGGTCAACCAAGCGAATCCGAACCATCCTGGCCGGCGCTACGTCGTCAGTCTTCTCGATTCCTTCGAGCATAAAGGTCCGAACGGTGTCCACGTATGTATGGTTTTTGAAGTGCTGGGCGAGAATCTGTTGGGATTAATCAAAAGATGGAACCACCGAGGCATCCCCATGCCCTTGGTGAAACAAATCACTAAGCAGGTGCTTCTGGGTCTGGACTACCTGCATCGTGAATGCGGCATCATTCACACGGATCTGAAGCCCGAAAACGTGCTCATCGAGATTGGCGATGTCGAACAGATTGTCAAGGCATTCGTGAAGGACGAAAAAGAATCATCCAAAGACGATAATAGAAACGGTCGGAGGCGGAGACGAACATTGATCACCGGCAGTCAACCCTTACCAAGTCCTCTCAATGCCAGCTTCACAAGCCTGGATAAAATTGGGAATACACACCAGCCAAGTAGTCTGAATCAAGTCATGAACGAGTCTGCTGTCAACAAACCGGCAGAAGGACTCTCCATGCTCGAACAGCTAAAGCTGAAATCGAAGGAAAGTAAACCGGGCGAGGAGCATCCGGCTAACGATAAAGGGAGAGAAGGGACAACAGACCCACTCGAGAAGGATCTGGCCGGGGTGTCTCTCGACAACAAAAAGAGCAGTGAGGTGGAAAAAGTGCTGAAAGCCGCGAAACACGAAGATGAACCGGCGGAGGGCATAATTTCGGTCAAGATAGCAGATCTTGGAAATGCCTGCTGGGTGAGCCATCACTTCACGAACGACATCCAAACTCGACAGTATCGGTCGCCGGAGGTCATCCTCGGTGCAAAATGGGGCGCCAGCACGGATGTCTGGAGTATGGCGTGCATGGTATGTTCGCGGTTCAAAACTGTGGTCTGACATCAATGATGGGCTAATGCGATCATAGGTATTTGAACTGATCACGGGTGACTACCTATTCGATCCACAATCGGGGACGAAATACGGCAAAGATGACGATCATATTGCACAAATCATTGAGCTCCTGGGTCCATTCCCGAAGTCGTTATGTCTTCAAGGCAAATGGTCGCAGGAGATTTTCAACCGAAAAGGCGAGCTTCGAAATATCCATCGCCTGCGACATTGGGCGCTCCCCGACGTCCTACGGGAAAAATATCATTTCTCAGTTGAGGATTCGAAGAGAATCAGCGAGTTTCTGCTTCCCCTATTGGAGTTGCCCCCCGAGGCGCGTGCAAACGCTGGTGGGATGTCGAATGCGGAATTCCTCAAGGGGACAAAAGGCATGGAAACCATCAACCTGAATGTCCCCGTTGGGAGCAAAGGCGAGGGAATTGAAGGTTGGGCAATAGAAGTGAAGAAGCGGTGATTTTTATGACTGGAGATATCATGAAGGGCCAGGGAAATCCCGAGATTTCCATGTCCTTGATTCGCCATGCTGTGCTGCCTTTTGGGTTTTTGGTAACGAAGAGGGCAAATACATTGTCGCGTACAGAATAAATGACCTTGATGGACAGGATAGGGGCTATCTTGATGGCCGATTGACGATCTTCTTTGACGGGTGGACAAACTTTGATTTCCGGCTTCGTTGACTTCTGCATGTAAAGACTTTTTGCATTTGGCCTCAAGCAGGGTATGTGTCTAGTCTGATCTGATCTGAATACCAATACGAACATTGCTGCTTTGAGCCAGGACCAAAGCAGAGCAGAGCAGCTGTTCCAAGAAACCAAGACGGGGCGCGGGCGTTGACTGCATACATACCTGAGTACGGAGTACCTAGAACGGAATTGTGTATCTATGTACATACACATACTAGTATAGGTGGTAGGTACCTACCTAGGTAGATACCTGGTCTTAGATAAATTCAAGCTTATATATTTACACTGGGCAAATTCCTTCCGCAATTGGCAGACTGAAGCTGCATAGATGGCATGACCATAACTGCTGGTACAAGTCATGTTATCCCTCCATCAAACGAGTAGGTCCCATTGCTATGGGTTGGCGGGAGGGGCCTTCGATCAGGTGTCAGAGGGATGCATCTCGATCAACAACCAGAAGGTATGAGCGGGCTCCTCTTTTTGCTAGCTTTTTGCCTTTTTGGACGGTTGAACTCGAGTCGGCCTTGATATTTTTGGTGGTGGTGGTGGTGGTGGTTGTGTGCCCTAAATAAAGGTTCAGGGTGCGGCAGAAAAGGCAAAGTAAAGTAATTACAGAGTATAGAGTACAGAGTCCAAGCCAAGGCGATGGCATCAGACCTCCAGAGTCCAAGACAATGCTATCAGACCTACAGACTTCAAGACAAGGCCATCAGACCTTATCTTCGATGCTCCGTACAGTAGGTACTAGGCTGGGCTTTCCTCCGGCTCGGATCCAGGGATCGGGGTCAGGGTCAGGGTCAGGGTCAGAGTCAGGGGCCAAACGAGGCTGAACCGTCCTGTATGCACAGACACATCCACTGGCAACCAACCGCATATGGATAGATAGTCCGTAGAGATAGTAGGCCAGTCCGAATCGTCATTGTCTGATATAGATGCGACGGCCGAGAAGCGACAAGAGCGAAGCAGGAAAGAACTTGGATGCTGGTCTCAGATGTCTGGAATACTGTCGGCCCAGCGGATACGGATAGCCAGCGCACGACACGCCATCGCATCTTCCCAGCTGTCGTGGCCAATTCCTGCTTCTCTGCCTCTGCCCCTGCCCATTTTGCTGCACGGCAATCCCCAACATGACTTACACAGATTCTTCAACGATCGCCCGCCGTCGGTCATGGCCCCGACATAAGTCTGAAGAATAACAGTATCGATAATGCGAGGATGGATCCACCGCAGAGCCGTCAAGTCATTCTGGCCCCCATCAGCGATGACAATCGTCTTCGGTCTGACGTGACGCCACAGCATCTCACGCGCGGCATCAATCGGCCACTCAGTACAATGGCTCCCTGCCCAGGTGGACCATTGCAGCATTCCATGCCTCGTACACCTCTTGCCTCAGCGTGTCGGGTTGAGCGGAAATGCTCTGATTGCCCTGTTCAGCCAAAACCAGCCTGACTCCCGACTCCATCTCGCTATAGCGCGGCCAATGCGGCACGCCCTCGGCGTTGGGATCGAGCGTGTACGCAAACGAGATCCAGGCGCTCATCATGGTGGTGGAAACCTGCATGTCCCCGGCAGTCGCGCCCTCCAGATGGGATACCTCACCGAACACGTAAGCCAGCTCAGCGCCGTGGTGGACACCGATCCGCTTGGCATATGCTTCACTAGACCCTGGATACTCATAGCTCAGATTTAACTGCGACAACGGAGGTTGTTGGCGGAAGGAGTAGCCCCATGCTGGGACACGTTCGCTGGCTTGTTTGAGAAAGGCGCGGCCGCCGAGATGGAAGAACACGTCGCCGTAAACAGCGACCGCGGTCCAGAACGTATGGTTTGCTGTAGGATCGCCGTTGTAGCCTTTCCCAAGAGCCTCGGAGGTGAGTTTCTCGTACACTTGGACAAGGTCTTTGGCCAGAGACGTCGAGTTGTCCAGCAACGGAGTGACATATTCCACGAGAGCGCCGCTGTCAGGCGGGTTGAACGGGTCAGGTAGGAAGATCGAACCTTCGTTCAGATTGCAGCCATGGATGATGGGGATGCGTGCCAATTCATAGTCAACCATAAGAGCGGTCGAGTTGGTCTTGAACCAGTCATTATCAAGTGTGTACGAGGTGCCAAAATCGCCCTCCACTAGCAGCGGCGAGAGAACCGACACGTCCACGTTTCGGAGACACGCAACGCTGTCAGAAGCCTGGGTGCAGTTTGTCATATGGAGCAGACCTTGGAATGCTGGCGCCCTGGTAGAAGGGGCTTCCACAGGCAGTGGCCCAAGCCTTAGGCCACCGGCGCTGCCTGACTGGGTGATCATGCCCTGGAAGAGTCTGTTCGTCTGGTTCAGTGAATATGCACGGTGCAGCTGGGCTTGCGCGTCCCAGGCGCCCGCGGATTCTCCAAACACAATGGTCTGATTGGGGTTTCCGCCGAAGCTCGCAATGTTTTCATGAGTCCACTCCAGAGCGAGGTACTGGTCCTTCAGCCCCAGATTGGACAAGCCCTGGGCCTGGAACGCAGGGCTATTGAGGAATCCGAACCCGGCGAGGCGATAGTTGCATGAGACATAGATGACCGGCCTCCCGATCTGAACCGAATATTGCACAAGGGCAGTGCCGTTGTAGAAGATGGACTGGCCGTTCAGGTTGCCACCTCCGTGAATGAAGAACAAGACCGGGAGTGGCTCCTCCGATGGCCTTCGCTGAGGGCGGACAATGTTGAGAGTCAGGCAATCTTCGCTCAGCCCGTTGTACAAGGCAAAGGCTGGATCCTGCAAACAACCCGGGCCATAAGCGGTGGCCAGGAACGGATTCGCCAGAGCCGATGGCGGGAATGGCTGCGGGTTGCTGAACCGCAGGTCGCCAACGGGGGGTACTGCGTAGGGTATCCCAAGGAACTGGTCAAGGCCGGCGATTGAGGCGTTCGCAACAAAGGTTCCTGCCGCTGCATAGACGATTGGACCTCGGGCTTGTCTAGCACTGGCTGCAAAGGCTCTTGCGATGCTCCCGGGAGAGAGTGCTGCCACGCATCGTGTTATATAGGGTATCGTGACAATACTGAGGCCGATCGACAAGAGGAGAGGCACAAAGATCAACCAGCAGAGATTGCTCATCAGCAGCCTCTTTATCGGAGCCCCTGGGCTACTCTGGGACGTGTTGTGAATCGACGCCATCGAGACAGCATCGCACCGCGGCTGAGGTCTCCTTCCACTCACTGTGAAGCGTGCTCCGTGCTCCGGTCAACGCCTGATGTCTTTTTTGATCGATCGGTAACCTCTTCAAGTTGAACTTGGAAGCAATTTGTTGAGTCGGGCGCTGAAATCCGCACCATGAGTAGGGTAGCCCTCCGCAATCTGACAAAGATGGATCCCTCGCCACCTACCGGAGACCCATGAGATGTTGCAGTATGCATCTTCTAGGCGAAACTATGTCCCGACGCTGCGTACCTCGTGCGGGCGAACACAGGTTTGCTGTTTGCTGCTGTGCCACTGGCACCTATGGGTAGAAAGCGAATCATCGTTTTACTGGCGCCGATCTTGTTTTGATTCCTTTCCTTTCCTCGTCACAGAATCCACATCGGAAGGGGAAGTCGAAATTAGGTTTTCTTATTAGTTTATTATTGAAGAAGTACATGTAACAACTCAACGACAGCCTCGTGAGATCACTTTCGGCATGAGATTGAGACAGGGATAGCAGTCATGTGATGTCAGGTGCTGTATGCTCACGTGATCCCGCTCCCAGGCCTTGGCATCACATAGTAAGGTATACGCCGTACTTCGTACTCCGTATACATGCTACGTACTACTTCGATCTCCCCTTGATCTCCTTGCCTTTCCCACCTGCTCGTCACTGCTTGCTCCATTCCTCACTCGACGAGCTGCTCATAGCGTTTCTACATGCAAATGTCTGCATGGCTGCACTGAGATTGAACCGCGATATGCATTGACCACGACATCGAAATGCGGCCTCGCTTTGTCCGTCCATTCCATACGACCGAGTTTCTGCGACCATCTACCATGCAACTTGGTACACAATGCCTTTCGCTCAATGCCGTCTCCTCAATGTGCAGTCAGTTTGGGTGCAAGATAGAAGCAGATGATGTATTCACAACGCCTTGAACTATTCGTGGTTTACAGCAGTCTGGTTGACGGAGACTGATCGCTTCTACGGCTTCCACAGCTTCCACGGCTTCGACCCGTCGGATTCTTTGTCTCGTGTCACCCTCACGCCCATGGAAACGGGCTCCCACAGTCCAATCTGCAATGCTCCTTTGTTGCTTCTTCCAATTTCGGCACAAAGACCTCCTGCTACCAATATTAATAGCCGCTCCCTCTTCTAGACGCTCCTCGTTTTCTCAATCCATCCCCACCGAGCTGCAGTCACCGGATCTGTGTTTCTGTCTTATCTTCTTGCTGAATCCCCTCTTTCCTTGATTTCTGATCTTGTCTAGGGTTGCTTGAATCACCATGCGCTCGATTATCTCACTTTTCGTGGCGGTCTTCCTGGCCACCGCAGTCCAATGCTCCGCCGAGAGAGGGCAAGACCATGGCGTGCTCGCCCCGTTCTATCATAAACTGAGTTGTTCGCCTGGCAAGGCCGGCGACTGTGCCAGTTGTGGCGCCGATTATGTCCAATGTGGTTCTGACGATTGTTACAATCCCAAAGCTGGTGAGACCTGCTGTCAAAGTCAATGTAAGTCCAGAGGCTCCCTTTCTCTTCTGCCATCGCTTGGACTGACTGTTGTGCAGATGCGTGTCCCGCGCAATTCAACTGCTCTTCCACTGGTTCACACTGTGTAACGAACAATGCGACTGGTGGTCCAGGCTGCGATGATGGTGATGATGACGACGACAACTACAGTAGCACCTCCGCTGCTGTCGTGTCGACTACTTCTTCCACCTCTGCATCGACCACCACCGGTCCTCCGGTCTCCGTTGTGACGTCTACTTCGGATTCTAACTCCACAACTTTCACGACGACCATCACCTCGACCACGACCAACACTGTGACTGTCAGCGCTACCTTGCCTGCTTGCGGCCTGAGTGATGCCACCACAGGCCTTCCTATGACGAGTTCCACTGCCACTTATGGCAATTTCACCACGGTGGCATTGAACACGACCACGTCCACAATTTCAGTTACGAATGTCACGGTACATCCCACCACGCACCCGGCGTCTCTCAATGCTACCAAGCCAACCTCTAGTATCAGCCCTCCAATTAGTAGCTACAAGGGCGCTGCTTCTGGTCTTCAAGGTCAAGCATCAACGTCTTTATTTGCTCTGGCATGTTCAATTTATGTGGCTGCGTTGTTGATATGACCAAAGGGCGGATCAGTTAGATACTAATAGGGGGGAAAGACCTAGGCCTGGCTGCATTAAAATTGTACTAGGAGAAGGAAGGTACTCACTCGCCTCGATCTAAACCCAAAATTAGCCTCTATCTTTCCTTACATAGCATCACTTTGATAGGATCTACATTCTGGCATATTCAAGTTCTCACCGGCAAAGGGCGGAACGATGAGACACGCCTAGATTAGCAGCATGGTTTACAGTGGTTTCTTGATCACTTTAGCGGATTGCTGAATCATCGAGTCGCACTGGATGCGATGCTGACCGGCCGCTGTGCACGGAGTATTGGTCTAATAATATGAAAGAAACAAGTGCTGGGTGGTGGGGGCAGGGACAGACTGGTGGGTGAATTGCACAGCTGGCCCAAATGCCCTTTGCGGCGTGGCTTGTTACATCATCTTGTGTAGCTGTGTCAACCGACTCAAACCGCAGTTGAAACCGAAAATCTGCCCCTCCTTCATCTTGAAACTTTTCAGCTTCACCACCTCAAACCTCTCTGCCTACTCTCTACACACGCCTGTCGGAGCTACATAATACTAGCAGTAGTACCCCAGGTGTCCAGCAGTCTTGATCGTGAGTTCCTCTCAACCAACTTGGAAGCTCTCCCCGGAAACCTTCTTCCACTGCAAACGCAACTCCCCGCGTTTCACCCGCTCGGAGGTGAAACCTCGCCCACATTCACATTGACCATTCCTTCATACCTGCGCCCGCTACCGTTCTCGTGAGGCGTATTCCCGGCCAGCCTGCTGATAAACTATACAGATCTTTCTTCAGTCCAGAAAGTGCATCCTCTGAGCCTCCTCCAAAATGCCGGGCTTCGCGCAGGCCACCGACCTCAATGCATGGCAAGGTCTAGTTGACCACCACAACGCCGTGGGCCGCAATCTAGTCCTCAAGGAATTGTTTGCCCAAGATCCTCAACGGTTCGAGAAGTTCAAGAGAGTCTTCAAGAACAGTGCCGACGGTTCCGAGATCTTGTTCGACTTCTCCAAGAACTTTTTGACCGAAGAGACACTGAAGCTCCTGGTCGCTCTGGCCAAGGATGCCAAACTGGAAGAATTGCGGGATCAGATGTTTGCTGGTGAGAAGATCAACTTCACCGAGAAGAGAGCGGTTTATCATGTTGCCCTGCGAAATGTCAGCAACCAACCCATGGCTGTCGAGGGCAAGAGCGTGGTCGAGGAAACCAATTCCGTCCTGGAACACATGAAGGAGTTCTCTGAACAAATTCGGAGTGGCTCCTGGACCGGATACACCGGCAAGAAGTTGACTACTATCATCAACATTGGTATCGGTGGCTCTGATCTGTAAGTTGACCTTGTGCCCATCTGACATTCATTAACATCCCGCAGCGGCCCGGTGATGGTCTCGGAAGCCTTGAAGCCATACGGTGATAGAAACTTGAAGCTCCACTTCGTTTCCAACATCGACGGCACACATATTACCGAAGCCCTTCGAGAGTCTGACCCGGAAACCACCCTGTTCCTCATTGCCTCCAAGACCTTCACCACGGCAGAGACCACCACCAACGCCAACACGGCCAAGAAATGGTTCTTGAAGTCTGCAAAGGAATCAGATGTGGCGATGCATTTTGTTGCTCTCTCCACCAATGCGGAGGAGGTCGCCAAGTTTGGCATCGACACCAAGAACATGTTTGGTTTCGAGAGCTGGGTGGGTGGCCGATACTCGGTGTGGTCCGCCATTGGCCTGTCTGTCTGCCTGTATATTGGCTACGACAACTTTCAGCAGTTCCTTGCTGGAGCACATGCGATGGACCAGCACTTCAAGACCGCCCCTCTGGAACAGAACATTCCTGTCATCGCCGGTCTGCTTAGTGTGTGGTACTCGGACTTCTACGGTGCTCAAACCCATCTCGTCGCGCCATTCGACCAATACTTGCACCGCTTCCCAGCCTACCTACAACAATTGACCATGGAATCCAACGGCAAGGCAGTCACCCGAACCGGCGAGTATGTCAAGTACACCACCGGTTCCATCTTCTTCGGTGAACCTGCCACCAATGCCCAGCATTCATTCTTCCAACTTGTGCACCAGGGCACCAAACTCATCCCCGCCGACTTCATTCTGGCTGCCAACTCCCACAACCCTGTGGAAGGAGGCTTGCACCAAAGAATGCTGGCATCCAACTTCCTGGCTCAAGCCGAAGCTCTCATGATTGGCAAGACCCCCGAGCAGGTCAAGGCCGAAGGTGCGCCGGAAGAACTTGTCGCCCATAAGACGTTCCTCGGCAATCGACCCACGACCAACATCTTGGCCGATAAAATCACTCCTGGCACTCTTGGTGCGTTGATCGCTTACTATGAACACCTAGTTTTCACCGAGGGCGCCATCTGGAATATCAATAGCTTCGACCAATGGGGTGTCGAACTGGGCAAGGTGTTGGCCAAGAAGATCCAGAATGAGCTTGACACGGAAAATGCTGGAGCAGACCATGACTCTTCCACCGCGGGCTTGCTGGCTGCATTCAAGGCCAAGAATGATCTGAAATGAGCTCGTAACCCACCCGAGAGGATATTGACCGGAACGAAGCACAATTTAGCATCATCACTAATGAGCGATTACGTGCGTGGAGTGCTTGCAAAAGATCCCTTCCTTAGTTAGCCGTTGGCAGATGATGTTGCTACATAGTATTCCTTGAGGACCACATGGTTTTCACGCTCGTCACATTCACGAGTGCACATGAGATAAGATACAGTCAAAAGCACCGAACTCAAGCTCGAACCTCGACAGTAAATCACATTCCTCTAAGTTCCTGTTATATGAGCTGCGAAGCGGGATGAACCCCACGCCACGGTGTTGCGCCGGACAAAGCCCCGGTGATCCAGAGATAGAGAGGTGAGTCGTCAGATGTGATTCAGAAGCAGGGGAACCTCCACAAACTATCTAGATAACCTTGTTGGATTGGAGGCCTGCCACCAAACGTCTAGGAGACACCATCGAAGTCGGTTGGATCTGCAACTCGGGAATTGCGCAGCGATTTCCAAGAACAGCTGAGCTCCTGATGTCAAGAGTGTGCAGTGCCCAAAGCGTGAGCCGGCACGTGGGCCGGAATCTGCAGATGGATGGTACAGAGGACGAGGCTGAGGCTGACGGCAGAAACTGACGTGCGCCGTAGATCAGCTCCATCCTCAGCATGCAGTAGAACTGACGTACGCCCCAGATCAGCTCCATCCTCAGCCTGCAGTAGAGTGATAGCGTAGTATTGAGGCAGGATCCGTGGCACGCTTGACTAGGTCGCCCGAGACGCCGACGACGGAACTGTAGAGGCAGAACTTGAGCTTTTCACGCGCAGCGGAAGATGAGGCGGCAACGCTCTCCCGCCAGTGGTAGTTATGCGGAGACCATCGCTGCCGACGGCACTCCGTGAGTCGAGCACTGGTCCATTGACACTGGACGAGTTTTGACTCCATCGGGAGTTCATGCCGGCCGGCAGGACCGGTGGCGCGAGGTCCATGGGGAACTGTGCGCGCGGCGAGAAGGGTGCGTTCGAGACGCTGTCGGACGGGCTGATGGACTTGCGGATGCGAGGTTGATATTGGCTTCGGGGGGATTCGATGAGGGAACTCGCGGGCGAGAGGTTAGGAAAATATGATGGTGACGGCGGCGTCCACTGGCTCATGTCCAAGGTGTTCAAGGTGTTCAGGTGAGCAGGGACGGGGATGACTGGTCGAGGCGGAATCCCGGACGTCGTTGTCCTTGTCGTTGTCTGATGCGGTTGGGCAGCGCCGTTCTGGCCGAGAATGGTGGGAGGGTTGTTAGTCAGGCCGCCTGGATGCGATCTCGTACTAGCAGACATCCGAGACGCGGCGTAGTCATCGACGTTGAAGTCAGAGGCGTAAGGGTGGTGGTCGTGGTCGTCGCGCCTGTATGTAGGTGGTCGATTGTCGATATCGTGGTTGAGACCATCGCGAAGACCATCATCTCCAAAGCTGCGTATGCGAAGACGACGGCTACTAACACTGCTACTCCGGGATGGGGGCACTTGATCGGTGAAAGGGTTTTCCGGATCTTTTTCTAGCCCGCCGTTCTGGAGCGGCACTGCGGGAAACATTCGAGTCGATGAGACAGGTGCGTGCCTGGTATAAGCCGGTGCAGGAGTGGCAATGGCACTTGGAGGAGCGTTGAGTGTGTGTCGAAGTGTCTCCGCTCCACTCAGGTTGTTCGCCTGTGACATTCCCAGCAGCAATCGCCTTGGAGCTGTCCCGTTCTCTTCTTGGGAGGATAGGCTCTGTCCTCTCCGTCCTCGATGCTTTGCTAATCTGGCCTTGAGGGGCGTGCAGAACCGGAAAAGGAGATAGGCAATGGCCAGAACAGAGATAGCCGCCAGTACTGACGCTATCACAACAGCTGTGAGCATATGCGGTGATTTTGAGCTCTCGACCGAAGAACTGGAGCTGTCTGCACTTGTCGACGCTGCATTGGTGGCAACTCCAGGCACACTGTCGAGCGAAGTGGTTGACGTTGCCAGGGTCGAGGTGGCAGGATGCGTGTGAGCACTCTGGCCTTGAGAAATTGGAGTGGCGGATCCAGTGACCGTCGACTTGGGAATGAATGGGTTGTCCACCATCGACGTAGTCTGAGAGATGGTCGAGCTGCCTGACCGTGTGGCAGCGCCAGGATCGAATGGATTGAAATCATCAGAGTCTTCCTCGTCGTCAGAGAGGTCATCTTCTCCCTCGGAGTCATCTTCATCAGACGACAAGTCATCCAATCCTGAAGGCAGCTTCGGGTCCTGTGCTGGCGATGACGACGGCGGGGGAGGAGACCCTTCTGTGTCCTGCCGCCTGATGAATCTCGATCTTGTGGACAAGTTCGAGCCTCCCTTAACAGGAGCGATTTTGGACCTGTCGAAGTGGCGGATAAGCTTGCTGGCTGGCATTGTGATAGAGATATTGGGATAAAACTATGATTTTCAGCTCTCACCGCCCAAGAAGGACAACAACAAAAACGTGGATCGAAGAGACGCAGAGAGGGCCAGCCCCAAAGCTGAGAGGATCCAGCTAACAAATGTGTTGTCCTTCTGGGATGAGTCGACCAGCGCACATCCAAGAAGGGGAAAAACTGAAGAGGGTACAAGAATGCCAGATTAACTATTGAGTCTTGCCTCAGGAGTCGCAGCATCGCATCATTATTGCCAGGCTGGACAACCTACAGTACACGCAGGTATGACTTGATTTCTGTGACATGAGTGACCAGACTGGCGTCGTTTCGAACAGGGAGATCGACCTGTCGTTAGACGCCCGATGCAAGGTTGAAACTGCCTAGACATGCTTCTCGACACGCACGCAGATGTGCACACACTACCCCAAAAGGAGAGTCTTGTTTCTTGGTATTTTTAGTGAAGCTGTACTACTGATAGACTGTGGTCTCAGAAGATGGAATCCTGAAACGTCCCAGGTGAGGATCTCGCTTGGCAGGGAGCAGGGAGGCCGAGTTGTGGGACAGCAGGGGATGCCAGGAACCCGCCAGCTCACTTGTCCACATAAGATTCGGTGTCGAGTATCTCAGGCGCCGTGGCGGCCCCCAGCGGGGTTCTGGGCAGCATATGCGAAGTCCAGGAGACGGAAACGAGCATCCCATCGTTGTCCTCGGCACACGATCGAGAGGTGAGAGGAGAGGGGTCGAGTTGAGGCATATCACGTCGATGGTGATGGCCTTGGCAATGGAGTTCGAAACCGAGACTTGAGACTTGGGAGGGTCGCTTATAACTTTGACAGAGAAAGCAGCTGGGCCGGTGGAGTGCAATCGAGGTGTTTACCAGTCGTCCAGCATCAGTACTCGTACCAACCAGTACCATCAAGTCCAACCTTAGAGGCGCGGTGAAGGGTCAGCATCAGGTGTCAGGTGATGCCTGGCTGGCGGTGGATAAACGTTGCTCCGGAGCACCGCCCTTGACGTCACCAGGCCCAAATCACGTGGGCCTGGCCGCCCTCGTTTGCAGCCGCAGACCTCGACTGCTTCCTGCGCCAGGTCACCAATGCTGCCTTCACCACGCACCCACACACACAAGAGAGACCACGGGAGCACGGAGTATGCGTTCTTTAAAATGTCTATAACAACAAGCCAGATGCAAGCCGACCGTCTATCTGCGATCTAGACCTTTATACTGGACCCGCCTGGACGATCCAGCCCGACCACTTCGCGAGCTAATCGCCGCTCTTCCGGCTGTGGCCGATCGTCTTTGGCTGCTTGCAGGCGCTGTGACCTCGCAAGTGGTTCCCAAGGGGCCCAAATCCTCTCCTCACTCTAAGCGACATTGTGGCTCTGCATCCCGCCACCAATCAGTCGAAGAAGAAATGATTGAAGATCCTCCACTCGTGCCACAGAGTCATCAGAACAGTGTCACAAACGCCACTGCGTTGCCCGGTATCGGGTCGACGGCGAGTTCCCTCATAAGCGCAGACATGTGCCGTCAGATTGAACTCTTTTTCGCTCGCTTTCACTTTTTTTCCATGCTTACCATTTAGATTCAGTCTGCTCTGCTGGTACTCTTTCCACCAAAACGTTGCGATATATTGTCGTGTGTCCTCGAGAACTATTTTCCTACTCTACTTATCTCACTTCGAGACTAATTGCCCACCTCCACCGCCAACATGCCTATGATCGCTCGCCGCTTCTCCATCACAAACTTCATGATCGCGACCTCTGCGCTCGCCTTCCAGGTTTTCGTCCTGTACCCATGGCATAACAAGCTGGACGAAGATTTCAAGGAACTGAAGCAGGAGAATTTGAGAATGGTACAAGAAATCGAGAAGGGAAGGCTGCTGGAACTGAAAGAGATCAAAGAGGGATTCAGCAGGCTCAAGGCGAACTAGGTAGGAGGAGCAGACGATAGCCTCCATCTCCTCCTTCGCCTCCTCCCCCTCCTCCTCCTCCTCCTCCTCCCATGGAACCTACAAGACCTCACAAACCGAACAACCCCATCCACGAGTAGCTTGCCCAAGGCAGGAATCGCCTGCACCCAAGACAAACCGTGAAGTACACGGCCTCCTACCCAAATTCTCACGACCAACCTAGACAATTTCTGGCAAGATTCAGACATTCCTTGATCAGCGTTCCCCCAGACCCGCTTTTCACTTCCGCATGGCACATCATACACAGCCACTCGCATTGTGTGCTACGACGCTAGAGCGCTCCTCTAAACGATCCGAATAGATGCACTTCAAATCTCAGACCTCACGCTCATTCCTACTCACGCCCATCCCGTTCTGGATGTACCCTGTCGATTGCAAAATATCCTCCAGACAGACATGGCGTCCATGTGCCATCAGCCAACGGTAGTGTTCCCCGACTGCCACGATTGAGTGCAAAGCGGTGCTAGCACTGTGTACGGATCTACCACGAGTTTTCACGAGCCGACGACCCATTTGACGGAGGGGCATCCAAAATAACCATCCAGTCTATGGTTTTTCGACACTCAAACCTGAATCAACTAATGTATGCTTACGGCCCTCGACGCCTCTACGCATGTCCAAGATCCAACAACGCCGTTTTGACGAGCCATTCACCAGAGAACTATAAGTTCAGGCCAAGAGCTGGACAAGAGATTATACCACGCTCGCAACGCCGAACTCGACATAGACCAGGGAGAGTATAGATAAGGGGCGCCCCCGCAGGCACCGATCAGGCAGATATCATAAAAGAGATAGAGCCTTGGAGAAGGAGACGGAACATTTCAAGAATACAGCCTCTCAGGGATAGAATAGAGAAGCATTCGCTGGATCTTCAGATCTAGACAAGAACAACATATCATCAAAGGACCACAGTTTTACTCGGCTATTTTGACTTTAGCGGTACATAAGACTTCCAGATGGGATACATATATTTCAGGAATGATCGAGACTTCACATAAACCCTATCCATATCCACGAGCACTTGAGACAGCGACTTATCCATCATCCTTTTCCTTTTCAGCCAATCCATACTCAAGATATACTATACATGACGGATATATTTCAGGACTTCCTTCAAGCCAGACTAGGCAGGACTTTGCATGTTTTCCTGCACCCGCACCAATTAAGATACAATACTACGTAAACAGTACTACGTAGAATGTATTTAGGGCGTACGAGGCTCTGTATGTATACAACACATTGACCCTTAGCACCCACCGTGTTAACGAGCTGTTAAGAGCTACAGATATATATATCTTGCCCCTTCTAGGTCCTGATACATGATACATGATACATGATACATGATACATAAAACCTCTACCGCCAGTCTATCATGACTGTCCGGACGTGTCCCCCAAGCAAAAATAAGATCTAACAAAGACACGGAGGAATGCATCATCAAACCCACCCGTGCCGGCACGGCGCCCATATCACATGGCCCCTAATGCATTTCTCTCTCCGCACCCAAGTCTCCTCGTCTACCATGGCTCCTAGGCTTCGAGTTCAGTAACTCCGGCGCTTTCAAAGCCACGGGGTCCCTTTCAAAGAAGAGGGCTGGCAGACGTCTCCGCGTCTGTTATTGTTTCGGAGGAAGCCAGCTCAACTGGTACTGCTTCATCAGCCGCACCGTTAAAGTCATCGGTTCCCTGTCCTTCCATCATATCGGCCGCGTCTGTGTCATCAGGCTTACCATCCGCTTCCTGCGCCGCTTCACTCTGCATTAAGCTCGCCCTTCTCTGCGCTTCCTGCTCATGCTTGTAGCTCACATTAACGGCCAGGAACGACTTGGGCAGCTGCACCGTGTTGAACTTGGCCTTCAACGTCGAAATGACCTCTTTCCAATCCTGATGATTCGTCAACGACCGTCGCGGTGCGGTTCCAATGGCGTGCTTAGAGTCAAGGGATACGTCGAGAGGGTCGATGGTGTGACAGCCAGGAGAGATGGAGATGCGGATCGAGTATGTGGATTCATCGGTTTCAGCATCTTTTGCTTCGTATAGTTCAAAGCAGATTTGTGACAAGTAGTCAAGTTCGGGGATGGTCGAACGCTTGATCTTCGTGTGGATCCCGCCCTCCATAATGCAGTTCAGCAACGTATAAATGTGAGATTCCTTCGTGAAATAGACAAAGAACTTCGCGTCGCCCGAGGCCTGTAGTTCTTCGAGATCAGAGACGATTTCTCGGAGTAGGGGAAGGGAGGTCAGGAGACCAATCTCCAGTTTTTCGTCGTTACTGATTCCATATTCCTGCGGCCCGATGTAGTCGAACAGAATCTTGCTGTACCGATACAGTTCTCTCAGACGGCTAAGCCTTTGATCTAACATAGACCGACTGTCTCCGGAGCCAGTAAATAGTTTGAAGTATGAGGCACCCTGTTCCCACGACATCAGAGGGGGTGTGGGAAGAGGCTGCTTCAGAATGGATTGTCGTCTAAGCCCAATCTTCTGCGCAAAGGTATGCCGTTCATGAAGGCTGGCAGAGGATGAAACCATGCTTTCCTGGCGACCACTGCTAGCCGAATTGGGAATCTCATCGGTCCGCTCTGGCTCAGGTGAAGTATTCGTCAAAAGAACATTCTCCTCTTTTGCCATTTCCTCGAGTATTGATTGGCTAGGAGTGAAGACCCATTCGAGGAATTGTTTGTTGTGAAGGGCATCGTATTTCATAGTGTCATACAACTCCGAGATCTTGCTGGGATCAGCCTTTTCAGTGTCGCAGAACTCGGAAAACAGCTTCTCCCAGCGCTCTTTGAACAGCTCAGAATCCTCCCCCGTGCACCACCTCGATTGGATGGAAGCGACGCTGATATACTCCTTAGGCTGGTTGCTGTTGTCTTTACCTTCTGCAGAGCCATTCAGAGCGGCAAGAGACGCGGTGGCGCCTGTTGCAAGCTTCTTGAAATTGTGACGCATCACCCGCCGATGGAATCTCAGTAGTTCGATAACAGTTTGCATCACGACGTACGGCTCTGGTACGTCTTTGGGCCAGGCGAATTCCTCCGGGACACTCCCCTCTCGAAGGAGGTGCTTAAGCTTCTTCTTGACCTTGTCCATCACGTCCTTGGCAGCGTTGGAATCGTCTAAAAGGTCTTTCCTGACCGTGATGAAATCTTCTGGAAGATCCTGGCGATCTAGGAAGGCAGCCGCCCAGATCTGTGCGCTGGTCTTGACTCTATTCTCGGAACTCGTAAAGATCCGCACATCGTCGAGTAACTCCCGATTGAGGAGTTTGAAGTCATCTCGCATGTTGGTGCCCAAGTCTTGTGACTGATACCGAGCAGAGTGGGTGGGCTCCCCTCCCCACTTCATGACGAGTTGTAGCTTGTCAAGAACCAAGTCATTTTCTGCGGCCGAGAACCGAGAAAATGTGGTGCCAGAGATCGAGTCGCTCCGTGTCTGCAGTCGACCGATATTCTTGGAGTCCGAGAAGGACCCTGATCGCTCAGTGGAGGGAGATTCCGACAATTGCGGGTGCTTAGCTTCTGATGCTGCCAACCCGTCAGGACTGGTAGTCCTCAACGCCTCAGTTGACGTCCCCCTCACCTCTTCAAGCTTCTTCTTTCGGAACATCGGTTTGATCTGAACCTTGGTCCCCGGCTGTTTACCTTTCTTGGCAAGCGCAATTTGCAGATTTCGCAACTTGTCGGGATCTTCGAGACCTTCCTTCTGGGCAATTTTGACCGCCGCCTCAACGCTGGCTAGCGCTGCCTCGCCCTTGAGAAGCACCTCTTCGTGATGCCCTTTCAGGAGATCGGCAAACACTTGTGAATGGGCGGTGAACTTGATTTTCTGCTTTGGAGTTCTGTCGGCATGTCTGATAACTGTAACCACTCCTTTCAACTTCCACGAATGTTTCGAAGCTGGCAGTGGCGCTGGAGGCTCGGCCAATTTGACGGGGGCTCCATGTTCTGCCGGTATTTTGGCTGGAGCCGAGGTTCCAAGCTTCGGTGGAGGAAGAATATCTGCATTGTCGATAGTAGCTGGAGGGATAATAGCATTCACGGCCTTCTCTATACTGGGAGGAGAGCTTATTGGAGTCGTCATTGCTGATGTCTTCGTAGATGTTGAAATACTCGAGGCATGATGTCTTGAAGGATATGGCATGTGCTGGGATAACTTTGTCATGCTAGGCGACTTAAGAATTGTCTTGAGAGCCGACCGGTGCGGGTGATTGGTTCCGTGCCGACGGTGGTGAGGGCCGTCGCCTGCCATGTCAGACGGCTGCTCGTCTGAGACGGGATTCTCCTTCTTGAACTTATCGGCCAGGAACATGCCCCTCAAAATTCTTGCGCAGTCGTTGTAGTAGTCCTCGTTGTCCTTTACAAAACTCCAGCCATTCACGTCAATGACGTAGCTTGCAGTGCCGGTCCGCAACATATCGAAACCGCAAATGCGCTGGCCAAAGGCTTGTGAGACTTTGGAAGCCATTTCTCTTTCTGTCTCGCTGAGTTTAGTGACGTATCTGAGTTCTTTTCCGTGGGTGTTTCGGCGGACCAAACCATCGACAACTGGGGACTTTCTCGTCTCGGCATGACAGTAATTGGAACCAACCGTATATGCTTTGACGTCCTCCGAGTTCTCCGTCTTCAGAAATTGTTCGTAGATGTAACTGCTATTTTCTTCGGTAATTGACCTGGGCACAATCAGGCTCGGATCGTATTCCGAGGATTTGTTTCCAATCTTTCGAAACAATCGTCGAGCGCCGCCGTCCTGTGTTTTGGGAAAGTATATGACAACATTGTGATCCTCCCCGTCAACAGGCTTTTCGACAAAGGGCTTCTTGAAGTGTCTGCCGTCCACGACCAAAGTGTCTCCATCATCAATGAGTTCAACTTTTTGTGTTATAGAGGCGCCTCCACCGGTACCGTCTTCCGGTCCCTCCAGAACCACACCCGTCTTCGCCTTGACGTGCTGCGCGAGCTCGGCGGTTTCCAATCTTGGACCACCATCTCGGTTAACTTCAATGCGCTTGGGGGTTGGAATATGCATTTGGTCCAAGATCTTTAGACAGAGCCGCCTGTCCCAGAGGACCTTTTGCATGGGGAGATCATTCACCACGAACGGCTTGCGCAATTTGGTGTACGCAATAGCCTTGTCCAGTGGGAAGCCGTCCGAGAAGAAGGATATCAGATAATCGCTTTTTACGTCAATAATGCACTGCTGCAAGGGTTTGTAAGAAGTCACTCACCATATCGGCCAGTTCTCGACGTCTATCACATTTAGTAACTGGATGAGAGGAGAGAAATGATGGATACGCACCCTCGTCAAGAATTGCCTTGTCCCCAAACACGATAACGTCAAACTCGCCATCTCCCTGCAGCCGCGTTAAAATTTGTCGGCTTGGTCGACTCCTTGCCTTGACATCTAGAGCACAAACTCCAATGCGGCCAAAAGGCGCTTTGTGTTCGGCCCCTACACTTTCATTCCTGGCTGATCCTGTGGTACTCAGACGGCGATTGGAAGAAGTCGAACGAGGCTGAGTGGCTCGAGGAGCTCTTGTGGGCAAGGCGGTCTCGGTCCCATCGGGTTGAACTGGGGTCACTAAGGATTGGCCAGCGGGAAGCGAGGGTTCGCTCTGCGGGGCGGACGACTGAGCGGACGACTGAGAACTGCCCTGGGAAGAAAGAGCTGACACTAAATTCGTCTGGTTAGGAATGTTTGGGGAATAGGCGGGAGGCGAAAGCAAATGCAAACCGGAGGTAAGTGGAGTGGATGCAGTTGTAACCACGGTGGGATCATGAGCAGTGGTTGGGGTCTGAGCCGGCGGCGAGGCACCGAACGGGAGCTTTTCTCCTTCAAAGCTCTTAACTGAAGCAGGGGGGCTCCTAGGGCCATCCTCAGATCTCCGGAAAGACCGGGCCGAAGAGAAGGAAGAGAAGGAATTGGATAGCCTTCGATCCTTGCTGGATTTGGTGATGGGAGGTGGCATACTTATAGCAAAACGATCGGCAGAAGCCCTGGTGGTCTCAGCATGGGCAGCTTTGCGAACATCAGGGTTCTTGTGAGCGGCCAACAATGAATGAGTCGACGGAGTGCGACCGGTGGGAAGATGAGGTCTGGTTGAGGTTACGGAGGAAGCGGCCGAATACACAGCGGTCAAAGAAGCGGTCTCCTCAAGGTCGTTATCGGAGGTGTTGGTTGGCGCTCGCCGGAGAGGAGAATGAGATTCGGTGAAGGATGACGGACTCGAGGGCGACGATGGCAACATTGGGAGATAGATGGAGATGCAGGTACCCGGTTTAGGCGGCAGAAAGAGCGTGTGGAGACGAAACCAGGCTCATGTAATTAGCTGAAGTGAGCATTTGGAGGGACTCAAGCGAGGCTGGAGGAAGCAGAGGAACAGGCTGGTCAACGAAGGGGAGCCGTCCAATTGTCGACTTGATAACAGGAATTGCCTCGCCTCATTTAGGTGGGAGAGAAGATCAATCAGCGTACGGGGCCGAGGAGCTGAAGGATCAAGGATCAAGGATCAGACAAGAGACGAACGAGATATGTAGTGACGAGGCGGGAGAGGGAGCAGAAGAAGTGCAGGGTGAGTTTTGCGGGTGGTTACGCCGACGTCATGCGCACCCTGCAAATCCACCCAGAGTCTGGTGCAGGCAAGAAAAAAAATTACTGGCCGAACGCATATCGACATCCGATTCTGTGAAAACACCCAACGGCCATCCATTCGAGATGCATCCAACGACGAGATCCTGTTAGTCACTAGCCATTCCCGGGGAGAACAAGAGCGTGGTCTGTCTGTCTCGTCATGGACGACGTCGTTGAATTTCCGGTTGCAAAAAGGCAACGACGGGATGGCCTTGCAGCGGCCAAAGACAAGCCACCCACGAGTTCGAGACTGTTTGCTCCGTTTAGGGTATGATTCCTCCCCTTCTCCCCTTCTGCGGTGTCGAGGTGTCTTCCACTGACGTCTTCTCTGAGCAGACCCTTGGCCTCGTCTCTCCAACAAGAGTGCCCTTCACTTCCGTTCCGCTGGGGAAAACCACGTTCCAGATCACCACCTCCGTCGGGAACAGCCTGCACACCTACGATCTGCGACGAGGACTCAACCTAGTCTTTCTCAGCCGTCCACAATGTCCCAAGCCAATCACCGCCATATACGCTCACCGCGATCGAGTTTTTGCTGCCTGGGGCGGAGCACAACCGAACGAGCCCCAAGGAGTGTGGGTTTTCAAGCGAGGACAATTGATCGGAGAGCTGGAGACCCAGGGGACGCATCCGCAACAGATTGTGCAAATACTAGTTTTCGGACCATGGCTTGTTGGCTGCGGAGCGCAAGCAATTGAAGTCTGGAGGAGTGATTCTTACGCGCACTATACAACCATCTTGCCATCCTCAACAACCATCGACAACCGCACCAATGGAATTTTCTCGGGCCAGATCTGTATGCTGCCTACTTTCTTGAATAAAATATGTGTCGGGAGAAAAGACGGGCTGGTGGAAATCTACAATGTCAGTACCGGCCGATTGGTGCACACTATCCTTGCACCCTCTGCTGGTTCAGGATCTGTAACGGCCCTTGCTCCGGCTCCGGCTATCTGCTTGTTGGCAATTGCATATGCGAACGGGTCTTTGATCATCACGGACGTTGAAGCCGACGAACAACTTCTCGAGCTGCATCAGAGGAACAACAAAAAGCCGGTGACATCGATCAGTTTCCGCACTGATGGCATGGGCGCTGGCGAGGATGGTCGCAAGGACGGTATTATGGCCACTTCCAGTACTGAAAGCGGCGACATTACGCTCTGGGACCTGAATCGTGGTGGCAAGGTAGTGGGTGTGGTACGAGGTGCTCACGAAACATCTAACCTCGGTCAAGGGACTGGCGTGAATAAGGTCGAATTCCTACCTGGACAGGCTGTCTTGATGTCTTCCGGTCTAGACAATGCTCTCCGCTCATGGGTATTCGATCAGAACCCATTCTCCCCCATCCCACGCCCCTTGCACTCAAGAAGCGGGCATGCAGCATCCGTAACCAAGCTCCAATTCCTTCCCGCCGCTTCCGACGGGTCAGATGCAACTGGCAAATGGCTTTTATCCGCAGCTCAAGACCGGAGCTTGTGGGGGCTCAGTCTGCGCAAGGACGGTCAAAGCACGGAGTTGAGTCAGGGCGCCGTCAAGCACAAAGCTCGCAAGTCTGGACTGCTCAGTGACGACTCGTCTGGAGTCGAGGACTTTAAAGCTGCCCCCATCATCGATATGGCTTGTTCACTGAATCGAGATGGCGGCATGGGTGCAGTCAATGGGCCTGTATGGACGAACACGAAAAATGTCAATGCGGAGGAGGTCAGTATGACGGGCTGGGAGAGTGTTGTCACAGCGCATGCCGATGATCGGTTTGCACGAACCTGGTCATGGGGCAGGAAAAAGGCAGGGAGATGGGCGTTTGAAACAGGCGATCACAAACCCGTCACAAGTGTGGCCATCACCACGTGCGGCACCTTTGCAATTGTCGGGTCATCAGGAGGGAGTCTTGACATGTTCAATCTGCAGTCCGGCGCCCATCGTCAACGCTACCCGCCTCGCCTCACTCCGTCCCAAGCTAAAGATATCAAACTGCAACAGCGAACGCCAACGCCGTCTACCCGAGGTCACCGGGACGCCATAACAGGCATCATTGTTGACAATCTGAACCGTACCATGGTCTCCACCAGTTTAGATGGATCCATCATCTATTGGGAATTTTCCACCGGGAAAATCCTCGAAAGGGCTATGATTGCTGGTGCGGTGCCTACGGCAATTCGATATAACCCGGTGTCGGGACTGCTGGCCATATCTTGCGACGACCTATGTATCCGCGTCCTCGATATCGAGACTCGAAAGACAGTTCGTGAGCTGTGGGGCTGCGTCGGCCAGATTTACGACTTTTGCTTCTCGCATGATGGCCGGTGGCTCGTTGGATGCTCGATGGACTCTGTGGTTCGAGTGTTTGATCTCGCCACTGGGCATCTCATCGACGCATTCAAGACGGCCACATGTACCGGTCTTGCCTTTTCGAGAACAGGTGAATTCCTGGCAACCGCTCATGCCGGCGCGCCTGGGATCAATGTCTGGACAAACAAGGCTCTATTCGCCCATATTCCAACCAGGCAAGTTGATGATGTGAATGGCATCATTGATCTGAGTGAAAGTACCGACTTTCAAGCTCCAAGCCAGTTAGCCATCGAGGCCGCCAATATAGAAGACGACGAACTGGTCAATGGATTGGAAACTCCGCCAGAGACAGATCAGCTGGACCAGAGTCTACTCACACTCTCGCTCGTACCTCCGTCGAGGTGGCAAACCCTGCTCAACCTCGATAGCATCCGTCAGCGAAACAAGCCGCTACAGCCTCCTGAAAAGCCCAAGGCGGCACCCTTTTTCCTGGCGTCAAGCATCACGAACGGGATTAAAGGCGGCGAAGAAGCCTTGGTTTCCGAAAAGGACAGGCTAGTCGAGGATGGTGAGCGTTCGCGGATATCTCGGCTGGCCTCAAGCGCTGAAGCTCAACATTACTCCCAAATGTCGCGTATTCTCGAGCGGTTTGCTTCAGATCCTCGACAAGATCCGTCAGCCCTCTCGGATCATCTGGCGTCGCTCCCGCCTTCTGCTGCTGATCTCGAGATCCGGTCTCTGACCTTGCAAGAGATGCCCGTCTTTGTCCGCGGCTTGACCCGACAACTTGGGTCAAGGAAGTCCTTTGAATTGGTCAACACATGGATGAGCGTCTTCCTCAAGCTCCATGGAGACTTTATCGGCGAAGTCAAGGAACTGAACGATGCTGTCCTCGCGTGGCGCGCCGTGCTGGACGCAGAAGAGAGACGATTGGGCCAGTTGGTGGGCTACACGAGAGGAGTGGTCGATTTTCTGCGAAGCGCTCGGTAGAGCTGGACGACGGCACCACAGCCTTGGGCCTCCAATTCGGCTGTATGTCCTGTAGAGTACATATATAGAGCCGGCCGCTGGCATATACTAGTATCCCTGTTTGTCTACCTGGTGTGGCTCTCTACCTTCTTGGAAAGACTCTTTCACATCCAATCTGTCCCTCGCCGAACCTCCCTGATCTATATTCGGCATCTGAGGGAGAAGGGAGAAGGGAGTAGTGTAGAGCTGCAAAGTCAATTACTATCCCGCATGCGCGTGTGGCATAAATATCATGGCTGCAGTGATATCTTTCTCGGGCATAGTATATAGATGTAGTTCATTATCACTCCATCAGGTTCGTCCTCGTCGGCCTTGGCATAGGATATTATCACTCTGGCGGGTGATTTCCGTATACATACATGTTTATTTTCGCCTGCAGTGGACGGCGTGCCGGTAGGTACAGCTCTCTGGAACGTTTCCCGAGTAGCACGTCGGAACTGAGGGGTGAACTGAGAGTATGAAACCTACAGTAGATTTCGTGCAAATCCCGTATTTGACTTGCACCCTGGCCTACGTCTGCTCGCTAACCAGCCCGTTCCTCGGTAGCAAACGCTTGAACCTGTTCCAGGACCTGTCAGCTTCAACCATCACTTCTGGCACGTGCGAAGCGCAGAGAAAGCTAGACACTTACCACGGGGGGTTAGAGAACATAAAGGTCGTTTGCAACCTCTTGATCTGGCCCTTGACCCAGTCTAACTGTCCCTCACGCAGTACCAGTGGTGCCGCGTCATCTTCCGGTTCCGCTAGTCGGTAGAGAGCGATGAGATGGGTAAATAGAGTCCAGCCGCCGGATGCTGCAGCGCGAGTCCTGTGGGTAGAGTCCATGCTTGGGATACGTATGGCACGCCCGGATTGGCTGTCAGAGACCTCTTTGTATGGGTAATTGATCTCGTCAGAATAGATCGGATTAGTAGGAACGACGGTATCGCCGAGGAAAAAGGGGACGATCTCGCAAATGTCGTCGGCGAGGACTTGCATTACGGAATTGGCCCACGCAAGCATCGCTCGACTTTCGGCATTCTCCAAGAGACGGGGCTCATCGGCATATGCCTGTCGGATCATCTGCAGCGTATGCAGTCGCCGTTCGTAGAACAAGATCCAAGTGGATCCGTAACCTACGTGCTTCCAGACGGCACATCGGTTTCCATAAAAACCAGCGGCCTGGATTGTAGGAGCAACTTCTTCTCGTTGTACATATAGTGGAAACCATTCAGGATATGTTATGCTTCGTTGCCACGCCACCATTAGGCCGTCGATTCTCATCGCTTCGGCAATGACTTCTTCATAGCTCAGCCGAAGATGGTCCAAGTCTTTGCATAATAGACGTTCACGCCTCAAGGCCCAGAAGTGGCTTTGTGCATTGGCGAGCAAAACTGCAATGTTGTCCATCTGCTGAATTTTGCCCTCTGAAAGGGACGAATGGTCAAAGTACTGCTCTGCGCCTGGAGGAAATGGTTTCCGCCATGCGAGTGCATGGCCGAGAATGGTTTGACGGGTTACATTGACAAGCTCACGGCCCACTTCCGTAGCAAAGTTGGAAGTACCTCTATGCTTGACCAAAGCCAATGCTCCTCGTTTATGTTTTCCTGGCTGCGGAAGCTCCGGCAGAAAGTGGGCGAGCAAAGAATCGTAAAGGTCAAATATTAAAGTGGTCATGAGAAGTTCGTCCGAAGTACTTGTCGATGGATTACTGAGCGCTTGTCGCATGGCGGAGATCGCTTTCGCATAGAGCCTTCGTGCAGGTCCAGCATCGCAGCCATGATAATTCCACATCATCGCGATATTGACGGTAACTGCAGCTGTGGCTATTCGCAGTGGAGACTCAGATGATGACCGTAAATACATTGGCTCCCATAGCATCGTTAACGGCCTTGTGTGGGGTTCGTTGATGATTCCTGAATAATAATGGAAGAAAAAGTAGATGGATGCCTCTTCGGGATCTTGCTTGACCATGCCCGGGATCGTCAGTGCCGACTTGTTCAATTTCTGGAGGTTGAGTTCGGTGGCGTGATCTCTCTCACTCTCAGGTGTCTCTGGCAGATGCTCTGTGGGAGCTGAGTAAAAAACCCATTGAAGCGGTGACTTGGGACTTGGACCGGATACACGCGACAAGGCTTCAGAGGTCGACGGGGGTTGCTCTATCGACCTTTCACTGCTGGGTGTGCCATGGGTCGATTGCACTTCGTACGGGTGATTCTGCCGTTTCATGCGGCGGACGATTGCATTGTTTTGGTTTCTATGGGCACCGTCAAACACGTCGCCATATCCGGGGCACGACTGACGCCGTCGAGTACAATTGTTGCAGTGCGGTTTGGTTTGATCGCACTAGACAAGAATTAGCACGAGAGAAGCGATATTGGACTGGAATTTCGGACAGACCTTGACTCGACGGGTTCGACAAGTCTTACAACCTCCAGACGGACCATGATAGACCATTCTCAGCGCGCACCTGGGGAGTGCAGTGCCAGACAACACCTGATATCACTGCGACTTGACTTGCGCACACTTTTTCTCCAAAATGTCGACAAACAGGCAGCACCCTTGCGAAACGGTGCCGATGTGCACCCAGCATCAGCCACAATAATGCCGTAATCATTCAGTTCAGGGGCAGCAGCGCTTAAACCACTAGAGGTGGGTTCGTATACAACAATGATGGGTTCAACTTTTTCTTATCTCAGCCATTATCGATTGGCTTATGAGTTCAAAGTCGAGGCGGTATGAGATGAAGTCACAGAGGAGCAGAATGGATACAGTACGAGCACCCTGCGAATACGAGCGCAGACGCACTGTACAGTGTACTTCGTATCCTCCGTATTCTAGGGCCCACCCTCTGAAACTCGCAAGTTGGTGCTGTTTCGGGTTAGTCGCTTTCGCAGGCAGGCTGGACGTCGACTGCACGGACTCGGGTTTCTTACAAACCCCGCGCTGAGGGGCGTCGGTAGCAGAGGAGGCTTAGCAATTCGTGCAAGCTGGAGGAGGGCTGGAGACTGGAGACAGGAGACTGGAGACGTTGGCTACAAATACGGACGTACAGAGTTGTCGTGAAAAGTACGGCTACCTCCTACCAGCAGCGATGTCGTTGCGAGAGGCTCAGGCTGCGTGTCGGAACAATAATATTCCGGTGGCTTGGCGCTGAGCTATAGCTGACGCTAGACAATTAAGGCATAGTCTCGCATCTTATGCCTTTACCAATTTTTCGCGTATACGAGTACGTCCGTAGTAAAAAGTCCTCTTCTTCTCCACTCTTTGTTTCAATAACCCGGCAGCTTCAGCCCCCAGCCTCGGGAGTGGTTGCACCATCGTTCTTAGGGCTCCTTCGGTCCTTTCGATGTGCCCTTTCCGCAGTTTGATCACCCCGCTAGGGCCCTAACCTTCCGAGCTCAGCCTTCCCGTGGCGGCTGCAAGCCAGTGGAAAGACTGATGCCTGGAGGATGCCTTATCAGCGTTGTACGTGTCCACCGTGCAAAGAACTCTTGGCTACCTCCGCCAACAACATGGAAGATCAAATACTGCATGTTCTTGCGAGAAAGGTGGGCGCAGCAGCAATCTGTGCTTTAAGATGTGGATGACACGCAAAAACCCCTTCCATGCATAAATTGTGACCTTTGCCCTCTATCCTACATCCTCCTTAACACTTCTCTCGCAATCAGCACCATTACTCTCATTCTTCTGCCACTGCTTGAAATCAATTCATCTGCTCTTCCTTCCCGACGATACCACAATGGCCGACGGACCGGACTGCCTCGACGTGTCTCCCCAGTGCCCGGTTGAAGCTTCAATCTATGGCTACCTACCCAGTTTGGGGGCCAATGGATTCTTTTGCGGCTTCTTCGCACTCGGCTTTTTTCTCAATCTCGGCCTGGGGTATCGATACAAGACCTGGACCTATATGGTGGCCTTGAGCCTAGGGTGCTTGACGGAAACTATCGGCTATATTGGAAGAATTATCATGCACGGGAACCCTTTCGCGGACTCTGGGTTCATTACACAGATTTGCTGCTTGATCATCGCGCCTGCTTTCAATTCTGCCGCCATTTACCTGACACTTAAGCACATCACTTTATGCTTCGGCGCCGAATTCTCGTTTGTCAAGCCCAGACTGTACACCTACATTTTCATCGTCGCCGACCTGATCTCGCTCGTCCTTCAGGCAATCGGCGGAGCTCTTGCATCTACAGCCGATACTCAGGCCCAACAAGACACGGGTGACCACCTCATGATGGCTGGCATTTCGTGGCAAGTGGCTTCACTCTTCTTTTTCGCCATTACGGCGTGTTTTTACATTTTCCGGAGATGGAGAGCGGTCGCGCAACATCCTTTGTCCCCGGAGGCGGCAACCACAATTCGAAACATCAAATTTCGACTCTTCGCCTTCGGTGTCATCATTGCTTGGCTCACCATTTTCATTCGATGTGTATATCGAATTATTGAGATGGCCGGTGGTTGGAGAAACTCGATCATGCGCAATGAAACGGGGTTCATTGTTCTTGAAGGAGTGTATGTAAATGTCCACTTCAACGACACGGATCAAGCTAACAGACGTTCAATAGTATGTTGGTGTTGGCGACTTCGATGCAAACGGCGTTTCACCCAGGATATTGCTTTCCTCGGCTTTCTTCCCGCCGGTTGCAAAGGCTCCCCAGCAAAAATTCCCGAGACGTCTCCATGGAGGACGTTATGGTGCCTCGTTAGGCTAAATCTCCAACATGACCTAAAAGCTCAACGTCGATTATGCGCAAGAACACGGGGTCTAGAGGGACTGTGGTGGGAAATGGGAAATGCTCAAACTCAACGCCAGCGATACCGCTAGGCGTGGAACGGGCGATGTCGCTGAGGAGGTTGGATCTTGGGCCTTGATACGTAGGGAGGAACATATGTGTTTTCTTCCTTGATGGATACAGAGTTGATAGATACAGAATGGTAGGCGTCTTCTACAGTGTCAAGGGGCTTTTCAGAAAAGCGCGGCGTTGCCAGTGAAGGAAGGACCTTGTAAGACCAGTTGTCATCCTTATAAATACTGCTTGCTACCTTGTACCAGACTGACTATTATCTACATGACTGAAGTAACTTGCCTGAAATAACTTGTACATTGCCTCCGGTGCTCCGTATATGTCTATACATATATCGGACGGGGACGGGAGCGCCAATGGCGGGGCAGTGAAAACTAGCCGCGTCTGACCGTCTTTTTACACGTCTTTTGACCCGACCCCCACCATCAGGCTCAGCGTCAGAACCGACACCAAACATTCCGTCACTGTGACCTTGATTGCCGACTCTGACCCATCGATCAACCACCACATTTCATCCTGCTCGGTTCCATCGGGCACAACAAATCATCCTCTGTTTTCACTCTTCCTAGCACCTGTCCTTCGCGTGCTTTACCCTCGAATTGCACACACTCGGCCTAATATCACTCGGCCATCATCCTCATCCGAGCCTCCCCTCGGACTGCGTCTGGTCTGAAAGTTTCCCTGCCTGATTTCGTCGCCCACCCGCCTACGCCTATCCTCACATCTCCAACGCCTCAACAAGCATGTCCTGGCAAGGTGAGCTGAGCCCGGAAGTGAGCATTGGTTTCTTCAGACGAGTGGATTGCTGACAGAGTTTTGTACCCATCCAGCTTACGTCGATCAAAGGTACAGCTCCTCATCGAGATGTTGACCACACCCCCGAACCGTCCTACTAACAATGCATCTCCTGCAGCCTCCTTGGCACCGGCCATGTCGACAAAGCGGCCATTTTCAACGCCGAAGGCAACTCGGTATGGGCCACCTCTCCGAACTTCAACGTGACGCCTGCGGAGCTGCAAGAAGTGGTCGGCGCGTACAAGGACACCTCACAGCCCAAGAATGTCCAGTCCACAGGTCTGCACATCGCCGGCCAGAAATATATCGTCATCAAGGCCGATGAAACGAGTCTGTATGGGAAGAAGGTTGGTTGATCCTCCTCTCGAATCCATCGCTCCCGGCTGCGCCGTCCTCATATGAGGTGACTCGATGGAGAAAGAATGCTAATATATCTGTGTCGATGGCAGGGCCGAGAAGGTGTCGTGATCGTAAAGACGAAGCAGGCGCTCCTGATCACACACTACCCTGAGTCAATACAACCCGGCACAGCTGCGAACACGGTTGAGAAGCTCGGCGCCTACCTAGTCAGTGTGGGATATTGAATAGACGATTTCTGGAGAAGAATTTAGTTGTCGCCCAAGTTCCTTGTGCCATGCCCCAGTTCATTTCAAGTTCGGAAGCGATACGATACGAGCTGAATTCCATCATGATGGCCCAGGGAGACTGGTACAATGGTTCCTGGGCGATAAAGGACACCAATGAAATCCACAACCGTTAAACAATGATGACGAGCGACCCAGCAAGGGCACAACCCGCAGGCATTTGAGGAGCATTCTGTTTTGAAGTTTGGGTGGGCTGGCGATGCTACACCTTCTGCTTGGTCTTGCCTGGGAGCGGCCAAAGATGCGCAATTGACGCCCTTGAGAAGAGTACTGATATTCTCTGTCTGATATGCCCGGTCTCCGTTGGTCGTGTTCGGCCTGTTCCGCTTCCTAATCTGATGCGCCGTGATAATTTGGCCTTCATAAACATTTCGTACCCCAGTCCCAGTCCCAGTCCCAGTCCCACCATGCTGCAGTGGCACCTTGACTACCTACGTATGCCCTTGCACGAATGTACAAAGCATGCTACCCTTACTCGTTTACTGCTGCTGCTACTGCTACCGCCGCCTCACAAGGCAGAACACACCCAGTATTGTCCTCCACGACCAGAAGTGCGGTTCGGGACAAAGTCCACTCTGTGCTGGGGGAAAAATGAATTACCTACAGAATCGATGACACCAACGCCGTAATCTATCAGCATGAACTCTGCGGTTGCCCGGAAGTCTCTTCTGGTGTTTCATGTTCAGGTCTGATATTCGCGCCTGTGCTCCAATGTGAACCAACGTCAAATTACAAATTCGCTTTGGTGGACTGGGCCTCGGAAAGAGGTCAAGGACGGCCCATAACCCCCTTCAATGTAGGTAATAGTGTGATGCAGGCCAGAGTCAGATCAAGTGCATGTCCGTCCGTGTCGTCTTCACATGCCTGGCCTTTGAAGCGCCACCACATGACTGGTCTACGCAGTCGCCCAGTCGCCCCTCGGTCCCAAAAAACTAGACTGTCTCTTTCCCTCTTCCTTTCTTTTCTAGCAGCATTTCCCGCCCGCGCCCGCGCCTTGGTTTTGTGCGACATTCACGCCCCCACCTGATTGAGCGCCAGTGCCAGCCCCTGTCTCCTTAGAACTATCAATCAGGCGCTTCTTAACATCCGAGGCTAACGAGTAGAAGGCCTTTTCAATGTTGATATTTGCTTTGGCCGAGACTTCGAGAAAAGGGATGCCCAATTCGTCGGCCAGGGCTTGACCTTGTTCCGTGGACACAACGCGCTTCTCTTCCCAGTCGCATTTGTTTCCAATGAGGATCTTGTTGACGCCTTCGCTGGCGTGTTGTTCGACGTTGGAGAACCATGTCTTTATATCTGCACAACACAGATGGTGGTTAGTATGCACAGCCCAGCGCAACTTGTCCCGATCTTCCCAGGGGGGTTCTCGTACTGTTAAAGCTCTTCTCGTCCGTCACATCATAAACCAGTAATATGCCCATTGCTCCTCGATAGTATGCGGTGGTGATGGTTCGGAATCGTTCTTGGCCGGCGGTATCCCATATTTGTAGTTTCACCCTCTTGCCGTCCAGGTCGATGGTTCGGATCTTGAAGTCTATGCCGATCGTAGTGATAAAACTGGGGGTGAAGCTGTCTTCGCTGAAGCGTAGAAGACAGCATGACTTGCCAACGCCCGAGTCGCCGATCAAGAGCAGTTTTATCTACAGCGATGTTAGATATCAGGCAGGCACACTCCCAGGCAACGGATTCGTACTAGAAAATCATAGTTGCGTGTCCCAGCCATCGTGCTGATCTATGCTGGAAGTAGATCGGAAGTGTTGTAGAAGAGGGTGTCTTGTGCGTATTCTCGGGAGCAAAACAGGTCAATTCTTTCCCTGGTTCGTGCTGTGTCGGTTGGCCACTTGACGCTCGACGACGAAGAGGCTGGGAGTTTGTGGAATTGTCGATCCGGCGCTCGCAAGAGTCGGATAAGGGTCCAGGAGATGTTAGACAAGCGGGAAGCAAGATGTGAAGGTAGGCGAGTAGGCGACAGTAGTAATGGGTAAAACTTCGACACGGGCAACAAGGAGGGTGATGGTGGAAGTGAGGATAGATGCGACAAAATGATGTCGCTGAGTGGATGTCTGGAGTTTCTGGCCTAGGAACTGGAGAGTGGCTGGCGGGCAGGCCCAAAGGCCAATTATCTGATAACAGTGACGACGGCTCTAGAGCTTTAGAGGGGAGTTGCAGGGCTTCTGGGTATGGCTGTGATGTCCGTTCGCTGGTGGCTGATCCCCAAGTGAGATGGGTTCTAGGGGGGGCCAGTAGCGAAGGGCCCTTAGGCGCAGCTCAGCCGCTCAAGAGGCCTAAGGCGTCCTTAGCAGTACCAGTAAGTTGCAGTCCCGGTGAAAGGGACAGACGTGGCAATTGAGACTCTCATGCAGTGCGACTTAGTCCACCAGCAACCTATATGCTGGTACTCGTATATCGGCATCTGAGAACCGGCCACCATTGATGACCTTCCTCGCCGCTTGTGTTTGATGCCTCCTACCTGACATACCTATAGGTACCGTTTATGTTAGACATGGGCATCGTGTCATCGATGTGACGTCACCCGAGGCTGCGGTTCCAAGTCCAAGGCCAGCATTTTTTTTGGTAGTCTTGAGTTGGAACTACTCTGTACCTGTTCTACTGAATTCATTAGAGCTTTGACCTGTTCCAAGGGCTTGTGTATAGGTCAAACCTGTTTACAGGGGCCTTGCCCTTATTCTGCACAGACCGGCAATCGGCATGTTTCCTTGACGGTCGACATCTCATCATATAAAAGACCCGATCTTGGTTGAATCTGCGCGTCAACTCTCCAAGATGTCCTTCATCGACGAGTATTCTCCCCTTTGGCCTTGCTACGTAACCGATCGGCTGACCCGCGCATAGTGATCTTCGCAGGGTGGATGCCGCCTTGGATAAGTTCCAACTCAGGGACGCCGAAGACCGAGCCGCCAGCTTCGCTGTCACTGGACAACATGCGAAAGCCGAAGACGACCCTCGAAGCTCTCAGTTGAAGGCTGTCATCCGAGCCCTGTCTACAACTTCGAGGTCCAAGCCGTTGCTGCGCCGAACAAGAGTGCGGAGCCTACTGTCTCAGCTTGCGAAAAAGGATGAAGGGCAGGCGACCACACAGACAACTTCCCCTGACGTCTTGAACTTGGAATGGGTGGCTACGGGGAAGGCAACTGTCCAAGTGTACGGACAGATACTGGACTCCCTTTTAGATCGCACCATACCGCTGAGCGAGTCTATCTGGTATTGGGACGATCTGTTGGGGTCATATTCAAACATTGCACTCTACACGATCCAAACATCCCCTCTCCGATTCTGGAAACAGGCAAAGGAGGTTTATGCCGATGCCCGCCGAAGACTCAATGAGGGTTCAGGACTCCGGGCTTCTGCACAGCGCGCCACCACTACTCTCACACAAAACTGGAGGGAGTTTTATGGCCTTGTTCAAAAAAGTATACAAGAACGGTCTCTCGCCCAAGCACAGACCAAGATACTGTCTCCATTCTCGATAGCCCGGATGGAAGCTCGTCGCAACCTCTCACATATTCGTGACTTAAGGAAGTCAAGCTCTGTGTCAATCGGCCGACTGGTGCGTGAGTGCCTGGTGTTCGAAGGCCCACCGGAAGATCGCAAGATAGGGGCACTGCCGCAGATGATCGGGCAACAAGAGGAAGACTGGCAGACAACGATCGCCAAAACTGTCTGCCTTCTTGACAGCATCACAAGGACTCAACACGACGAGGACGAATACATGCCGGATCCCTCTACGGCGTCTTCCGCTGAGATGGCCGCGATATTGATCAAGATTCTCGACGAAAACCTCCCTAAACACGAGCAAGATGCAAATGTTCTGAGGTCGAAATATGGCAAACCATCCCGACTCCTACGTTACTGGATTCCTGCAGTAGCGCTTCTGTTGTCGGGAAGCACAATCCTGCGGATCGTTGCCAACCGGAGAGCAGAAATTCTCCAATGGTTCAGGGAACTGGGTCAGACAACCATTGACTTCTGGACCAACTGGGTGGTTGAGCCCACCAAGAAGTTGATCGGGACGATCCGACACGATGAGCAAAGTGAAATTGCCATACAGAGTCGAGAGAGTCTGAACGCCGACCGCGAGAGTCTCGAGCGCATGGTGGTCGACTTCGCCGTGCAGCATCCCGACAATGGAATCAAATTGACCGAAACCCAGGTTACCGAGCTTAGGGCCAAGGTTAGAGAAGGGGATCTCACCCCGGTTCTGAAGGCATATGAGCGAGAGATGCAGAATCCCATCAAAAATGCCATTGCGGGCGACCTCATTCGCACCCTGCTGATCCAAGTGCAAAAAACCAAAGTCGATGTTGAAGTTGCCATTGGCGGGATCGATTCTCTGCTCAAGAGTCAAGAACTTCTCTTCGGCTTTGTGGGCATTGCCCCTGGAGTTTTGATCTCGTTTGGTCTGATTCGGTGGCTGGGAGCCTCATTTGGTGGTCGTAAGGGCTTGCAACAAGGCCAGAAAAAGGGCGAGGCCATCCGACTGATCAGGTTTGCGTTCCTATTCTCATGATACATGACACGGTGACTCACTGAAGATCTTCAGGAACATTGATCGGACATTGACCAGTTCGGACCTTGACGACGACGGTATCATCTCAGAAGAGAACCATGGCCTTTTGCTTTGCGAAGCACACCTTCTGCGGCAGCGAGCGACTTTGGTGCTGCCAAGAAGTATCCAGAGGGAATTTCTCGAGGATCTCGACGACCTGTTGGACGTCAAGGCCGGAGTACATCGACAAATCAATGCATTGAGGCGGCTTGAATGGGCGTATGCGAAATGGCTGCGATAAAGGTAGCAGTGGCATGAGCCATGAGACAGGAAGCCTCAGTCTTGGAACTACATGACAACAAGTTACGTACCCATACAACAGAACTGCGGTGGTCGCGACAGAGTCCATGGTCGTCGACTCGACACCGAGGGTTCGGGAGGGCTGGTCCGTATCATTCCGATGTACAGGGTATGCACCAGAGAGCACATAGATAATCCTCCCTCATGCCTCGTGCGTGTATATAGCTCCTACAGTATTACGTGTGCTGTGCTCCGAAATCACCATACTGTATTCCGTATATGCTGGGGCCCAAGACCACCGACGACTCTCGAGACGCTCGAATGCCGGCTTGGCTGCCTGCAGGCGCCTTGTTATTCTCGTTAGGGGCCTGGCGTTTCTGGTGCCCCCCTAGAAGCTGGTCACTTGTCTCGATGTAATGAAGTCTCGATGGCTAATTACCACAGAGACGAAGCTCTTTGTTGGCTTCCAGGGTCATTATTGACGAGGGCGGGAGATTGTGGATTTCCTCCTCACGACCTAGCCAGGTCCTTTGGCCTCCTTAGCTCTTAAGCACGCAGCCGGCTGCAGGCTCCTAGTAGCGTAGCGGATGCTTGACTGGGGCCCATTAGCCGGAGGCAGATGGAAATGCAATTCTCCTGTTTTAGCATAAGGCGGTGAGACAGAGTACGTCAAGTTGGGGCATGGGAAAACAGACACTGAAGACTACTTCCAGCGGCCGCCTTCGCCCCCCCGCTCGCCCGCTTCACGAACCCATCATGGAACGCGGACCAGGCTGACTGACGACTGACACATCTGAGGTGTTCGGTTGGCGGTTGGCATGGTCCTGGAAGGCGTACGGAGATACGAAATGCGCGTACGGATGCGGAGTACATTGCAAGGATCAGAAGAGACAAGCCGGCCTTTTCTCTGAACACTGGAAGGAAGGGTAAGTGGAAAAATGCCTGTCGTTCAGGAACTGCCGGCACCACACTATTGCTCGGAATCAGTAATGGATATGGCACATGGATGAGATTGAGCGGCCTGGTTCAGCTGGGATCAGGATGGCCACGGTCACATTATTACCCAATCTTCGCTCTTGTGTCAAGATCCATGATCATCGGTGGCGGCGCCGTTCAAGGATGATGATTGTCTGCCACTGGCAGGCCTCAGGCCATCAGAGACGAGCCGGCATTCTGAAGGCTGGCAAGCCCCGGTAGTGACACATCACATTGGATGCTCTGGTGTCTGCATCCGCGGGATCTGTAGCGGAGTAATAAGGCGAGCGCAGGCTTGGGATGCAGCTTAACTACGGGAACGGAAGTCTGCAATTAGCCCAAGCCACCCGGTGTGCAGTGGGGGCCCTAAGTCTGGCATCTGCGACCCGGGGGGCTGCTGGCTAAGGGGCTAAAGGGCTTAGAGGCCCCTTGGCCCCTAATAAACCCGTCGAGTTGGGGAGCTGAGAGCAGGGTTTAGGGAGGCCTCAGCCAACAACAGGCGGCCTAGACGCCTCCAAGCCCGCCTAGTCTCACATTTACCGCCAGAGGCACCTAAGAGGGACCCGTACGAGACGAGTAGCTGCTCCGGTCCTCTCCCTCCCCCGCAAACTCATCGACTTTGGAGTGCCCATTGCCCAAAGGAACCAGAAACCAAAAAGGATCCAAAGGAACCAAAGGATCCCGGCCCAGCTGGCCGAGCCGCTCCTTTCCCTCCTTACCCATCACCGTTGTGTCTGGTTGGACGCAGCACCCGGGCTGAAACCAGGGATGGCGAAATACAGACTCCAGCGTACTCCATCCACCGCTCACCTACTCCGTACTCGTCCTCGTCCTGTGCGGAGCGCTGCAAGGAGATGCCCCTTGGCTCTAAGCCCTTGGGTACTACCCGATAGTGCACGCACTATGTACCTAGGTATGTACTGACGTTGGCAGAACCGGGATCCAAGACCTGAAGCCGGCGTTTGCCATTTGCCATCTGCCATGGCCCATGTATGGTTCCGGTGTCGAGGTCGGAAGGGGGCTTTTGGCTTTGGCACCTTGCAGCTGCGACGCCAGTCTCTTGCCTCTAGCAGGGGCCTCCTTAGCCCATGGTGGGCTTTCTCTGGAGGGATTCAGACCACGACGAAGACGGTTGGCCTGCAATCGACGCTGGACAGCGGCCCTGTTTGGCTTGACAGCTGCTAGTGGCAGGGTATGGAAATGGAAAAAGACGGACCGCCGCCTCCCCCCGCCACCAATGCCTCAGTGAACAACCTACTCCGTACTGTGTACACTGACACTGGACAGTATACAGGTGCAATCCGGCTCAGCTCATCTCATCTCATCTCATCTCATCTCATCACATCCCATCCCATCCCATCCCATCCCATCTCATCGCGTCCAAGAGCACCATCGCTTTTCTGCCTCTTGTCATCATCGGTACGGACCCGTACACTGCAAACTGGACTGGTGTGAGGCGTCAGACGGTCCAAGGCTACAATCAAAAGGTCGAAGGGTGGCGGTCTGAGAAGAAGGCTCAGGCTCAGGCTCAGGCTCAGGCTCTCATCCCAGCGCAGGCCGTCAGGCAGTCCTAAGCCCAGTGTCGCGCGCCATTCATCTTCGCCGTTTGCCTGGCTTCACCGTCACACAAGAGGCCCCTTAGCCTTCATTCCACGTCAGCTGCAGCTTTTGTATCGTCGCTGAGGTGTGGGAGCGTCGCTGCGTCCTTGGCTCTGCCAGGCTGGCTTTGCCCTGCCTCGTCATGTGCAGATGAAAACACCCCTTCCTGCATCTCGACAAATTCAATTCCGAACCATTCCAGCCTCTCCCTCCTCCTCCTCTCCTCCTCCGCTTCCTCGTCCTACCGCCGAGTCCGAGTTCCCCCAAGGGCATGTCTTTGCTCGTCATGGCGTCCATGTCTACTGCTCAGTTGGAGCCCGCGGCGTCGGGCTATTCTAAGACCACCCGTCGACAATATCAAAGCTGCGATCAATGCCGCAAAAGCCGGCGCGCCTGTGATGCCGGCACGTTGAGGGTGGCCAACTTCCCCTTTAGCGATGACGAGCCTCCCACCGCTCCCGCCTCTGCCTGCGAGGCATGCTCCAACTGTGCAAAGAGCGGCAAGAAATGCACTTTTGTCTGGCTTCGCACTCTTCCGCTCCACGGCCTCCCCAAAGGCATCAAACGCAAGCTCGAGTTGACCGGCGACGCCGCCTCAAACCTATCATCCGAGACGAACCCTCGGTCACCGCAGGCCTCGACATCATCCGCCGAGTCGACATTGGCTCCCCACGTCACCTGCAACCCTTCCGTACCGCTGGAATTCACTCATTCCCCGTACTCCAAACTCGCATCTGAGAAGGATGCTCACCAAGGGCGTCCCACATCGCATCGTCCGCACTCAGCATCGCATGGCGCCCTGACTGGGCCTTCTGGCGTCTCTGGAGAAGCGGCAGGTGCTTCTATTCCAGCCTTTTCCGCTCACTCAAAGCCAGGCATTCGATGGACCACCCCGACTCTTACGCGCGCCGACACGTCTTCTTCTTCTTCGAGCTCCATTTCGACGGAGTCCAGGACCACCACGTTCAGTGTCCAAGCGCCCCGCAGCGTAGCATCAACCTTTTCAGATTCAAGTCGTGAACGAGAAAGCACAGACACTCTCTCACCCAAGCACGCCAGATATACCGCTCATCCCGAAGGTGGACGCGAACCCCGACCCGGGATGAGGCTGCCCTCGGCGAACTTGTCCAGCTCCTCATCCACGGTGTCCAGACGCCCTTCCATCAGTTCGGCGCTTCCATCGACCGGACGACATCCAAGCTCGACCCCACTGTCTCCGCGCCAGGTGCGGTTTGCTGATGGGGCGATGAAAAGCATGATCGCCACTGGCTTGCTGCGCATCTACCACGATAGCTTTGAGAACTCTTTGTCATGCTGGGTAACGGAACGGAATTGTCCCTACGAGACCGAGCTTCGCGACCTGCTTGCCACCTCCAACCCCGAGTCTGCAGCAGACGAAGCCGCCTTCCGCCTGGGTGACAACAGGATCTTTTCACGGGTTTCCCGTCTCGACGCGGCTTTTGCGCCGCTCCGGAGGCGGGACTTGACTGCGTCCGAAAACCGCACCGCGTCCAAAGCGCTCAATGCCGCCATCATGGCCTTTGCCAGCCAATGGTCGCACAACTCACACAATGCCTTCTGGAAGAGCAAAGAAGGCCGGTCTCAGATAAAGGCCTGGCAGAGCCAGAATCGGGCCAAGAACAAGCCGGCGGTGTCGAGCCGTGGCAGCGCCGACCCCATTCTCTCGAGTGAATGTGAACGCATGATCCAAAAGACGCTCTGGCACGAGGCGCGGACGGCAATCCAGGCCAGCGCCGAGCTAGACTCGTTCAAAGTCATCCTCGCACACATGATCTTTGCACTCACGCAAAGACCCATCGACGAAAGCCCGCGGCCTCCACATTCCGCCCTGCCAAATGACGGGACTGCTCGACAGCCCCCTGATACGGCCGGCGCCTCTGTGCCATATGCAGACACAGACCCCGCAATGGGCCTCGGAAAGGAGGAATGGGATCCTTTCTCGGCCAGTGACCTGGAGACGATATCTTCGCCGCCGGTGTATCTCGAAACCGCGGTGCGGAATTTGTTCTCCTGGAGACGCAAAGTGGAGCGATACAGACGGGTGCGATTATGCAGGAGTCAAGTGGGCGAAGCACCGGGCTCGTTGGGTGCATTGACCCTGAAGGACCAGCAGACATTTAATATTCTGTTCTGGCTCGGGGTCATGTGCGACACCACCTCGTCTGCCATCACCAAGAGGCCGCTGGTCATCCCGGACGAGGACTGTGCCATGATTCTAGACAAGATGGACATGCTCGGAAATGATGGCCAGCCGACCAATCCGGCCATGACGACAACGGCGACGGGCCGGGATCGAGAGGGTGCCCACGTAGGAGGGCCCGCGGCCAACATGACGGAGCAAGCGACCGAGCAGCTCTGGGGCGAATACCTGCTGAGCTTCAAATGGGCCGGGCCACGGCAAGTGCAGCCTCGATGGCCCTGCACTTTCGACGAGGCCGCGCTGGTGCTTCAAGAAGCCATCCCGGTGAAAGTGTTGATGTTTCGCCGGGTGGGACAGCTGCAGACGTTGGCGCACCGACGCAGCCCGGCGCATCTCCTCGAGCGATGCATCGAGGAAGCGATCTCCGTGTACCAACACTGGAATGCCACCTACGGCCAGTTCATGCTCGACTGTGTGCGCGCGCACAACCAGCTCCCGGCGCGGGTACAGTCGTGGTACGTCATCTTGGATGGCCACTGGCACTACGGCTGTCTGCTGCTGGCCGACAGCATCGCGCAGGTCGACCGCGAACGGCAGACGATGGGGCCGCAGCGCAGCCTGCGCGCCCACTGCGGGCTGATGGTGGAAATGCAGAGGGAGAATGCATACGCCATTTCGGCCATCGCCCAGGCCTCACTGGCCGAACACGCGCCGTCGTTCCCCGACAACCCGGACTTCTCATTCGCCTGCAACGGCAGCGCCATCCTGACCGAGCCCTGGACCGACATCTTGGTGCGCACCATGGGCAGCGCCTGCAAGATCTTCATCCACTGGCTGTCCGTCTGGCATGATCCCAGCCACGCCCTGCACGACTGGGTGGTCTCGAACACCGACTACGACGACTTGTATACTCAGGCCGACATCTGTATCCAAGGCATGGCCTTGCTGGGCCGCAAGTCCGACGCCGCGAACTACACGGCGGAGATCTTTTGGACGAGGCTGACCCAAGTATCCGCCCGTCGTCCGCGCTCGCGCTCAGGACATACGATCAAGGAGGAAAAAGCCCAGACTTTGGCCGAAGATCTCTTGTCAGGGCTGGAACCGCCGGGGGCGGGGGTGGATTACTTGTCAAGCTCGAACCTGAATCCGATCCGTTGTTGAAGGTTGTGATCGAAATAAAGGTATAGATCAACGTTAGGTCCCTCTGGGCGACAGTAGATGTAGAGCGGGTGTCCCCTTATTCTGATATTCTGGAGCCGGTCTGCAGAAACCATCGGTATACAACGGATCGTCACATACACTAGTCCATGCTTTAGGGTTTGGTAGAACGTCTTCCGTACACTCTGTATACTGTGTACTCCGAACATGCGCAGCCTTTTCTTTCGAGGCACTAATAATACTGTGCTGGGCGTGCCTGAACCAACCTGCAAAGGGAATGTAAGAGGAGCAGCGAATATGCATTATGTCTGTACCTGTAGTATCTCTCACATATCATGAGGATGTGACAATGCTATGTATGCACCAGAAGAGAGAGTCGTCGCAGTCGCGGTTGGCTCAATCGGCGGGCCGGATTAATAGTATTTCCGCTCCGGCCCAACTTCAACTTCTGCCACTGCAGACTGCAGCGCAGACGAAACAATCTTTCCAGAAGAAACAGTTCCTTCATGCGCGCAACCAGACCACTCTTAATACCACTCGCAAAACTAGCCTCTACATTCCCCATCCTCCGGACCTGAGCCACCGCACACGAGGTTGCACTCACCCTCACTTGCCTCCACATATGGACAGGAACAGCCGTTGATCTGCCCGGTCACACGGTTCTTCCACCCCGACACCCGTGTCGCCCAAGAAGCCTCCTCCTCCTCTATCATGTATAATCCTTACCAAGGTACGTATCCCGCCGGGCCGGGCCTCATACCTGACCTGTCTCCTCGACGTCGCTAACAAATGGAACAGCACCAGGTCAATATGGCGCGCCGGGAGACTACGGTGGTTTCCCTGGTGCACCGCCAGGTATGGGTAAGTCTTCTGAGTGATGCGAATAGAGCATAGCATACAAAGCCCGCCGGCTAACCACCATCTGTCCTGTCGCAGCTCCTCCTCCCGGTCTGCCCGCTCCAGGCACAGGAGCCCCTCCCGGCATCCAACAGCAAGAGGTTCACCCACCAGCTAGACCTGGCTCCTTTCCTCCCAATTTCCAACCTCCGGCCAATATGCCCAACATCAACTTTTCCGCACCCGTCATTCGTTTGGGAACCTCTGGACCCTCGAAACCCGAACCCACGGGAGGCCGAGATGAGCGCGAGAGAGGTGGCAGGAGAGCGGGACAGGGATTGGGCATGGGCTCGGATTTCCGAGGTGGTGAGCGAGACCGCATCAGTCAGGTACAACCCCAGACGAAAGAGGAAATCATAAAGACCATTTTTGTCGGCGGCATCACCGAGGGCGCCGGAGGCGATGAAGGTATCGAACGAATCTTGCGCGCAGCTGGAAATCTACGACGTTGGGTCCGCGCCACGGACGCCGATGACAAGCCTTGCAAGTTTGGATTTGCAGAGTACGAAGACCCTGAAAGCCTCAGTACTGCCGTAGAAGTACTAAGGGATGTTGAGGTTCCTGTCAAACGACAGACCCCTGCCGAAACTAAACCTGACGAGGAGCCGACAGTTGAAATGTCCAAATTGGTGGTACGTGTCGGTGTGCGGCTTCGGCCTTCGTCTTGAGTCGCTAATTTGGGTTTTAGGTCGTGGCCGACGACAATTCTCTCAGCTACATCGAGCAATGGCAGGAAACCCACGGGACTGGTCCTGAACAACGACAAATGCGATTGGACCAGGCGCGAAGCGCCCTACAGGCCGTCCTAGAAGACCTTGCGAACCCGAGGGTGCCGAAGCCCAGGGAGGACCTATCACATATCGACCGGGAAGGCGATGTCAAAATGACGGACGGGGCCAATGCAGATGGCACGACAGGCGATGTAGTCACCATCCCCATCCCCGTTGACGACGAATTGGCCGACATTCCAGCCGAAATGCGCGAGACGGTAGCCAAGGAGATATCGGCCTTTCGAGAGAGGAGCAACCGGCGGGATCTGGAGCGACTCAAGCGGGAAGAGGAGATTGAGCAGCAGGAACGGAATCGGATGATGAATGGGGAACGTTACAATCGCCTGGGCTCACCTCCTCCCACCGCGCCTTCAGGACCGGCAGGGGCCAACGGGATTCCCGTGGGGCCACGAGGAGCTCCAGCCGGTCCCCGGGGATTCGGTCAACAAATCCCAAGAGATTACCAAAAGGGAGTGACGTTCGTGAATGGGACGGCCATCAGCGGCGCCTCGGCGTTTGAAGATGAAGACACCGATGCCAGCGACTCGGAACTGGAACAGAGACGCAAAGCCAAGAGAGAATTGGAGTTGGAGAAACAATATCTTGACCAAGAGCGGCGTTGGCTGAACCGAGAACGCTCCCGGACAGCTGCGGTAGAACGAGAAAAGGGGCGGGACAAAGAGGAAGCGGCTCGACTGGAGGAACAGAAAGAAGCCATGGCGAAGAGACTGCGCGAATGGAACGACGATGCCGAAGCCTCACGCAAGACGGAAGAATACTATGCCGATCGGAGCATATGGATTCGCAACCGGGCGAGCTTCCGTCAGCGAGAGATGGCCAACGACGATGCAGATCGTGCGGCGGAACAACGCGATCAGGCGAGAGAAGTGCACCAGCGCGAGCGCGCCGACGCCCTGGCTGACGACTTCCTCAGCCGACAGGAGGAAGAGATGAGCCGGCGGGAACAGGAGGAAGAAGCGGAACGACGGCAGAGTCGGCGCGAGCCGGCCCGGTTCAAGTTGTCCCTGGGTGCGGCTGCGCAGAAGGCTGCTGCCCAGAGCGCATCGCAAGCAGGAAAACGGACGGTTGCCGAAGTCGAAGGGCTGCTGGAAGACGAAGAAGACGAGCTGGGGGCCGGGGCTCGCAAACCTTTGGTGCCGATCCAGTACGACGCGTCGACGACTTCAGCCATGACGGACGAAGAACGCGCCCAAGCGGCCCGTCAACTGGCGGCCGACATTCCCACCGACAAGAACGGGCTGTGGAACTGGGATGTGAAATGGGAGTTTGTGGATGAAAGCATCATTGACGAGCGGTTAAAGCCGTTTGTGGAGAAGAAGGTGGTGGAGTACCTGGGGGTTCAGGAGCAGATGCTGGTCGACGTGGTTGTCAATGCCTTGCGAACGAGAGGCAAGCCGCAAGAGTTGGTAGGGGAATTGGAAGGGGTAAGTTTTGTTTTTGTTTCTTCCCCCCCTTCATATCTTAGAGCCGGCCCTGTTGGACACGTCCTGCAATCATCACACCGACAGTATGCTGACCTCTTCCTTTCTATTAGGCCCTCGACGAAGAAGCCGAAGTCCTGGTGCGCAAACTGTGGCGCATGCTCATTTTCTTCTCCGAGTCAGAGAAGCGAGGGCTTTCTGCGTGATTGGCAACATCTGTCCAAGGACAATCCTACAGATACAGGGTTGAGCAGTCACAATCCACGTCCACATCCATACATCCTATCCCTATCCTCTACAGCTACTGCATATCACAAGGGTGGCGAGGGAAAACTTCAGATCTGTATTTTGATACTGTGACAAGACAAAACATGACATTTCAACTTGATTTCTTTGATTTCTTTTCTTTTCTTTGTTCTCTGTTCTTGTTTTCTCAACCACCCTTTCCATCAGCCTCGCGAGCCAAGGCCGATCAGACCAGACCAGACCGAGATACTAGTAGCGAGCGGAGCAGAAAGGTGAAAGGAGAAAGGACGAACGGACGAAGGAGAAAGGATGAAAGGAGGAAAAGACTACCAGTAAACTAACCTAGTTGTTTGTCTATCTAGAGGATAAAACTACCTTTTCTGCTCTATTCTGCTCTATTCTACTCTATTATCTATATATCTATTCTTCTCCGCTCTAGGATCTCCTCCCTTCTCTAGGCTGGAAGTCGGTAGTGCTCCTTTCATTTCATTATGTTCTTCATTACCCCTGCTCTGCTTCGTCCTGTCTACCCTTCTCTGTCCTGCTCTGTCCTGCTCTGTCCTTTTTACCTTATTCTCTACTGCTCGGTCCTGCTCTACCCTGCTCTCCTTTCCCCCTTCTTTTTATTTCATTCCATTTCTATCCTAGATCTAGTAGTCTAGTCTTCTTCACTCGGTCGATTTCTCTTCTCTTCTCTCTCCTCTTCCTACTCTGCTCTTTCTAGTCCCCTCTACTTAGTCCGCTGCCGCTGTATCTTTCCTCTACTCATCGTCTCCCCACCCGCTCCGTCCTTCCCTACTCATCGTCTCCCCATCCCCCCAAGCCCACCACATCATCCACATCCGGCCAGCCCTGCGTGCCGTCCGGCCCACCATCCAGCCTCGACCTCTGGACCATCTCGGGCCCACAGAACTCGACGGCACGCGCGACAGCGGCCCTGACGCCTCGAAGAACATCTTTGATACGACTGATCTGGGGTGGCTCGGAACGCGAGTCCGATTCTGGTTTCGTTTTTGTTGCTGTTTCTGTTTCCGATTCTGGCTTCGTTTCTGTTTTTGTTTCCGTTTCCTTTTCGTCATTCGACTTCGAATCCCCCTCCCCTCCCCTCGCCCCCAAGACCCTTCCCAGCCCACGCACATGCCACAGCGCCGGCCCGCGCAGCCCCTGCGCCGTGATGCACGTGTATGCGACGACTTCGGTCTCGAGCGCACTCAACACGCCAAAGTCGGACAGATACAACCCGTACACGATGGTCAGTTCGTGCAGGCCGACGTCGCGGCGGTGCGGGCCGAAGCTGCGGAAGATGGTGGGCCAGAGCGTGCCGTAGATGCTGGTGATGGTTTCGATGCCGCGTTGGTGGAGAGACGGGAGGGACGTGGTTGACCTAGACGTGGTTGAGAAGTTAGGATTAGGGTTAGGGTTGGGAAATAGAGAATAGAGAACAGTGTTTAGTAGATCGGATAAGCTCAGCTCAGGGTAAATTAATCGGAACAGACCAAGACCAGTTGAAATCACAAAAGATCAAAATCAGATCAGAGCAGATCAAAGCAGAACAGAAGGATAGATAGATGGGAATAAATAAAACACTAAATTTTGTGGAGACAAGGAGGTATGCTTTGTAGGGGTTGGGGAGAGGTATGCTTGGTAGGGGTTGGGGAGAGGTATGCTGGTAGGGGTTGAGGGGACGTCGCGCAATAGATATATGTATATTGGCAAGAGAATCTGTGAGGACTTGATCGTGCCAGGGGAGGAGGCAATTCACTCATTCGCAGTCGGGTAGGGAGGACAGTTATGTCCCGTCGGGTCGATCCTCGACTTCGGACCATAGTCATAGAAGCCAGCATATACCTTGGCCATGTTGTGCCGCTTGAACCCCAGCAAAAGGAGATGGTCAAAACGCAACATCGAAGGCAAGGCGCGGGAAACACTAACTCAACGAGACATATAAGACGGGCTGGGCTGGGCTGGCTTAAGGTGCAGTGTAGGTTCGGTGTGGACAAACCAGAAATCGGCTGGCTTGCCACGCATATTCTTCAGGTCGTACATGGTCGACGAACCAAACCCTTGAACCGGCGAGTTGATGAACGAAACGAAACGGATGGAACTGAACTGAACTGAACGAACTAAACTGAACGAACTGAACTGAACGAACTAAACTGAACGAACTGAACGAACTGAAACGACACGACATATTGATCTAGATGAAGCACTCACTCACCATTGTTCTAAATCCAATTCGCCGCGCGCCTCCTCGCCCTTGCCAGCCGTCTGTACTTTGGCGAGCGGGATCAACGCACTGAGCATCTGCGGTGCGCCGATCAATGTGAGTAGCTTGAGCATCACGTCACGCAGCCGGTCCGAGAGTCGGGTCTGGGCCTCGTCGGTGGCGAATTCGGCTTGGGCGCCCCGGGTCGTTGTCAAGTACGTCCAGAAGTCGGCTAGGAGGTGGGGGCGCGGAGAGGTGGTGAGGACGGTGGCCTGTTTGAAGGGGAAATGATGTTGTTAGCTAGTTGTGGCGGGGAGTAGAAATAGAATGGAAATCGCAGTAAAAAGGACGTGAGGGAGAAAATGGCAATAACAGTAAAAAGGACGAGAGTGGAAATGGAAATGACAGTGAAAAAGACGAGAGTGGAAATGGAAGTAACAGTAAAAGGACAAGAGTGGAAATGGAAATGGAAGAGATGTGAGTGAATCAGTGCTGGCTGGCGGCAAACAAGAATTAGATATCAGTGCTCGCATTGCATTGCAGAAAGCAAAACAGATTGAGGGTGTTCAGGTTCAGGTTCAGCCTCATCCTCGACCAAGACCACGGATGGCATGAAAAGGGAACTTGCAATCGCAATCGCAATCCATTCCATCGATGGGGGACGCCAATTGCCAGTCAAGATGCTACCAATTGAAGTATCCATGGCCGACAGGATGGTTGGCCTATCTTAAAGGAGATAGAGACCAGAAGCCAAAAAAAAACCAGAAAACAAAAAACAAAGAAAAAATAAAGCGCCAAGATGTTTTCCTCCTTCTTTCCGAGAATGCCCTCGACCGTGACCGTGAGGAGCTCCAGTAGAGCGAGGGTGAGACCTGAACGGACCGGGATGCAGGTGACTGGAGCAGCAGCCTGGGCCTGGGCAAATATCTCACACAGGAAGAGCTGGTTCTGGTTCTGGTTCGCGAAATAGAGAGAGGCGTGGATAGAGAGATGGATAGAGGGAGAGATAGACAGAGGAAGAGAGACAGACAGAGGAAGAGAGACAGACAGAGGGAGAGACAGACAGAGGAAGAGAGACAGAGGGGGAGAGACAGAGGGGGAGAGACAGACGGAGGGGGAGATAGACAGAGGGAGGTAGACAGAGAGAGATAGACAGAGAGAGATAGACACGTACAATGATCAAATACCAGCTCTCCTCGCCCATCTCAGGCAGCAAAGACGCCTTGACACCACGACACAGCTTGTCCCATTGCTCGGCGGTCGGCGAGTCATCGGAGGCCATGTTTCTTCTTCTTGTTTGTGGTTACCGAATCGTGCTGACGTGGACTGTGGTCCGTGGACAGTGGACCGTGGACCGGCGAGAAATAAAGGGGCCTCCCACCGAGAGCTAGGGAAAGCTAGATTAAATAAAAGGAAAGGGAAAATGAGAGAACGTGGTCTGTAGTGATAAAAAGGGGACTTGAGGACGTGCTCCGTATTTATACTAAATTAAGTCGTGGTGGGCGAAACCAAGCGAGTCTGACTAATAAATAATATAATATTGGTGTATATAGACACCTAACAGAGTACAAAGTATACTCCGTACAGTCTCATAGTCTCAGTACTAATACCACCAATCAATATGAATAGTTTACCATATAATCATGTCTGTCCGGACAATGTCCTATACTCTATACAAGCCCTAGGCAACTAAAGCTCACCTTGTCACCTCCCACAGTCGCCCATGTCAATGGGCAATGTACCGTCTCCCCCCACAGAGGTTGTGTGACTGTGACCTCTAATCCGTATTCTGATGGAAGCACCGATAATTGATCATCACCTCGATCATCCATCACCGCAACACCCCAGAGTCCAGGCCGGAAGCAGTGCTATGACCAACACCAACACCATCCGTATTGGTCGGGTTCCCAGTCACTTCACTGTGCATCTAGACGCACGCATCTTTTGAGGCTTTGTCTTTGGACCATCTGGCCTAGTTCGAACACTGTTTGTGTGCACGACAGTACCGGCTCCTACCTCAACTCAGTCGTCGGATGGGAGGCATGTGACATGACCCGATTGCCGAGTGAGTCACAAGGGTCTGGTGTCTGGTATCTGTCCACCAAACCCCCGGTCGCAGCTCGAGCTTACCACCAAGCACAAGAGGCTTTCGGAACAAGATGAGAGAGTTGAGCTTTTGCAGGTTGAGTTTTTGCAGGTTGAGTTTCCGCAGATTCGATAGTCACCTCTTCCAAGCCCGCAAATCTCTACAGTCTCATCTTGTTCAGCCAAAGACTCGTCCCAGTAGTCCTCCTCCACCTCCTTGACTCGAAAACGGATCCCCTTTCCTCATCTGCTCGTCAAGCCAAGCAGCTACACTCTTCGGATCACTCATCAACCTCGTATCTACCACTCTGTCCGTCACTCTTTCCGCCCTCCTACCCCCAAAGCCCATCAAAGTCGGCATACTGGTCACTCCGTACTCCACGCCCAGATCCAGCATATTTCCACTGCTCCTGTCCGGACTGTCCAACTCCACCTCCGCGAAAGCCAGACCGGAAAACTTATCTGTCGGCGAGGGAGGCCGCGTTTCGACGAGTGAAGTGATCAGCGGCGTAATGGTGCGGCATGGAGTACACGTAGACGTCGTGAACAGGGCAAGGAGGAGGGTGTTGTTGGCAGAGCAGAGACGAAGGGCGTCGTGGAATTGAGGAGGGGTTCGGAACGCATCCAGTACTCGGTTCTTGGAGAGAAGCAAGGCCCCAGTCGTGCTGAACGGTCGGAGAGCTTGCTGAGAGCCAGTCCGAGTCCGGCGTGGGAGCTCTTTGGGTACGGAGAGGAGCAGGCGAACGGATTCTGTAGGTGCTTTCATCGTCCGAGAGGGTGAAACAAGGTCTTGGGCTGTAGAGGAGACTGATGACGAGAAGCAGAATCAATCTCTATATCTCAGAATCTCAGGGTTGTGGAAATGGTACGCAGACAGAGCACAGCAAATATTAAATACAGTGAGATTGTTTGTAGTAAGGCCACAGATGGCCACCACATGTGACGTCACCTGCGGCTTCAGCCTCGTCTTGGGGGCAGCCTCGCCAGCTGGACCTTCATTTCTATGTCAAGGGTGCTTCATTAGATTACCGCCTGTCCACCTGTCCGCCTGTCACTGTGCTCTCCAAACCCTCTGGCAGGCAACTGGCAATGCTCCATCCCGCTCACCAATCCATCATCATCGTCATCATCAACCCCCGCCGCGCCTCCTCTGGCGCCAACAGGGTCAAAAGGGGTATCACGACCCTGAGGCTGATCAAAACCATGCTGCATAGGACCAGAAACGCCCTGAAAATGGCCATGATAACTTCGCTCCATTCGCTGATGACGACGACAAGTCTAACTATAGGCTTGTTGAGCAACGCTATGCACAACCACAACATCAACAAGACAATCACCGAAATACCCAGGACGGCTAGTCATAAGACAATACACGGCGAAGACTGCTGCCTGTCCACACCAAAAAGTCAGTGTCTGTCCAAATGGATCCCGTGTATGGTGCAGCTGCGCCCCTAAGCTTGGTGACCGAGCCATGACCATGTGGTGCATGACCATGTGGTCGGTGCATAGTCGAGATTCAATGACCGAAGCGTGCTGCGTGGGTGGTCGCCGATTCATCTTCACAAGTTTATCGCCCAGACAGCCGTTGTTGCTGCGCTTCTCGTTCACTTCAGGCATACGATGTCAGGCGACATGGCCCCAGGCTCCCGGAAAAGGGAATAAAGAAAATCGTACTCACCATCTGGCCCGTTCCAACCTCTCAATCCACAACGTCGTAATTTTCAATCGCTCCCGAACGCTCGTAGTGGGCAACAGTTGGTATTTTTCTTGTTCGGCAATCGGCAACACGCTTGCAAGCCAGTAGGGGAAGACTGCTGGGTCTGTCGAGGGCTCGCCATAAGCCGCAAACACCCGTTGGTGCAGCCACCGCGCCGATCGACCTCGGGCTTGCTCCACGAAGCTCAACCCATACTCGAGCAGACCTTGAGTAGACAGTCGACGAATTCGCCCAGCCTCGCTCTCCCCCGGCAAGGGGTCTCCAGATGTCTCTGAAGCCTCCCTCAGCTCTTCTTCGCGGATGGGAATGTCGTCCACGCGTTCGACCCGACCAATCAGATACCCATCATAGACGTCCGTGTCCAACACTTGGAACTTGTACAGTCCCCTGGTTTCGATCAAACTGCGACCGTCCGGGAGTGTCTCGATCCGTTCAATGTACAGGACTGTCCCGATCGGCTGGAAACGGGGTATGTCGGGTCCTAGTGGATTGATATAGGACTGCGGTCTGTACATCAACATGCCAAATTTGCGAGATCCGTTGTCCATCACTCTTCTCACCATCCGACGATACCGTGGCTCGAAAATATGTAGGAAGGTAGGCATTTGGGGGAATGCCAAGGTACACGGGAAAAGAGGCAGTCGGTTCTCATCGTCCACCCTCTCCTCCTCTTCCGCTATGGCCTTGCGCGCGGCGAGCTGATTGGGTAGCAAACATTGCATGAGATTGGTGAGCAACTTGTTGCTTGACATGGAGGGAGACCCCGCCGGACCGGGCAGTTTTCGACGACACATGGGACAATAACTTGAATGCTCCATGGCACGCCCAAAGCATACCCGGCAGAAGGTATGGCCACAAGATGTGGTTACCGGGTCGAGCATCAACTGGTAACAAACCTGGCACTCAAGCTCCGGGCGGGCCAACTCCTGAAAGATTTCTAGGGCCGCCAGGTCGAGTAAACGGACCGTCTCGGAAGAGTCCGTGTCGATCGGGGTATATAAAACATCCGACGTGTAGTCGAGTTCGCCCATATCTGCCAGCTTGTATGTCGCATGCAGTCGTCCACCTTGCAGGACCCTTGACCTAGGCATAATATCCATGGCGCTGTCGACGACCTTTGCCATGTCCAGCTGTTCTTGCAATAGTAGAGAGACTTGGGCCAACCCAGACTTGTTTGTCGTCATGACCTGGCTCTTGATGAGTTGGGTAATCTTGTTCACAATCACATCCATTCCGCAGTCGCCGACCGCATGTTCCAAGCCACAATCCAGAAATGGGCACAAAAACCCGGTTTCCCGTCCCTCGGCGGGAGGGTAGGTGATGTTGCCGCGGTTGTATAGCGGTGGCAGGCATGGCTTGCAGAGTGCATTGCCGCAGGGTAATGCCAGCGCCTCTCGGAGAGGATACGAGCACTGTGAACATTGGAACAGCCTGACAATGGCGCGGGCGTCCACCTCGCGGGCATGGGCCTCTGAACCACCACCGGCCTGTGCGGGAGACTCGTCCTCATCGGCGCTCATCTGAGCGGTTGGCGAAGTGTCGGCTTCCACGTTCAAATGCAGACTGCCTGACTCGGATGGGCCCTCCGATATCGTCGGTCAGGGCACCATTCACGGTTGCGAAGGGACCGATACTGAATCCATTTATCGTATAAAGACATCCATCCCACTCTTGCAGTAAAGTCCCGGTGAATTATAGGCTGGTATGGCAGTAGAAGGCCGGTCTCGCTTCGGGGGATGAATTTGTAAAGATTGGCTGCGGGGAGGAACTTTGGTCTTTGACGAGGGCGGGCGACGAGGTGAGACGGGGGGACAAGGACAGGAGGAGTCTTTGTGACAATCGACCACTTTGAGATCAACGACGTCTACACTTCGCAGAAGGCGTGGACTGCAAATTGGGCCTCGCACGAGGTCGGTACCAATACTACAACCACGGCCACTGCTAGCACCATTTGTATGTTGTATGACGAACAGTTCCGAGCCACTTGGACCAGCCCCAAACGGGCTCGGGCTCGGGCTCTGCCTCTGGGGAAACAGAGGCCGAACTCACGGGAACATGAACATGAGACGGGGTGCGCAGTGGTTGGCTCAGAGGCTGAGGCCCCATGCCTTGTCCGAACCTTCAGGGCTGGACGACGGACGTGCGATGGGAGTGCAACATCGAGTTGACTTGGGATCTGACCGCAACCGGTGGATCGAGAGGTGCACGCTACAATGAGCCAGGGCCAACAAACAGCAAGTTGCAAGTAGTGGCGGAGGGGCTCCTTGGGCGGGCCGCCATTTCCACGCATCATCGATCTCACCCGTCTCGTGCTCAGGGCTCCCAGGGCTACCGCACGTGACGCCACCTCCGTATTAGACACTGGACACTAATCCGTAGACATCGTGACACCGACACCGCTTCTACTTCTGGAACAGCCTTTGTACGAGTCATCACTTGAGCTTTGCCCTTATGCTTGACCCTCATGCTTGACCCTTACTCTAGCGCACAGGGTTAGCCTGGCACCCTGCACCCTGAACATCCTCCATCTTCCTAATCCGTCAAGTCGCAGCTGAGCAGGGCCCATGTCCAAGGCGCCACACGTCCAGCATCCCCAGATCATGGCACTGACTGCAAACCACTTGACGCACAGGGGACCTGTGACCTGTTCCCGAACACAGACAAAGCTGCCGAAAGACAATACCCCACGATCGGCCCTGCCGACGAACCCGACCGAATTCATGTTCGTTCATGATCCCGGTTGCCTCATTGTCATTGATATGCCGCCGTCTCCGAACCCTAGTTTCAAATCCACAATGCGCCGTCCCATCTTCCCAAGCATGTCTTGGGATCGCCTTAGGGTCTTCGAGACCCTACTCTCGGCCAATCCGAACACAGAGTCCACGAAGATGCCTCCCACCGTGTGTTGTCCGCTACAATGCAAATAAAGCCAAACAGAGACGGGCCGCGAGTCACGCCATCCCTTCTCCTACCCAGTGGTGTCCGACCCAGTCTCCTCTCCCATCTCTTCGTCAAAAAGAATCCGGCGCATCATGCCTTTGTTGAACAGATTTAGAATGAAATACCGCGCCTGCAGTCGATAGTGGTGGCTTTCGAGGATGACGAGGGTCTTCCGGAACATCTCCGTATCTGCGAAATGGCTGGGATCTCTGACCTTGAGTGACTGAAGATCTGCAGCGGCCTTTTTGTACATCACCGAATTGCCCATCTCGACAATGTGCTTCAGTATTTTGGCTCGCACCGGATCGCCATCCGTGACTGCAGCCTTGTAGCGGCTGTTCTCCTCCGCGGTTGGAGTTTGCGGCACGGTGGACGAGCCTATTGATTCCTAAAGTACGTCAGTACAGCTGTAGGACAACCTTCATTTGCCCACTCACCAAGCACAAGACATCAAGGTCAAGAGGCAAGCAGAGACCAAGGGATCGTCCTTGAGGGTCTACCGCGGTGTCCCATCCAGATTCGGCAAGCATTTCAAATCCATGCAACGTCCTAGAAATCAAGCCCAAGGCGAAGCACGCGGTGCCTCGCATTGACATCACTTCAGCACCCTGGGCAATTCGCACGATCGCGGTGACCACGTTGCCTTCTTCCAGAAAGGAGGCACCAAGATCCATCGAGCCGATGTTCCCTACGGCCCACATGCAACCTTTGACTTTGGTCAGAACTTCAGTGTCTTCCTCGTCGAGGTGGAAATCCCGGATGGTGGAGGAGAACTCGTAAAAATGTCCAGATTGCCTGAGTAGTTTGCATCCCTCCTGCGTGCGCGCGAGCTCGCGATAGAAGTGCGGAGGCGCAATTCCTATTTCGTGAAGATCAGCTGCCGGATCATCGTTGAAGGGTGTCCTGTTGTTGTTGACCCTTCCGTCCATATAGGCACGAAGGATCGATGCCTCGACCAGGCCAACGTACGCGTCGTTACGTCCGAGGAACCAGTCATCCATCTCCTGCGTGATATAGTCCAGTCCACTGAGGTACCGGTAGCCCACAGAGGTTGACAGGAATCTCAATAGAAGGGGAGCGCCAATCTCTCCGAGGTGGTCCAAAGAGGGTCTGCATTTAACCACATACTCCAGATGACTGCGTTGGTTACAGGCTTCTTCCAGTATCTTGACGGCAACCTCGCACACTTCCACGTCGGGATCGTAGAGTTGCGTAAGGACCAGTCGCAGAGCCCAGTGGGAGCTGGAGGGGTCTTGCAAGCCAGACGAATATCGGACCCTGCCCACCGCATACCGCCGGAGGAGCTTCGACGAGAAGAGCCGGATGTCCTTGACTCCCGAGGTAAGTGCTTTCGACAGGATCACACGAAGATGGGTGTCGAGCGTGTAGTCCATGTTCCCCAGTAGCCCTCGGATCAAATCATCGCGGTCCTTCAGCTCCACGAGGTGATAGAAGATGTCCATCATGTGCCATTGCTCCATCAAACGCACGCCTTCGATGGTATGGCTCAAAGCTCCGAGCATGGCGAAGTACCCACTGCTGAGCGTCTCAGCCATGTGGTGTCGGTCAAAGAGGGGGCTGGCAGACGTGATTCCGCTGTATGGATCAACCTGTGCAAGACATTCTGCGATCTGCCGTAGAAGCTTATTCTCGGCAAGATACTGAATGCCCAGCGCCGTCTGAGTCAGAGTTCGCATCAAGGCACAGCCCGTGCGCACGTATCGTTGGTTAGGTCTCGTGTTGCGAATCATCGAGAACCGGTATTTGAAAGGACGGAAGAATCCGACGAGTCTTTTGAGGAATTTCGGGGATTTGATTGCTTCTTCGAGCCTCCTCGGGTTTGTCAACGGCCCTTCCACCAGCCCATGGATCAGCTCCCACTTCCACTTTACGTATTGAGAATGGCCTGTGACCTGACTGTCTGCCATTGCTTGGCGAAACTGATCTGAATCCATCATAGCAGTGTACCTAGATCTCTCAATAGCCTGTGGTCCAACGGCCAGCTCATCAACTGGACCGGTTCGGGCGTATGCTGAAGCAGAGGTTTTCTGAAGTGTGCGATTGATGCTTTCGATCTGATAGATCAGGCTCATGTTTGTCGCCGATGATTCCGATCCATAGTCATTGAGGCTTGGGACCAGACCGCCCAGCACCTGGATATCAGAGCTGATAGACTGCGGTAGGGCATAGTTGGCTATTTTCAGAACTTCAGTCAGTAGGAGGGCCGATTTCCTCTTCAGCATGACGTCCTCTTCGTTCCTGATTAGATCCACCAGAGCGGGCACCAGACCAGCTTTGATCAGAGCCGCCAGAACAAACGAGGAAAAGTGTTGCATTAGATCAAACCTGTCACCCGTATTATATTCTGCCAGTTGTCTCTGAGACGGCTGTTCCACGGGTAATGTGTTGACCCTTCCGTACGTGGTGAGCCTTCTGCCGGCGAGGTACGAGCTGGACCAAGAGGGAGGCTTGATACGCAGAACGTCAAAAAAGAGCTCCAGTACCGTATCTCGAGATTGAGTGATGGGGTACACGAGAGAATCAATCAGTGACCGAAGAGCCGATGCACCGTTCATGGCGAGGAGCAGGAAGCCTGGCCAAGTCTTCAGCATGGCCGCAATGGCCTGGGCGCAGGTCTTCAGCCTTTCCTCATTGCCACTCAAGAGCAGTGGATCGGTGAATGGTGCAAACATGGCTTCGAACTCCCGGCCAGTGTGCAGATACCGCCGCTGCCGGGGATGGTCCAGGATATGAAGGAAACTGGCAACAAGACCCTCAGGAGCAGGAAACGACCCGTCGGACAGGGCTTCGGTAAGCGTACTCATTCCGTTTGCGGAAACTACAAGTTCCGTATGCTTCATCAACAACTCGGCTAGAGTCAGCAAGCAGATATCCTTGAGGCTGTCATCGTGGGCTTCGGCAACGGCCACCAAGCTACGGACAACAGCCCGGGATATCTCATGCACGCCATCTTTGACGTCCAAGAATGCCCGTACGAATTTGACCGCCTGTTCGCGTTCTAGTGTAGCATTGGTCTTTTTGACTAGTGATAAGATCACCAGCTCATCAGTGTGCATGGCCCGAATCGTTTGCAACGATTTGCGGTCTGCAATGGCATGTCGAGTTACTCTGTAGCCGGCCGCGACGACATCGGAACTGTCACTAAGCAGCATCAGTTGAACGCGCAAGCTGAAGACCGACCAGGCGAGATCATATTTCAGAGTAGGGTTTCGCTTCAAAAGATCGACCAGAACGTTTGCTCGCTCAATATAGTAGTCTGGCGGCATCCCGTCTGCCTCCAGTTGCTGAAGGGTCTCGGTCAGGATGACTGTCGGCGATTCACTATCAACTGACTCGGAAAGATCGCCTTTCTGATTGCCCAGCGGAGGGGACCTGAGCGGGCTGCCTCGAAAGTAGCTGGAGGCATTCTTGCTTGGAGGGGTATTAGGCGTCTGAGAGCGTTGGATTTCTTGATCGAGCTCCTGCTTTAACTCGGCGAGTTTCCTTTTCGAAGAACCAAGCTCTATCTCGACCCGCTGTCGTTGTTCTTTTGTTTGTTTGGGATTCTTACTTAGAAGCGCTTCGAGCATGTTTTCCGTCCCCAGTTTGATCTTCATCTCCTTGGCTATCTTGTCACGCACCGCTGCCTGGCGTTGCTCCGATGTTGTCAACGCATCGCCATCCTTGTATTGTTGTTGAAGTCGCGACATTGTCCCGCCAGCCAATTCAGCCTGCGGTGTGGTTCTACCCGAGTGCATGGCACCCTTCAACTCGGGATTGAAGCTGCCTGGGGCACCAGCAGATGTAAGAGTCGGAACGAACGCCCGCTGTCCGTGTTGGGCGCTGCCCCCAGAAAGTGAGCGGCCATCTTTTAAAGAGGGTCGTTGCAAGGCTGTGAAGTCGTCACTCTTCCTCGAAGCATGTCGGATCGTGAAGCCTCTGTGCTGGGTAGGCGTCACCGAGTAGCCCGACCCTGTTTCGGACGAAGCCATCGAGCCATGGAGCGGTTTGTCTCTCCAGGACTTTTCGCTGGTTAGGGGCGTGTGCAACAAGCACCGGGAAAATGAGGTTTCGGCACGGTGGCAAAGAAGTCGAGATCGCCTAGGAACTGGTGAAGGGGAGTATCATGAGCTGAGGGTCTATGTACGCTGCGAATCCGTTCCGTTGGTTCGTTCATGAGGTTTAGTAACTGGCGTGGGATTGAGTGACATGCGGTATCAGACGGGATGGCTAAATCGGAGGGTGCTTCACACGACGAGTGACATGATCATGGCTCCGAGGCACCACGACGTTGACATTTGGTTCATGAGGTGAGGCGAGGGCTACCGGCGTGGTTATGCAAAGAGCGACGTATCTACGGCTGTCAGCAGTGTTGTGGTATCGAAGGTGGTTCACGCTACGGTACTCTAGACGGCTGCTTCGGAGGATTGCTGTGTAGTTAAGCGCAGGCATGTTGAAGCACGACGTACCTCTAAAGGCTTGGACTCCCCGCAGTCCTCCTAAGCCTCGACTAGAGTGACATACTCTGTATATACTGTAGCGGTACCTAGGTAGATCAGTAGCATATGGATGATTCTTTGACTGGTATACTCTTACACATGCTCGCTACCTCACACCAAGTCGATGTTTATCTTACGCTCGCTTGCACTTCCATAACCCTTGCAGCCGCCTCGCCAAATTCTTCCAATAGACGTGCGGCACTGGCGTAGTGGGAGTCTTCCTTGTGTGCTACCACGCCCGCTGACATCATCCCTACAATATGTCGAGATCTTTGAGACTCGAGCCGCTGCACCGCAAAGTCAGCACGAGAGCCTGACAGAGGACCCCCGGTTTCATGAAAGACATCAATTATCGCCTTTGAAATAGAAATCTACCGCTGTACTGGGATTACGGAATCGGGTGATTACTTGCCCGGTTTCTGGCAGGGAGGAAACAATGGCGGAGGTGTCCCAGGTACAAACCGCGCCCATCGGCGACCTCCGGTCTATATGGGATCGTACGAAGATGAAGCTCCCGCCATCAGCTCCGTGCAGGGACCAATCGCTAGCCGAAGAGACATCTCAGTAACGCTGAAGAGGAATTCCTGATCGGCGGTCTGGCTCGTATTCTTCACCTGTACGTCAGGTGCCTTTCGTGATGAATTTCCGGCGACTACCCCTCCGATAACGCATTTTTATAAAACCCCGAGTTCACGCTCTCTTAGCCTCCAAAACATTTAGAACAACACTTCCATCTCTTTTACCCCGAGGACTTAGCCAAATGCAGCGTGCTGTTGAACGACTGAATCGCGAGTTTAGAACTCTCTCGCCTTCAAGTACCCCCGTCACCCAGTCAAGCGACTCCACGGTCGGGATGCCGAAGCTCGCAGCGGCCCGTTATGGCAAGGACAACATTCGCCTGTACAAGGTCGAGAAGGATGAAGCCACCAAGACACATACCGTGTACGAGATGACTGTCTGCGTACTGCTGGAAGGAGATATTGAGACATCGTAAGGCATCCTCAAAAATAGTACAGCTTTGCCCGAGACTGACGCTCTACAGCTACACTCAAGCAGACAACAGTGTCATCGTTGCAACCGATTCAATGAAGAACACCACCTACATTTTCGCAAAGCAGAACCCAGTCCACCCACCGGAGCAGTTTGCTTCCATCCTAGGTACTCACTTCATTGAAAAATACAAGCACATCCACACGGCACACATCAGCGTCATCCAGCATCGCTGGACCAGAATGACCATTGACGGAAAGCCGCACCCTCACTCCTTCTTCCGGGACGGCCAGGAGAAGAGAGTGGTTCAAGCAGATGTCATCGAGGGCAAGGGCATTGAGATCAGATCCGGAATCTCTGACCTCCTTGTACTGAAGAGCACTGGCTCCGAGTTCCACCATTTTGTCCGGGACGAGTTCACCACCTTGCCGGACGTGTACGACCGTATCCTCAGCACTTCGGTCGATGCCGGTTGGAAGTGGTTCACATTCAGTGGGCTTGACGCAGTCAAAAGGGATGTGGCACTTTTCGACGAGACCTGGACGAAGGCCAGAGAGATCACCTTCCGCCTGTTCGCTCTCGAGGAAAGTCCCAGTGTACAGAATACTATGTACAAGATGAGTGAGGAGATTCTTGCTGCTCAGCCACGGATTCAGACTGTCGACTATTCTCTGCCGAACAAGCACTACTTCGAAATCGATTTGAGTTGGCACCAAGGACTCAAGAACACTGGCAAGGATGCAGAAGTGTATGCGCCCCAGTCAGACCCCAATGGTCTAATCAAGTGTACCGTAACCCGGTAGACCTATACATCTGGTTCTTTGTTGCCTGGAAGATTGAATAGCGGGTATCTGGAGGGAGTTCTTGGATGGGATTGATCAAAACGAATAATGTCCACCTAAATGGTCTGTAGATTTACACCCAACGCTAATCAAGCAAATCCCCTTGATCAATGTGTCCTTTGTGTCTTTCCGCTTAAACGCCGACAGTGTAGTGAAAATATGGTCATGACAGACTCGTACTCGTCTTGGAAGCTTCGACTGCCTGAGTGACTGGTCCAGGGACATGAGGCTTCCCAGCGAACTTGACGATATTCTGCTTGTAAGGATGCGCGGCGCCTTCGAATACCTTTAACCGTGCCAGCCGCTTATCCCGCAGTCTGTTCTTCGGTAGCATACCTCGCACTGCTCTCTTCAATACCTCTCCTCCACCCCACTTCTCAATCATGCGGTCCATGCTCATTTGTTTGAGGCTGCCAGGGCGTGTGTTGTGCGTGTAGTACTGTTTCTGTAGCCTCTTCTTGCCGGTGACGTGGATATTGTTGCATCCTGTAGCCACCACGTAATCGCCGCAGTCGGTCGAAGGATCCCAGATTGGTTTGTGTTTGCCCATAAGGAAGACGGCAATGGACGTGGCGAGTCGACCTAGGGACCGTGAATCGCTGCCAACATCGATGTAGTGCCATGTGCGCGAGTAGGCAAGACGGGTCTATCGCATCGCGATCAGTTGGTCAGTCGCCTAGATATGAAAGGACTTTGGCGTACCTTGCCAATGGTTTGGGACATGTCGAGTCACTGTTATCTAAACATGGACGACCTCAAACAGGTGGGAGGTTCAAGAAGGACAGTACTTGCTGACCATATGAGGCGCCGTCTGTCACAATGTAAAGACTCTCAGAGCTCATCAATCTTCGGGAGGGCTGCTTCCTGGACCTAAACTTGACCGAGCTGAAGGCCAGTGGATAAAAAACTGCGTACTCGGGAGTCAATCCTAATTTGGACGATGATGATGCCGCCCTATTTTCGAAGCTCAATCCCACGTGATCTCCAGATTTATAGGTCGGTATTGCCAAGACACCACTCCTAACTGGGCTTAGTATTATATCGGCACTTTGCTCACCGACGTGGATTTCACACACAAGATTCAGATTCCGCGAAGAGGTTTCAAAACTCCCACAATCAACCACATCCTCCATTACCGACTCGCACTCACTTTCTGTTGCCATCAAGATGCCTCCCAAGAAGAGAGTCGAACGCGGTGCCACCGAGAACATCTCGCTTGGCCCTCAAGTCCGCGAAGGTGCGTTGAGAGGAAGACGAGCTGCTCCAAGGGCTTCGAAACTAATGGACTTCACAGGTGAACTCGTTTTCGGTGTCGCACGTATCTTCGCATCCTTCAACGATACATTCGTCCATGTCACCGATCTCTCGTAAGTAAACTACCATCAGCAGACGAGTTGGGGGAGGGAAGCTAGGCGCACACTCTCAACCCGACTGGGTTATATACATGGATGGATGGCTAACGTTCTGGGTGATTCCAGTGGCCGCGAAACCATCTGCCGTGTGACTGGAGGCATGAAAGTCAAGGCCGACCGTGACGAGTCCTCCCCATACGCAGCCATGTTGGCCGCACAGGACGTTGCTCAGCGATGCAAGGAACTCGGCATCAACGCCCTGCACATCAAGATCCGCGCCACTGGCGGAAACGGCACCAAGACCCCCGGCCCAGGTGCTCAATCAGCTCTCCGTGCCCTGGCCCGTTCGGGAATGAGAATTGGAAGAATCGAGGATGTCACACCCACACCTTCCGACAGCACAAGACGCAAGGGTGGTCGCCGTGGTCGTCGTCTGTGAGCAGGTCGCCATGGATTGCGGGACCATGCCACGTCCACAGAATACTGCAATGGAGACAGCGAGGGCTCTTGGACAGGATGGAGGAGGCAACTGCAGTGGTGTTTGTCACAAATACGCGAAGAACGGCATTTTTGCCTGGTCTTCAAAGCTGCGACCACGATTATTCTGCAGCGCATGGCCGTAGATATGATGTGGTTGGCATGATGAAATCAATGCCCCAAATATTTTGACCACAACCGTAGTAACTTTCTTCTCTATACTCTGTAAATTTCTATCCTGCTATCCGCCCCCACCAAAGGAACTCCATGGTCAGTCTTCGTCCGTCTCACTACGATGAGTTCGCAAACGAAATCTCCAGCCAGTGCACCGACCGTGCTGTTGCTCTCACTCCCGCCTAAGACCTTGGTTGGCATAGACCTCTTGTCTTTCAACTCGTCGCCCAACTTCCACGGCATCACCAACATCCCATATGGAGTGCATTTCGTGTACACGGGGACGCACGCCTCACTTTCCATTCGTCAAGGGCGATGGCTTCGCCTTACTGCCAACGGACCGCAATCTCTGGTTCTGAGATGGAACAGTGACACGGAGACGTTGGACTTACTGGACCACGACAGCAAGATGGCGCAGAGCGCCATTGCGTCCGTTTCGAGTCAAGGCATGGTCGACTACACAGCTCTGCAGGATGCGACTTCTGACCTGGCCACGCGAGAGTCGGAAGCGAACACCACATCGGGACGCCCGTCTGAAGAGCGATCTGAGAGCACCGACTGGCCGCAGCTCTCGAGCCACATATCCCGTAGGCTCTTCGAGCGCGTCCTGTCTTCTGAATGGGTCGTGTCGTCGGTCTCTTCAGCTCCTAGTGACACAGAACAAATCCCGGGCCTGTCGCACCTCGAGGCCAACAACGCACTCCACCAGTTGCCGTTGAATCTGTTGCCGATCAACCTAAAGCAGACTTGGGACGGCGGCGACATTGGCCGCACAAGGACCGACAGGGCTAGAGATAGGAGCTGGTACCTAGGCCATTTGATCGACAGCCTCACGCCGCCGAAGGTCGATAGGGCACTGGGTGCGAAAGAAGTCCTGGCCGAGCTTCAATTCTGTTTTCTTATGGTTCTCACGCTCGCGAATTACAGTTGTCTCGAGCAGTGGAAGAGGCTACTCAGCGTGTTGCTCACCTCTCAAAGCGCTCTGTTGGAGGTTGAGGCGTACTTTGTGGAAGTTGTCAAGATACTGAGCATACAGCTGAGACATGTCGATGATGTAGAGGGAGGCTTGTTCGAGTTGAGGGATGAGAATGCCAGTGCCTGGCTGAGAATGCTCTGGGGACGGTTTAGGGGGCTTGTAGATGAGGCTTATGCTGATGAGAAGGAGAAGGGGAAGGCTCTACGAAAGGAGGTGGATGCGCTGCAAAAGTTTCTCCAGGGCAGGTACAGCTGGCAGAACGAGAGGGATATCTTGAGGAGGGGAATGGTTCAGCTAGAGGATGGCGAGAGCGTCGAGTTGGCCATGCAGGGCGCCGACGAGGACGAAGAGACGGGAGAATATGCACCACTTGTGGTGGAGACATAGGCAAACCTTGCAGACTTCCCCAACATGCCGGAAAACCCCAGTTCGTCTTTCAGCAGTGACCCAGGACTCATGGAAAGCTGTCTTTTGTTTTTGGAACATTTAAATTGCATTCTTTTCCACTGTGAGAGTGACACCCATGACGCAGGTTGTCATCTCAAGCAACTGAGCGCCGATATATGATCTGCATGGACGAAAGTCTCGTCATTCGACCATACCATTTCGCTCCGAATCCGTGCCGTGCAAACATGTCGACCGTCCACTTCATCTGCTGCTTTACCGGTCCAGAGTTTGCCACAAGCGACACGGCAGCCAGCGAAACCTCCATCTTCCCCAACCCATAACCACACCTCCACCTCCCACTCGACTTGGTGGCATTTAACGGTAGGATTTTTGGTATCTGGCTCGGGCACCGGGACCGCCGAACTTCTTGGGCTCGGACCGTCTGTTGTCGGCGACAAGCAGCGTTCGGTCGTACTGCACGAGGGCCTGCTTCAGCTGGTTCTTGGTGTACTCGTCGACGTATTTCTGGTAGTAGGCAACGATGGACTTGGAGATGGCTTGTCGGATGGCGTAGATCTGCGAAGTGTGACCACCACCGGTGACTCGGACACGGATGTCGACGTCGGCGAATTTGTCGAGGCCAACAATCAGGATGGGCTCGTAGACCTAATGTGCGCACCAATTGTGTGAGGATTGAGTTCATCGCGGTGGTTGCTCGGGAACCCTTCGTACCTTGAAGCGCAGGATTTCAGGCTGAACCAGAGAGAGAGGTTTGCCATTGACCTTGATCAGACCTTTGCCCTTCTTGCAGTGGGCGACTGCGGTGGCTGTGAAAAGAAGAGTTAGCATTTCCTGTCCTTCCTGCAACCCGACAATTCCAGCTCATACCCGTCTTTTTCTTGCCGAAGCACTGCACACTCTGAGGAGCCGACATCTTGGATCGATGGCAATGTGACAGAGCAGTACAGTTGGTGAGGAAAGATTGTCGTGCAGTGGTCGAGCGTCCTTGAATTGCTTGCGCAGTTTGCCCCAATTCAGTTTGCGGATGTGCGACCCAGAAATTCGCCAAGACTTAAAATACTGGCCTCTTTTGGGACAACAGTGCCGCCGCCCTGTGCTACTAGTCACACCCAGCGATTATTGGCCGGCCTGCTCCTAGCTTACGGGGTCTAAGGCCATGGTGAATTTCCCAGGCTCCTCCTACGTGCCTCCAACCTCAGACCTGCTCTTCAGAGGTAGCTTCTTCGATTCCTCAACTTCAAGTTATACCGAAGTCTTCAACCACTCCAGCACCGTCTCGTGCTTTTGCAACCAGCGCTGGAGTGCCGACCACTCTGAGATGCCGAGACAATTGCATCTATTCGGCTGACGCTTGTGCGATGTGTGTGCCGATTAGGTCCGCTCTTGTACTGGACAGGCATCAATATTCACGGTGATGTCTTCGGTATTGCCCGTCTATGGCTTGTTTAGAGGTCCATCCATCTCACCAGATGGCTGCCTGATAAAGGCCGGGCACTGCAGCCACGTAGACACGAAACTTAGGTCTAGGCTACTATTATGAATTCTGGTGCCTGATTAGGTGATTGACTCGAGTATCAAGTATATCAATGCGGCTGCCGATGCACTGATTGAAGCTGCAGGCGGAAACAAGAATCCACAGTCTCAATACCTGCAGGACAAGGACGTATAAAATGGCCTCTCTGCACTCCATTCTACCTGTGGTCGAATCCGACGTCCCCCTTCTCGGCGAGTTACTCTTCCAGTCCAAACTCCAGTTGACCATAAACCGGCTCCTGTGGAATGATTGGCCAAATGAAGCTGCCCAACGGCCGCAATATGCAAGGGCCGTGAGAGGAGGTTTCAACGACGATTCTGTCGAGAACCTGAAAGTCGTCGACAACAAAACCGGAGAAATCATCGGATTTCTTGGCCTGAGTAGGAAGAGGCCGGCAAAAACCAAGCAAGCGCAGCCAGGACCTGGTGATCAGGGAAATGTACCAGCTCATTTCAATCCAGATGTCCTTGCGGCGGTCAATGTCGCTGTGAGCAAATGTACCGAGGGCCGGGATGCAATCGACCATTATGGTGTGTTGACAACCTGATACCGCCAAGTTTGCATGGAACGGGTCCAGGCTGACTATGATATGCTCAGAACTCACGTATGTTTTCGTCAAACCAACACACCGCAGACAGGGAATAGGATCGCAGCTGGTACAACTCTGTTTCCACAGAGCAAGAACAGATGGTATCCCTCTGATGCTCGCTGCTGAGCCAGCAGCAATGGACTTCTTCGTCAGTCTGGGATTTGAGGAGACAACACACCATGATATCGATTTAGCAAAATTCGCGCCAGCATATACCGGCTTTGGGCTGTTCAGGCTCACCGCCTTAACTTGGTCTCCCTAGGCTGCTAGGGGGTGGTCAGGAGCAAGCTTCTTTTGTGACATGCTTGTTGTTTGAAACGAGAGAGTATCGAAAGTTCTACGAAACAGTCATAACCCTGTTGGAAGGACTCAGCTGAAAGCCATGAGGTATGGCGTTGTCAGATACATCCAACATCAAATGGACACCGCTCGAGACAGGCCAGGAAGATGCTTGTTTACTTTCAGGCCATGAGCATCTAGATTCCATCTAAAGTGTATGTTACATATATTGCTGTGGTCTGGCAAGCCTCAATGTGGAAACTGCTTGATACTGCCATGTTGGATCTTTGAAGAGTAGAAATGTGAAAGTGAGAGAGGGTGATTACGGTCAATTAAGGAGTACTGAAAGCAGCGTGCTTGGGCTGCTACCTTGGGCTGCACGTGATGCCAAGATATAGACGCTACTAGTGGGAAAGCTTCTTGGCAGGCTGAGAACCTTTTCAACTTCAAGCTTCTCTTTTCATTTCCTCCTTCAACTTTGAATGTGCTTCTCACATCTGGCTGGCCGCTCCCGCTCTTTCTCAAAGCCAGGCCGGCCGACAGCAGAGTTTTGTTCATACTCCAGCTGCCCTATTGTGGCTTTGTCACCATGGAGAATGTCGCGGTAGGGATCATCGGCATGGGCGACATGGGCCGGCTGTATGCCAGGAGATTCAGCCAGGCCGGTTGGAGGTAGGCCAGAATGTTCCTGTCTCTTTGACCTAGAGCAGGAACTGCGACTGGGTCATCCAGGTATGTCTTATCCCTGCTTTCCCCGTCACGCGTTCTTTTCGAAGATGACTTGAGTGCATTTGGCTCGAGCATGGTCAACACAATACTGCTTCACCTTTTTGGTGCTGCATTGTATTGTGGTTTCCGTCACTGATGTAAAATACTCGCTACCTTAAATTACTTTGTCTGAAGATTTTCCGATCCCACCGACTCGTTTGAAAGACCACGTGCAGGAGCTTCGGCTGACCAAACTCTACAGATTTGTTTTCCTCTTTTCCATAGTGAGCTGATAGAACGGCATGCAGAGTCAATGCTTGCGACCGACCAGACAAGTTCCAAACCCTCCAGAAGGAGTACGAGAATGAGGTTTGTGTCGTCGGTAAAACTTGATGAGCATGATTGACCAAGATCAGAAAGGAATAAATATATTGTCCAATGGTCACCTCGTCTCCAGAGCTAGCGACTGGATCATATACAGCGTGGAAGCCGAGCTCATTGCCAAAATTGTTGCCGAGTATGGCCCGTCTACCAAAGTGGGCGCCATCGTAGGTGGACAGACTTCTTGTAAAGCCCCCGAGCTGGCGGCGTTTGAGAAATACCTGCCCAGTGATGTTGAGATCGTCTCTTGCCACTCTCTTCATGGTCCTGCCGTAGACCCGACAGGCCAACCTCTCGTTGTCATCCAACATCGTGCATCACAGCAGAGCGTGGACCTCTGTGTTCGGATTCTGTCCTGTCTCAATTCCAAGTTTGTCTTCCTCTCTGGGGAGAAGCACGACCGCATCACGGCCGATACACAGGCCGTCACCCACGCGGCATTCCTCAGCATGGGTACTGCCTGGGCGGCCAATGAACAGTTCCCTTGGGAAATCGACCGCTATGTCGGCGGCATCGAGAATGTCAAGATCAACATCACGCTGCGGATCTACGCTAACAAATGGCACGTCTATGCCGGTCTCGCAATCCTGAATCCGGCAGCAAGGGAGCAGATCCGACAATATGCCCAGTCGGTGACGGAGCTATACAAGCTGATGTTGGGCGGCCATCGTGAGGAGCTTACCCAGAGGATCAAGACCGCGGGCGCAGCCGTCTTCTCGAGCGAGACTGTGGACCACAACCTGTTGCTCGGAGATGAGATACTGGACAAGTTTTCGCTCTCGAAGCGTCCCAATGAACGAACACCAAACAATCATCTGAGCCTATTGGGGATTGTGGATTGTTGGTGGAAGCTCGGGATTGTGCCGTACGACCATATGATTTGCTCCACACCTGTATGTCTGCCTCGGCTCCCAGGAGTTTTCTATTGCTGACTGGTACCAGCTTTTCCGGATATGGCTGGGGGTGACTGAGTATCTCTTTCGAAACGATACCTTGCTGGACGAAGTCATCAATACGGCAATTGAAAATGACACTTTTCGCTCGGATGACTTGGAATTCACCTTTGCAGCCAGAGTAGGTCTCTCCCCGCCAACTTTGCAAAGAAGCAGCACTTGAAGGTGGATTGTGTACCTATTCTTACTTTCTTGTAACAGGCCTGGTCGGAATGTGTCTCCTTTGGCGATTTCGAGGCGTATCGGCACCGGTTTGAGAACATCCAGCAGTACTTCGCCCCAAGATTTCCGGATGCAGTGCGGCTGGGCAACGAGATGATTAAAGAAATCCTGATGAAAACGAAGGGATGATCTTGATCTGTTACCTTGTGCCAGATATTACTACATCAACCAGCACTTGGTTGAAGATAGTCGGCCAGACATGACCACTATCAGAAGCTTGTGTGGCCATTCATCCACTGCCGTCCGAGACATACCACCAACCGTGGTCTCTGAGAGTTGACAGCACCAGCGGGTCCAGCCCTTGAAGCAGAAGTTCAAGAAACACGACGTACCACTCGCGCGGACAAGGCATCATGGCCCTTGCTGCCAAAAATAAAGCGCGAAATGGCAACGCAAGCGCATAGGATGCCTTCGGTTTCCGGTCACTGTGCGAGTTCGCGTCATGCTGAGGTATTCGGCATACTTATCTTGAAGCTAGCTCATGCTTCGATGGTGCTGGGGAACACGGTGGTTATGGGATAGCCGTTGGATCCATGCGGGCCTGCCATATTGCAAGGAAACTGGCCGCGGGAGATGAGAAAAGTGGACGCCAGGATGATGATGACTGGCAATCGAGTCAGAAGCATGGCTCCTCCTACCTATGTACTCCGTACAGAGACAGAATATGAAGACGTTATTACGCGGAGCTGCGCCACCCCTCTCTTGTGCTGTACCCATGTGCTATACAAGAGATCCGCCTAGGCGGAGAAAAGATGATAAGGCGCACCGCCGAGCTGGATACTGGCCACTGCAGTCTGCAGTCGCCTCCAGCGGATCTTTTGGCCATGCCATGTGCCCTCCTTCTCCAACAGGTCGACACTCGACAGCACCTCGACGGGGGAAGCGGTCGGCCGCAGGAACAGACCCGCCAATGGGGCCGCGCCTGAAGCTGATGACAAGGGGGTCGAGCTAAGCTCACACCGCGCCGGGCGCTAGACCCCATGCAGCAGGCTAAAACCCGTCTAGCCCCCAAAAGGCCTAGCTCCGGATTCTTGTGTCTTCGACATTCCCAACATAGATTTCCCCCCCAGAGTGATGCTATTTCTGACTTTGCGCCAGCCTCGCCAACCGGGGTCTCGCCGCGCAGACTGGCGGTCTCTACCGTGCAATGTGTTTCCAGCTTGTGCCATCCCGGACTACGGAGTACATATGCCGGACGGTGATGAGGGACTCGAGAACAAGCAACAGGCCCGTGCGCTAGGCGATACAGACTCTGAGCGTCGAGGAGACGACTTGGTGACTTGGTGTGTCAGAACAAGGGGTAACTGTTTCAAGGCTAGTAGTCACGGCTCCTGAAGCGCGTTTTCAAGCCACAAAGTCTTAAGCACGGCACAACCCACTTGCCAATCTGCCCTTGCGCCTCCTACAGGTTTGGGATAATACTTAACGATAACGCGGCCTCCTTGAATTTTTTCTTCGCGCGTTTTTCTCCCCAAGATACTCCTCTACAACTGCTGCTCAAGAGTGCAGGAAACCGAGTCGAGGCAACCCCGCGACCCAGGAGTCTCCCACCGTCGCTCTTCCAGACCTCGATCTTTTTGCCTCGAGCTGCGATGGTTTCTCGCAGAGTCTTGGCTGTGGCCACTTTAGGTACGTGCTTGACGCGTGTTTCATTTCACCCTCACCCTGTGCTCCGTACAAAGACAAGGCAAGGTTACTAACACGCCCGCAGTGGCTGGTTCCACGGCACAATTCGCCCAATTTTCTTCTGGGGGCTATGGCTTGTCGGTCAACATCCCGTCAGATACGGCGGCGTCGTCAAGCGGGCCGATATACCTCCAGATCAGCGCCCCCAGTGGCACGCAATGGATTGGATTTGGCCAAGGCTCGAGGATGTCGGGCGCAAACATGCTGATCGTGTATGCCGCCGACAGCAGCAACGTGACCGTCTCGCCGCGACTGGGCACCGGCCACGTCGAACCCAAGGTCAACTCAGATGCACAGGTCTCTGTGCTCGAGGGCACCGGCATCGCCTCCGACGGCAGCTTGGTAGCCAACATCCGCTGCGACACCTGTCTGTCCTGGAATGGAGGCAGCATGAGCGTCTCCGACACTTCCAGCAGTTGGATCTATGCGTACAAGAAGGGCGACGCGCTCGACTCCACCAGCACCGATGCCTCCATCTCCCAGCACGACGTCAACACCGGCTTCAATTTGGATCTAACTTCCGGCACTGGTGGCAGCTCTTCGAATCCTTTTGTGGCCGCATCGTCTGACGATTCGTCCTCATCCGCCGCCCCCAGTGGTTCGGCGGCCACTACGCAACCCGCCGCCAGCAGCGGCCAGACTCAGGCCACGGCCACCGCGTCCAACACGGCGACTGAAACCGGCACCAACACCGGCACCAGCACCGGCACTGGCACTTCCGCTTCCTCTTCCACCGCCACTGCGACGGTCGGTGTTTCCAACCCTCTGGCCAGCTCGAACCCCTCGACCTCCGGGTCCAGCCACAGCGTCAGCAGCCCGAACGACAACATCCGCACAGCCCATGGCGTGATCATGGGGCTGGTCTTTGTGGTTTTGTTTCCCATGGCGGCCTTGACCATCTACGTGCCGTACCGCGAGAAGGTCCGACACGTGCATGCGCCTCTCCAAGCCATCAGTCTGGTGTTGATGATTGTTGGCCTGGGCCTGGGCGTGCAGCTCGGAAAAGACCTGGACGAACTTGACGCCTACCACCAAGTCATCGGCTACATTGTCGTGGCGTGGATGGTGCTGTTTCAACCTGCCCTGGGCTTGTTTCAGCATCTGCACTTCCGAAGAACCGGCGCTCGCAGTCCCATGGGCCACGCACATCGCTGGGTAGGCCGGGCCTTCATCGCCTTGGGGGTCGTCAACGGCGGCCTGGGCTTGAAGCAAGCAGGGCCCATTGGAAACGAGGACGCTCCCACCTGGTCCGTCGTTCTCTACAGCGTCATCTCGGCCGTCTGCTTCATCTTTTACCTCGTCATCGTCTCCTATTCGTCGTGGACCGCCAAGAAATCCATCCCCAACGGCCTCCCTGGCGAAAAGCCGCGGCCGCGCACCGAGACTTATGAATTACACGGTCGTTGAGGCAGTAAGCCTTGAACAGGTGTATTTGGATGAAACCTTGAACATGTGTATTTGGAATGCCTCTCGCACGTGTATTTGGATGAGACTTTCAAACATATGTGTGTGCATTTGGAATGTCTTTCAACCACGTGTATTTGGAATGCTTTTCCTGTCCTTTCTTCTTTTTCTTTTTCTTTCCTCTGGCTTTTCCACGACATGATTGAATGAAACTGTACTGTGATTGAATTGATTGAAAATGGATGCGTTTGGCCACAGGGACGGCCGGGGACGAGGACGGGGACGGGGACGAGGACATGGACAGGGATATATATGAGTCTAGATAACCGTCCAAGAAGCAACGCACCAACGTGTAAAGATAGAGAAATGCGGCAATGTCTTTATGTCTTTTGCTGGGTAGTTACATCTGATGCTTATATATATACATCGATGCAATACTACGGACACCTACAAACCAATCAACGTGGTAGATATACCTAGATGGCAACACTTACAGACACCTACGAACCGATCAACGTAGAAGTGTCACGGTTCACCTAAACTGTTACACTGCGACAGCCGCAAAAAGGACGAAGTAACTAATTCACGAGTGAATTAGCCACATGGTGTATATAACCGTCACAAGAAGCGCAGAAAGGTAGAAATGTAGAAACGTACGGAGTACGGAGTAGATACCTACCTACCTAACTACCGGCCAACTGACCAACGAATTAATATAGATACCAACCAACCAACCAACAGATCAACATAGATACCTACTACCTACCAACCAACCAAGAATCAACCAACTCAGAACAGATACCTAGTTACCTAATTCCTCCCTGGTTCATCTGGCTCTCCTCCATTCCTATATGCCCACAGCCGACTCAGGTGCTTCACGCGGAGCCTACCTCCCGCGAGCCGCGCAGTTTTCTCTCGACCCGGACCCCAAGTTTGGGGTTGACCTTGGCCTTGACCACCACCACCTCCTCCTCCTCCTCCGCGACCACCTCCACGACCGCCGCCGTAGCCACCTCCATAACCATCAGTTTGGGCGTGACCACCAGCAACACCATTACCATCACCACCATCACCACCAATACCACCCCCTTGACCACCACCACCTCCGCCACTACCACCCCACCCCGGCGTCTTCACCTGCACAGTGTCCCAGTCCTCCAAAATGTCCAAGTCGACATCGGCATCCATAAAGGCGTTCCCATCCCTCACTCGGCCTTTACTCAGATCGCGGGTGTCGATGCCCTCCATCTCGAACATGTTGTCCAGATAATGCTGGTTGAACTGGTGGCCGGAGCCGACGCGCTTGAAGAGCCGGCCGACGAACTTGTTGTCGTCTTCGCCACTGCCTAGACCTTTGCCGATTCGCTCGATGGGCGTCTTGGGCGAGAGGACACTGCTGTGGTGAAGGTGAGGGTGGCGTTGATGATGGGTGGTTTGTCGGTCGAGGTCGGACTGTGCTGCGGTGGTGGTGGCAAGCTTTAGTTGTCGAGCTGACGCTGCCGCTGCCGTTGGTGTTGCTGTTGGCGCTGCCGTTGGTGTTGATGCTGCCGCTGCTCTTGGTGTTGGTGTTGCTGTATCGTCGCGGCCGGACGCGGGCGCAGGCTTGGACGACCAATCCAACACGTCGCCGATTGAGCGCGGGGGTGTCTTACTGCTCCATCCTTTGTCTGCCGGAGCCAGTGCTGCTGGACTGCGAGATTGTCTCCCTGGCAGAAACATATCACTCCATCCTTTCGCCCGAAAGGTCTGCAGTTGCAGTTGCTGACGCTGGTCCTGTTGTTCAAAGGCAGGTCGGAAATGTAGGATGCCGAATCGAGACACGTAGTCGCCCGTGTTGGCGTAGTGCTCGATATGTTTGACCACGCGGCCGCTCTGGGCCGGGTCGCCGTCGAGGGTGGCCCCGAGGCCGGCGCTGGCCGGGGCACTGGTGGCGCTGACGGCGGTGGCACTGGCGGTGTTGCCGTCCGTCTCGTCCGTCACCGTGATCACCGGCGCGTTCCAGTGGTTGGCGGCATTGCCGAAAGTATAGACCTCGAGTTTGCGGATCTGTTCGGCCGCCACTGTGGCATACAGCCAGTCGAGGACCATGCCGCCTTCGATGGCGCCCTGGCTGTGCACGATCAGCACTACCTTGTGGATGGATGGGTCGGACACGATGGCCAGGAGCTGCTCGTATTCCTGTCGGATGTCGAGTGTGGGATAGCCCAGCGTGCGCTGGATGATGCATTCGAGCACGTCGAAGATGATGCCGCGGCTGGAGATGAGGTCGTTTCGTTAGCAGGGTTGGCGAATACGCCTATCTGTCTATCTTTGACGGGATGGAGCCGTGCAAAGGGAAAGAATCGAGACGGGACAGAGCGATGCAAAACATAGAGTAAGTAGTGCAGTGCAGTGCAGTGCAAATGGAACAATAGGCAAAAACATACAAATGTGTCAAATAAAAGATACAGTGTAAAATGAACCACGACACCACTTACGTCTGATTATGGATGCCAATCACCGGGCGTCTGAATGTCATGGCGAGACGGTCGAGGTTGGCCTGGAGCCAATGATCGCTAAAGAAAGAGTGAGAAGTTAGAAAAGCCTTTCAGACATGAAGATGAGTGCGAAAATATCTTGAAGAGCATTATCAGTGATTGGATGAGCATGACTGCCAACATGCTATTGCTATTGCTGTTGGTGAACTGTCCAGCCAGTAGTCACAGTCATGGGCTGAGCAAAGCAATGAATCGGCCTGAGATGAATACTCCCGGAGATGAATGCAGATGTGGATGTGGATGTGGACTGAGGTAAATGGATATAGTATGTAGTCTGTGAATTGACTATCGCTTGAGACGAACAGTTGTAGACTAAGGAAAGCAAGATGGCGATATGGTCTGAGATGGAAGGATGTATAGACATGCTAAGCAATTAAGATGGCCTGGTCTGGGAAAATGAGAATGAAGATGAAAATGAACATGAGAAGAAACAAGAACGATACCCTCGCCCAAGTGACTCACCCAACCGCAACTCCATTGATAAACACCCATTGCTCATGTTCAAATCTGCGTCTCCCCTGGACGCAGCGTGGGTTGGACTGAAAGCCAGAGCGACGGCGGCCATTGAGCAGGACGGTGAACCACTGGTTCGCCAGCACAAAGGCGACAATGTACAGAAAGTACAGGGCCGGGACCAGAAAATAGGCCAGGGGAAACAGGGAGACCAGAAACAGGATCTGTGCCACCACCAGCACCAGATGCAGAAAGCTGGCCTTTGCGTTGGGCCAGGTCAGGGCCAACTCGTCCAGGCCTTTGGATCGGGTAGGGCCGATGGGGAAGATGATGCTGGGCAGACCGGCCGAGGGGGGCAAGGTGAAGGTGATTTGGATGAAGAGCCAGAGGTCGTTGAGGACGAGGAGGAGAGGGTTTGCCGTGTAGGGAAGGGGTTTGGAGGAGGGGGCAATCATGATGGTGGTGGTGGTAGTGGTGGTAATCGTAAATAGTGCGAGTGGTTGATTGTGGTCGTTGTTGTGGGCACGAACAGCGGTTGCACGAGGCGAGGAAGTCGAGATCCTTCTTGAATGCAAGCACGTCCGAAGAAAGAGTCGACGTCCTAGCTACAGTGACAGCAGCAGACCGAAGAGGACGGATTCCTGACAGACAGGAAACCAAAAAGGTTGAGGAGAGGAGCGCTCATCAACGACGGCACGGTCAGCTGCTTTAATGCTCTCGCTCCTAGGAGACTCTCCTCTCTTTCTGCTGGGCAAGCAAGGCTGCCAGGGTCCCCTGACACCCCGCAATGGCAATGATATGCGGATGTGTAAGTAGAAGCAGGTTCTGGTCTGGTCTCGTCCGCTGCACACCGAACGAAAAGGGGTCGAGCTGTTCCAACAAAAGAAAAGGCTAAGGCGTCCGATCGGCTGATTGACGCCTACGGACACGGAGGACCGTGTACCAGGAGAGTGGGATTTTCACATGTCGATGAGAACCGGCCTCGAGCTTGAGGGGTCTCGGTCCTTCAGCCAGTCAGCCAGCAGACCGGGGGACCAGCTGAGAATGAAATACATAGAAATGCCTGCCTAGTTCTTCAGCTTCAGCTGTGAAATCCGTGGTGGCGTCGAGTGTGACAGGAGCTGGGGCTGGAGCTGGGGCTGGAACTGGCCGGGGAGAGAGGAGGGGTAAGAAAGGCAAGGAGGGCAAGGAGGGCACGGTAAGGCTGGGCGGCCGCAGATTGACAGTGCTCACCAATCGAATCATCCATCCTGCCTAGGTAGCTCATATACCATACGAGGGGCACCAGGGGGCACCATTTAGGCCTGAGCAAGGTTCAACACTGTCGTGACCGGTGTAGCGCAGGTGCAGGTGCAGGTGCTGATGCTGATGCTGACTGCCGTGATACGAGATTCACCGAAGATGGCAAGGCAGAGAGAGGGGGAGAGAGACACACAAACAAAGAGACATGCTTGACCGCCACACGGCATGGCCACTCACTGTGCAAGAGGCGGTGAGACCAAGTGAGGCAACCAGCCAGGTTTAGTCCATACGCTACTAAGCGTGTAGACGGTTCTTGTAGGTGCCTGAGGCAGGCAGGCATCCAGGCCGCTAGCCTGGATCAAGATCAAGATCAAATCGACAGCGGCGGGACGGAGTAGACATAAGGATAGAGAAGATGAAGATGTAGATGTATGGGTAAGATACTATAGATTGCCGCAGATAGATAGGTACATACCTACTAATACTCCCGCTTATGTACAAGGTGCCTACCTAGGTAAGGCCTCTAGTAAGTGATAAGCACCCACGGAGATATCGGAACTATCTATCCAACAGCTTAGCTCGCCTATAAGTTCATGCCCAGACTGCCTAGACGAGACATTATTTAGGGACTACTCTAGGCGTTATAGCCTCCGGCCGAATCTACTTCTTACCCACAGTACCACAGCTACTAGTTACAAGGTAGCTGCTGCTTAGTACTTAGTAGACTACAGTACCTTCTCTAAAGCAGCGAGCCGATACCGATGCTGATACCGAGGATGTGAGATATGAGGAACTAACAACTAGCAACTAGCAACCATGATCTAGGGACTAGCAACTAGCAACTACTAAATCAATCACTACATGGATGTCTTCCTCGACATCAAGCTACTTAGTGAAATATAAGATATAAATTGCGACACATACAGATAGATATCCCGGCACCGATCAGCGAACGACCAACATGCCCAAGAACTCCGGCTCCAAACAGGAACAGGATCTACTCATGTTCGAGTCGATCCCGTGGTGCAAGAAAATCCTGGACGACGCCGAGTTTGTGGTAGAGCCGAGTGCCTCCCGAACCCCCAAGGCCCACAGTACAGAAGATGCTCTCCTCTCGCGCACGCTCAAGACGAACGACACCATTGAGGGCTGGGTGTCGCTGTATCGTCGGGGGACGAGCACGAACGCATCAAGCAAGCACCCTTTGAACCAGCAGACCTTGAACCCAGCTTCAGCTTCAGAATCAGCAGGACCAAACTCAACATCAGCCTCGGCAGGGCCAAACTCAACATCAGCTTCAACAGGGCCAAACTCATCAGCTTCAGCAAGGCCAAACACGACATCGGCCTCAGCCCAACCCACACTCATAGGCCTGAAATCCGAAGTCCGCACGCTCCTCAGCCTCCGGCCCGGTCTGGACGGGTACCCCGGCATCTGCCACGGCGGGATCGTAGCCACCCTTCTTGACGAGGTCATGAGCGTGCTGGTGAGCGAGTGCCGGCGGTCGCAGGGCCCAGAAGGCCTTAGCCCAGGTTTGGGGTTTAAGCAGGGCCCTGGCACAAACACAGACACAGACAACGTCACCGCCGACCTACACATCACCTATCTGAAGCCGGTGCCCACGCCGGCGGTGGTTTTGTGCTGGGCCAAAATCAGAGCCATCCAGGGTCGGAAGTATTTCGTCGACGGGGCCATTGTGAATGAGAATACTGTCATGCTGGCCCGAGCGGAGGGGTTGTTTATTGGTGTGAAGAAGGAGAAGTTGTGAAGACTAAAAGCAAACAAGATCACTATTAGTAGCTTAACCTTGACCTTATTCTCCCTTCTCCCTTCTGTCCACTGCCATCTCCCCACTGCCTTCCTCGTCCTAGGGCAAGGAGGCTGAAGAGAGCATAGAGCCTAGAGGGAGCTTGACATTGACATTGACATGAAACTAAGGTACTGCATACTGCGTACTGCGTACTGCATGTCTGTACTGCATAGTGTATATGCTTCTGTGCCGTGCCGTGCTTTAGCCTTTACGGCTGAGATTCGCACCCTGGTCCGCTCGCTCAGGGGTTCGCTCTCTGCTGCTGTTGGCTGGCTGGCTGGTTGTGGGTGGCTGTCCTGTTACTGAATTACTGTATGTTGTGGGCTTGCTACCTTAGGTATAGGTAGATATATGATGCATGAGCTGGGCTGACCTGACCTGACCTGCATGTAAACAGAAGGTCAATAAAAGACAAGACAAAGAAAGAACCTTCTATAATCCAGACCTATACCTAGACCTATAACTAGACCTTGACATTGATCTTGACCCGTCTATCTCCCTTATACGTGAAACTCTGGCCAGTCAGTACACGACATACATACGAACCCCGACCCCCGATCCCTGACTGTCGTTTATACAGACAGTAGTTCAAGTCTAGAGTCTAGGTATAGGTTCTCCGCATAGAGTATACTGTAGGAACGTAAGCCTGACTTTACCTATCTATCTTTCGTACGTAGCTTTTTTAACTTGAAACTCAGCTTGAACTCTAACTTAAACTACGTCGAGTAGGTCAAGGTCAGTGTCAAGGTTAGGGTCAAGGTCAGGGTCAGGGCTAAGTAATACAATACAAGGCTGACTGTGCTACGATACGTTGTGACTGTGCTGCAAGAGAACACCATGTGTACCTCACGTACCTACCTATGCGTCCATATCCATGTATTCACGCATTCAACCAAACTCTATTCACGTACTTGAGGCTGAGGCTGAAGCTGAAGCTGGGGCTGAACAATCTCATCTTCCTGTTGCCGTTCCCGTCGCTGCAGGGACCCTGCAACAGCAATATAAATAGTAACAGTACCAGCACCAACACCAGCAACAGCACCAGCGCCAGAAACAGCATCAGCAATAGCAATAGCAACAGCAACAGCAACAGCAACAGTAGCAGTAACAGCACCAGCACTAGACCAGCATCATGCTCATCCACATGCACATCCACATGCACATGCAGATGTCAGCCAGCCACCCATCCATCCTTTCAGCCAGCCACTCTCAAGTCTCAAGTTCTACACTATTTCCATTTCCATACTAATTTCCAATCTAGAGCCGAAACAGCATCCGTATGAGGTATGAGGTATTACAAGAAATCCCAAGATATCAATGACATGTGCATGTGCCGCACGCTTTCAAGCTCCTACCTGCCTCTCCAGTCTATGTATGTACGGAGTACTGTTTTGCTTTACACCGACACTCACCCCGACACTCACGCCCACGCTTCATGCTTTACGACAATGCTTTACGCTCAAGCTTACGCCTTAGGCACGCTTAACCCTACGCTCAGTGCCAGGCTTAGAGGTCTAAGGCCTTAGCCTAGGGCAATCCTTATGCTCAGACTTATTCTTAGACCTATGCTTAGACCTATCCTTCTAGAGATACATTCCATATGGTTTAGAAGCGATAACAACATGTCACGGAAAGAACGAAAACAACCTAAAGGTCATGGATCGTTTATTCCTCGTTTCAGTTGCGGCTTAGGGGCCTAGGGCAATACTCACGCTTATGCTTATGCTTAGGCCTATCCTTCCAGAGGAACATTCCATGTAGTATAGAAGTGATAATGACATGTCAATATCACGGAAAGAAAGAAAACAACAGCCTAAAGGTAATGGATGAAAGAAAGAAAACGATAGCCCAAAGATCATGGATGAAAGAAAGAAACAGCCTCAAGGTCATGGATAGTTCATTCCTCATTCCTCGTCTCAGTTGTCATTTCGGCAGAGAGAATAGACAAGACATAAAAAACAAAAAACAATAGAAGCAAATACTAGATATCAAAGAAACTAAATCGAAGTCGACGAAGAGTAAAGAGACTGTGTCCCGTGTACCATCACAATCTCCATCACCATTATCACCATCATCTCCATCCTTATAGGTAAAAGACAGAAATCACCACCATCAACATCACATCCCCAAGATACAAGATACAAGATAAAACATATAAGATAGAAGAAAGAAGATAGAAGAAAGCCTTAGGACGCTGCCTCAATCAGTCACCACCATTGACAGCACCATTCGCAGCACCCTTGGCACCACCACCACCACCACCACCACCACTCTTACCAGTACCATTGAGAGCACCATCGACAGCCGGAGCCAGTTTGGTACTCCCCTTGGCACTCTTCGCAGTAGTAGTAGTAGTAGTAGCGCCATGGACACCGACACCGACACCGACACCGACACCGACACCGACACCATTCTCGACGCCATTCTCGACACCACTCTTGACATCGCCCTTGACATCGCCCTTGACACCATTAGTAGCACCATTCGTAGTAGGAACACCTTTCACACTCTCCTTGAAGATACGTTCCGCGTGGGCCAGAACCGTGGGATACACATCCTTGACCGCCTCGGCGCCCATCCAGCAGTCCAAATGTCCATAGCCGGGAAACAATTCACGCTGATAGCGGGCCGGGCCGAAAATGGTGGTCAAGGTGGTATACGACTTGTCGGTGTTTTCGGGCGTGTACACGACGTTGTCGTTGCCGGAGATGAACAGAATCGGCACGTCCTTGAGCCGTTGCAGATTCTCCGGCCGCACCAGCGACTCGAGCATGTTGTTGGTCACCTCGCCGTGCGTGCCTTGGTACATGAGCTGGCTGAGCGAGTTCATGCTGGTGCCGCCGAGGAATTTGGACAGATTGGCGTGCGTGGCTGCGTTGAGTCGTTTGTGTGACCAGAGCCTGTGGGAAAGTAAGATTGATGGCCAGTCAGTCTTTGTGTCATGGTATCTGGGTCATGCCATGATAAGGCAAAAGGCAAAGAAAGGCAAAGAAAGGCCAACGGGCAAACAGGCAAACAGGCAAGCAGGCAAGCAGGCAAGCAGGCAAGCAGGCAAGCAGGCAAACAAGGCTCTATACAGAGGAGAAAAAACGTACCTCCCAAAAACAAGCTCGGATCGATGGCAGACCACACTATTGCACAGTTCGGCCGGAGCCCCCGCCGGATACAGTCGCACCACCTGGTTCAACAACCGCTGCACCAACGAGTCATTCTCGGTCGAGATGCACGAGAACCAATTCCCTGCCAGCAGCTTGTAAATGCTGGTCAGAGAGACGGGCAGCGAGGCCTTGATCTTGTTGACCACGCCAAACATGGGGTTGAAAAACACCTGCGACGCCGTCAACCCGCTGATCCATTTCGAGTCGATGGTGCCATCCAGCAGGCCGGCCGACAGCGCCACCGAGCCCGCACAGTGGGCAATCACATAGATGGGCTTGGGCTTGGTCGAACCCTGGAGCCGATGGATTTCCTCAAACGCCGCTTCAATGTCCAGCCGGGCATCGTACGTCGTGAATCCCCGCTGCGCGTTGGGCGTCTTCCCCGTGCGGTGGGTGATGCAGAAAACTTCGTATCCCGCGGCCTGGAAGTATTCCACCGCGTTGGTGTCGATGGTCGGCAGCGCAAAGATCTGGTGGTCGACCGACGCTCCGGGAATAAACAACACCTGGCGCCCCGTGGACGACGCGGTGGTCGGGGCCCATCGCTGGAGAGTGGACACGATCTTGTCGGTCGAGGTGACCTTGATCGTCTCAACCGGCGGCCTCTTGTTCACTTCGTAGCCTTGGTAGGTCGTGGTCGGATACTGAATCCAGCCCAACGGTCCGAGGAAGTTGGACAGCACTTGCTTGGTGAAGAAGGTCAAGAACTTGCCGGTTGACGCCACCTTCGACAGCCGGGTCGACCCATGCGGCGTGAAGGTGGTCAGCTCGGACACAAAGTCTCGCGGCTCAATGTGCAGAGTCCCCTTGCCCACGGTGCGGTCGCCTTTGCTGAGGGTGACGTACAGCGTCGAGGTGGCCTTCCAGGTCGCCCAAGGCTTGAACGCAATCGACCGATCAACCACCTTGTAGCCGTAGAAGTGGATGATCTCGCCGCGGGTCGAGATCATGTCGAAATTGTACGTCAGGTTGGTCGTGTCCGGCGTGCGTTTGTCCTGGTTGAACAGGTTGAAGTCACCTCGCAACACCATGAACGGAGACCCGGGCAGCCCAGCACAGGTGAAGGTGCCGGTCAGCATTGCAGGGTGATCCGCCCGCCCGATCACTATGCAGGGATCCATCAGTATTAGCCCGGACAATCACTGCACACATCACATCGGGACAGCTTACACTCATCGGTATCCCAAGCGTGGCAGCTCAGGAAGAACCGGGCCGTACTTCCGGCCGCCTGGGCTGCATCGGTTGCCACGGCATAGTCGGAAGCCTCGTCGCCCGTGTTCACATGGTCGTCAATGTTGATGTACCCAGTCATGACTTCGGCGAACTCGATCCCTTCACACTCGGAGGATGTAGCCTCCTCGATGATCCGCTCAGCCTTACGAAGTTCCCTGCCCATTGGGACCGGATGAGCAGGTGGTCCGAACAGGTCGAGGGTTCCTGTCCAAGGAGGTCGGTCAGTGTTGCCCATCCAAATGTTCCAGTTTGCTCTCTTACCGTTCTGCGTGGCGAGATCGATCTTCAGACCTTTACGCTTGGCCGCCGCTTCGACCGCCCTTTCAGCAAGAGCGGTGATGGTTGCGAAAGGGTTGACCCCCAGTGCAGTGGGCAGAGCGGCACCGTCCACCACGACAATGCCATCGTGGACCTCTTCCCCTGGACCTTGGAAAAGTTGGCCGAACTGGTTGACTGCTCCATTCACGCCAGTGTCGTCGCTGCTGATGGTAGCGCCGCCCATGATGTGGACCGTGATCTGCGAAAATTAGTCTCGTCCATCGCCGAGAATGTAGCCAGCCTTACCTCTTGAGCCCCCAAGACCGCAAAGAAAGGTGAGTTGATATAGGTGCCTCCGACGGCATTGGTGGCTTTGGCCAGAATACCGTTGAGATATTTGACGTGGTCACTTCTGCCCACCCCCAAGAAGGTCAGAGTCGGCTTGTCATTGGGCCCCATCCGCATCACTGCTTGATTGCTGTCATGAGACATGATCAGATACGTCTGCGTTCTCTCGAGGCTGCCCTTGGCGGCGTAAGGGTACAGTCTGCTCAGCTGTCGAGTGACAAAATGCCGGGCTTGGTCTTTGAGGCTGTAGTGCTGTGGTAAGATCTTGCCCGGGAGAGACTCCAGCATGGCTTGGAGCACGGGAACCAATGCTTCAGTAATGGCACCCTCTTCAATCACAAAGCCATCCAGTGGGTTGGGCTGGGTGCGGCAATCGATGACTCCGGTGATGGTGGGCCCGACCGGTCGATCGGGGTTGGGAGACACGCTGCCCATGCCGTTGACTTCGTAGTTGGTGTTGTATCTGCCCACAGATTAGTCTCGCGGCCAACAAAGCCTTGGGGGCCAGGTCAGGGGGCTGGGATTGGTACCCGAATGCCAATATATCACCATTGCCGCTCATGTCTTTGCCAACTCGACTGCTCATTTTCATCCCGAGAGCTTTACTACGAAGCAGGAGTTCGGTTGTCCCCAGAGCTCCGGCACCCAGGAAGACGAACTTTTTCGCATGCACCCACATGAGATCGTGGTATATGTTTCTCTTGAACAGGCCGCGTTTGCCTCCGTGCCAGGCGAAGTACACCAGGTATCCCTCCTGAGTGGGGTGCTTCTTGATGTAACGGGCTTCACATTGGCAGAAGCTGGTCGGTGTCAGCAGGTTTCAAGTTCAAGGCCTAAGCGGGCGGGATGGGATGAGTACATCTCGGCTCCCCAGTTCCATGCATCGCTCAAGTACGTCACGAGCGTGGTCGACTTGCTCCCGTCATTCACCCCGGTACTATCCATACCCGTGAGAGCGCTGGCTTGCATTTGCTTCATCAGAGAGTCAGCATCCATCTGTTCTGTCCTCCGTGGGAAACAGGGGCTTCATACAACACCGGCATGGTTGGGCCCGTTCTCGAACCTGGTCGTTTGCGGCACACGCTTGAAATTCTTCTCCCATCCTAGTAGTTCGGCCTGTTTCTTCAACAGCTCCAGCTTGGGCAAAGGCGGGAAGTCTTCCGGGTACTCCTCAGGCTGCAGCATCTGGGCGGCTCGCTTGTAATCTGGAGTCGTGTCAGTGACCACGCATAGATAAGGGTGCACCTAACACTACACTCATCGAGGGCTCCGGGCGTCTGGAGATCTTTGGGCCATTCGGGGAGGCTCATTGCTCCATCGTCAGCTTTCAAGAAGACGTTCGCATTGAGAAGGCTCGTGCCCCCAAGACCTGAACACGTTAATCTTCATCTTCCAGCCCACATTTCACACCACAGTTGGTACGGACCACTGGCGACAAATGCATTTTGTCCGGCACCCATCACTAGTTGGTATAGTTTGGTTGGATCTCCGACGTGCACCGGAACTCCAGGATTATCTCCAGGAGCGAACAAGCCAGTAACGCCAATCTCAGGTGCAGCTTCGGTGAGATTCGAGGGATACTCTCCCGCTGCCGATGTCAGAACAGTCCAAAGCCGAGCGAGCAGTGCAGTACTCACGCCATCTCTCTTTGCCTCGTTCAAGGACGCAGACTGCTTGGCCAGCACGTGCCATACGTGACGCTGAAACGCCCCCTCCATAGCCAGATCCTATGACGACGACGTCGTACGTGGGTCGTAGAAGCTCTACGGGACGTGATAGCCGGGGGAACTGACTGTTTCCGCCCAGGTAGTCGCTGGCCTCGAGCTTGGATTGAGATCGAGACAGCGCTCCTCCTGGCTCAGTGGTGCCGACAGGGTAAGGAGGCACCTGTTGAAAGGGCGACTGAGGAGTCGGCGGTGAGGCAGACGCGGCTGAGCCAGTGGATTGATCCGAGTTCTTCGCGCTGAGGCCGTTCCCGGCAACCTTCTGGGGGTCTGAAGCCATTATCCAAGGATAACACTGTAAAGTGAGGGCGGGATGAGGGTTGTAAAACAAGACGGTCAGAAAAGGGCGCCCACCGCGGACAGAGGGACACCTTATACGCAAGGAAATAAGTGATTGAGTCTGGTGGCTGAAAGCATCCAGCCCGCTGTCAAAGCACGAGGAATGCAGGCCCCCGGAAAACGAGGTGCAGGTGCATCTGGTCGAGCCAGTGCAGAACCTGGGGGCAGCGTCGACATTCTCGACATGTGAAAGTCAGACGAGATGCGACACCCTGGGTCACACAGAAACAAAACCCCTCCTTGCCCTTGGAACGGAAGTTAGGCCTGCCTCTCGAGCAATACGAGGACAGGGACTGGACGAAGCCGTGGTCTGGACTCCGTGGAGGGTGAGACGTATACGAACTGTGGAGGTGACAGGGCTCAGGAGGCCAGCCTCCCCCCTGACCCGGAGCGGAAAAAGGTGTGGCCGAAGCACGCCCCCAGCAGGCATCTGCCTGTCCATCTGCCTGTCCTCTTCCACTCTCCAATCATCGCATCCTCTTCGCCCGGGAGACTTTGTGGCTCATCAGCCTCAGCTGAGTCAAAGCTTGACCGTAAGCTTGCACCCTGTCGTACAGGTGCCGGGGCGGGGGTGTTTCTTTGTGAGTCTCACTCACATGTGAAAGTGAAGTGGTTTCGACCACCCCTCCTTACCCGACCTACGGACGACGTACAGAGTACGGAGTAGTGTTGCTTCATCCTCTTCACCGCCATCGCCGCCTCTGCTCATCTCTCGCAGGATCCCGGTTAGCAAGGTTTAGGCGGAGCTGAGAATATCGCAGCCGCCATGCCACCTAAAGTGATTTTCTTGATGGCCGACTACGGCCACGACCCTACTGGTAGATGGCGACCGAACTTGGCCCTGACCATGAATCTTTGCTGACGGTGAAACAGAAACCGCAATTCCGTGGCAGGTTTTCCAGAACGCTGGATTCGAGGTCTCTTTTGCCACCGAGAAGGGCGCCTCGCCGCAATGCGACGAGAAAATGCTCTCAGGCTGGACTGGCACTCTTCTGGGCGCCAACAAGGCCGGGAAGAAGGCCTACGGAGCACTCTCGACCACCTCGCCCAATTTTCAAAACCCCCTGGCATGGAATGACACCTCGTTCAGCCTAGCAGACTATGACCTCGTCTTCCTTCCTGGCGGGCATGAGAAAGGGGTGCGCCAGATCATTGATTCCCCACGGGTCCATGAGCTACTCGCAAGCTACTTCCCTGAAACCAAGAAGCCATCTCGAAAATCCGTGGCGGCCATATGTCATGGGGTGCAGGTGTTGGCCATGACCTCGACAGGTGAAGGCAAGAGTGTCCTGCACGATGTGAAGACCACCGCGTTGCCGGCGTTCATGGAGCAGGGCATCTTCCACGCCACCAAGCTGTTCCTGGGCGACTACTATAAGACATATGGAGCTGGCACGGCTTCGGTTGAGAATGTGATCAAAACAAAATTGGCTGACAAGGCTCAGTTTGCTAGCAGTCTCAAGCCCAGTCCGTACGTTGTCACCATCGAAGGACCAAAGACCCAACAAATCTGAGCAGAATCCCGTGCTGACTTGTGGTAGGTTCGTTGTCGACGACCCCAAGTACAACTACCTCTCGGCCAGATTCCCCCCAGACGCGGAGTTACTAGCACAGAAGGCCGTGGCCATGGTCAATGAAGTTACCAAGCCTGCCTGACATTATCCCTGGCCTCTGGTGGCATGTTCAAGAGCTTCAGCTTCAGCTCCTGGCCTTGTCGTACGAAATCTCGCTCGCTGTGCATCTCTTTTTTCTTTCTCAGTGTTGATGTTGACTTTACCGGCTTGGATCGTTTTCCACAGCTCCGTTGGGTGGAGTTTTCCTTCGCCGCCGAAGAGACTGAAATCTACATCATGTCTCGTGGAATGTCTCAGAGCAAACACAACACTCTGCCTTCCTTGAGAATTTCCTACAACTCTGTGTGCCCCGGCAGTCATGGTCCGAGCAGAAAGTGCCCTCAATGTCTGGCCCACCAAGACCGTTGCCGTGTGGGTTCCGACGGGCCCATCAACCCATGCAGGCTTCTGATCAGAGTTGAATCGATCCAATACTTGTAGCCCTGTGCCGTCACCAATGCAGAGCGTCAGCAAACCAAGATCTGTATGTTCTTCGGCATGGCCAGTGGAGGGAAAGTATCGGAACAGGCGCATGAGTGCATAAGTCAGTTGATCCTCGGAGTCAGGCATGTCGAGCGTGCCGTCTAGAATGTCATTCCAGACAGATACATCTAGGTCACTGGCCCTGGCGATGTCACACAGGATGCGCCATAGTAGGACGCCAGCGTGGTGCCAGGCATCGACTGTGCTGGCCTCGAGGCTCGCTGCCAGCTTTGCAGCTGGTTTGGCTTTTGCATTCGGATCGGTGTGGATGCGACACCGGAGGGTTATGTACTCTTTCTCTTCTGCAATAGGATAATATCCAAACTCAGTGCCTAGTTTGGACGGGTATAGTTCTTTTTTCTCTATGTCGGGGGCGTCGAAGTATTGCGAGGAGTGTCTCAGCAAGTCCGTCATACTCTGCGACAGAGCGTCCGGTAGTTCAAGGAATAGCCATCCCTGCCGAGCAAGGTGCAGGAGTTGATCTTCTCGCAGAAGCGGTGGTGGTCCAGGAGGTGGTGGCGGAGGAATGAATTCCTCTTCCTCGTCGTCCATCAGCGAATGCTCCGGGTGACTGCGGAGAGCTGCTCTTCAGAGACCCGCTGATCTTTTGTGCTGCAAGGTCTTTGATACGGCTAGGTTCGGTCCGCTGTGTTTCTGGGGTTGTCAGTAGCAGTAGTATGCGAATGAATGAATGAGATTCACGACGAAGTCTGTTCTCGCCTCAACCAGGCAACTTCGTGATCGGATGTCCCCACCTGTGAGGTATGGATGGTCGGTATAAGCTGACGCGGCAGGTCCGAGTACCAAAGTAGGCATCTACAAGCTCCCGAATAGGTCCAGGACGGACTCACCCAGACTATGAGTGAGGTGTAACATTTACACCGCCTGCAAGCAACTGCTTTGCACCAATGACCTGCTACTAGTAACACCATCAAAGGCTGAAGCTGTGGGAACTGCGCGTGTCGACGCGTCTGCGTCTCCGTCTCTAGCAAGAGACATGACATCATTGCTCATTGCTCATTACTCGCTCCTTTCTCCTCCATCTCGTCGGCGCAAGAGCATTTACATATTCGATGTTGACCGCAGAGGACATGTTCACCGCCCAGCAGTTCCCTTCCAATTCTCCCCGATACTGCTATACGGCCAAGAGTTGCATCGTGACTAAAATCTCCGTGACAAGTTACCTACCCATGATCTGTGTGGATACCGTACGACCTGCTGCACCGACTACATACATCATGACCCTGTTAGGTGATGGCGCATCGACCAATATCTCCTTTACCGGCCCCAATCATGCCCTGCAAGTTGTGAACGCCGGACAGTGGTGACGCTCAGACTTGGTTGGTCCTCGAGCGGAAAGTACAGGAGAAATTCTGTAAAAAGACGTCCTTGGACGCAGGGGGCCGTTGCGAATGAAGGGCTGACTGCACTCGGCAGTGAAGTTCACGTAACGTATACTCCGTATGTCTTTCCTGTATCGTTGCAGACCCCCTCTCGGCCTGACCATCCGTAGCTCTCCAAACAGAGCCCATTTCCCCTACCATTCTTCTCTATTACACCCATCACTCGCCTGTCTCCGCTACAGTACCCGAGCACCAGCGTCAATGATGGACAAGGTCAAGACGTCAATTGCGGAAAATCTGGGCGGCATTTCGCACAAATTGGCCGACAAGGCTGACCAGTTTGACATCAACCACGACGTGCCCGATCTGTCGGGTAAGGTAGCCTTAATCACCGGTGGTAGCGAAGGCATCGGGTATGCGGTGGCGTACACGTTGCTTAAAGCAAATGTAACCAAAATGTTCATTGTGTCGATGAAGGAAGATGTCAAAGATCATGCTGTCGAGGAAATACGCCAGAACCTTGGCTCCGAATATTCCAACAAGGTCGTGTGGTTGCAGTGCGACCTGTCCGACCTGCCCGGCGTGACCGAGGTAGCAAAGCAGGTCCGCAACCAGACTGACCGGCTGGATATCTTGTGCCTCAACGCCGCCCGGGGAATCATGACCTACCAGCTGACTGATTACGGGCTCGACCGACACATGGCCATCAACCATTTCGGGCATGTGACGCTGACATCACACCTACTGCCGCTGTTGAAGAAGACCAGCGATACGGACACAGTGCGGATCCACATGCAGTCGTCGCGATCGCACGAAGACGCGCCCAAGGATGTCAGGTTTGAATCGCTCGATGAGCTGAACACCGACCTGGGCCCCAACGGGCAGTACGGCCGGTCGAAGCTGGCTGTGCTGCTTTACGCTCGGTATCTGGACGCCCACCTGCACAAGGAGTATCCCAATATCCTGATCAACGCGACGCACCCGGGCATCGTCCAGACCAAACAATCCATGCAGGACATCAAAGAGCCGTATCCTACAGTTGGGCAAGCCATGCCACTGGCGGTCAAGTACATCATGAAGGACATCTGGATGGGCTGCGTGAGCACTGTGTACGCGGCGACTGCCACGACCAAATCCGGCCAGTATATCTGCCCGCCAGCGATCGTGGAGCCGGGGAGTGAGCTTTCGCAGAACGGTCAGCTGGGCGAGCAATTGATGAAGCTGACGCGGCAGATTGTCAAGGAGAAATTCGGTGCACAGAGCGTCGAGAAGGGATGTCCTCTGACGGATTATTAGTGCTTGACACTATGAGAGTGCTTGACACTATGAGACCTTGTGTGAGAATACAGAAAGTACAGGTCAAATGATATATTATTATGGAGGGAATGCATTTGAATCAGACTAACTCCCACTTGTATTCAAGACCAGCCTCGTCAAACATATCGCGTAGCGTGGGTTTATATTACAGAGCAATAGAAGACTACGGAGTGCTTTATGTCCGCAAATAGATCACTTGACCCACAGCCATGTCACATTCCCCTCCAGTCCATCTCACCTCGACCGAAGGTAGTACTTAGTACGTAGTATATATGTCGAATTTTGACCATTGACTCCTCCTATAGTGACCGACCTGCCTGCCACTCTTGCTCATGTGCCTCCACCGAGCATGACAGGTTGCAGACCGACACGGTCTCTGCTCTCGAGCCATGCAGTGCCAGACGCAACCATGGGTTAAGTGTTCCCCCTCTTCCCACAGGCCCTAAGCCACATCATCATACGTTGCGTTGCGGCTTATTCCCACTTCTTCCTCCCCAGATTCAGCCCGACACCGTGGTTGAAGACGAGGGAGCCGCCGATCTTGGCCGAGGCCAGCAGCAGCGGCAACAAGACAGCACTCAGCACCAGATTGGTCTCGGATGGGACTTTGGCGACCGTGCCGTTGTTCTTGCGGATGTACCAGCTATACAGATTGGCGGCGAAGACGACGTCGTTGACGAGGGCGTGGGTGATGGTGGCCTTGATGCGTGGGACCATGGTACTCTTCGCTTTTCCCTGGCTGTCCTTCTCCCACGGCCCGCCGTTCTTCTTGATCATCCCCACCAGCTGCACATTGCCGGACATGATGGCCGGGACAGTGGTGACCAGGCCTGCACACAGGAGGAAATACGAGAGCCGCGTCAGGTCGACTAGGGTCGAGGCCTCGCCGAAGCGCGTGGTCAGAAACTCGGGCTTGATCCAGAGCGTGGTCAACGCGTACACGATGTCCAGGCCCCAGGAGAGCGTGTTGAAGGCGATTGGGAAGTGGACGATCGCTGGGTGTAGAGGGTGGCTAGGTGCACAAGGAATGTCAGTATCAAGTTCACCGAAGCGGCTTCGCTGTGCTTGGGTTTGACGCCATTGAGAAGGACAACGACAGGGACACAACAGAGCGAGGCCATTGAGAAGGACAACGCCACAACAGAGGGAGGCCATTGAGAAGGACAACGACAAGGACACAATAGAGGCAGAGGCAGAGGCAGCTCGCAACACATTAGACATACTCGGAGTTGAACTCTGGTACAGGCTCGCCGACTTTGCCGGCGAACTTGCTCTGCAGCTGCGTCGCGTACGCCATTGTGTTGTAGTTACCGTAAGGTTGTGGTGGTCACAGCTAGGAAAGTTGGCCAAAATGAGAAGAATGGAAAACAAGCGCAACTGACGCTGGAGAGCGATGAAGAAGCTACGTAGAAGAGAAAGGTGAATGAGTGACGAGTCGACGAGCGAGTCTGCAGTCAGCTTGCAGTCGTATATTTAGAACTCGAAAAGGGAGAGAAAGGGACGCGCTCCACCAGCCAGACTGCAGTTCCAAGTGGCACCGACTAACTAATCGCGGAGTCCGCTTACTTGGACACTCCGGGGCCAGAGAAAATACTGGCCAATCAGAGAGGCGGAGCTGGTAAGCAATTTGTTGCACCACAGGCCCTGAACAGGCCCAAGGGAAGGGACACCTGGCAGCCCTGGTGGCCTGAGAAATATGAAGACTATCCGTATCATTCTTTAGGTACTTGGCTCACGGTACGGTAAGGCCAGTTGCTATCAACTTGATATATCCGTACTCCGTACTCCATACGCAGCCCGAGGCAGATCCTATCACGTGACCTCTAGCTTACATTGAGCTTCGGGACTCGCGAGGCTGCGGCTGCGGGTGCAAGGCTGAATGTCACGTTCCGGCACTAGCAAACCCCCTTAGACCCCCCAAGCTGAAGTTCACTCTCGCAGGCCCGACAACGGTAACAACTGTGACTGTAGAGCACTCAACTGGTAACCCATTGTCAAGAGCCACTGGTTGACGGTTCCTCCACACATCCCACATCTCTACAGCCTCAGCCTCGCCGCTCAGAGCATACAGCACATCCTTTCCGCCCCCTTCGCCCGACTGCGGCCCCCTCGATATATCCTTTCCTCTCGTACGCCGTGTCCGTGGCGACGAAATGAAGCCTCATATGCGCCGACGAAATGGACCTTCTTATGCGCCGCACGTAATGTGTGAGTATACTCCGTAGTCGGTCATGATACCCAGCGGCGACGCGGGACACGGACACCCTTGCGCCCACTGGTCCTCCGATGATGGTGCTTTGACTATAACAAGTACCTCTATTTCGAACTCGAATTCGAAATTTGGGGTTCTATAGTATAGTAGTATAGTACAGTATCATGACATGGACATGGACATGAAGATGCACCTGACTATGCTGACCCACATTGCCATCATGATCAGCGTCACCATCCTCATCAACATCGCTATCATGATAGCATCACCATCCTCATGAACTCCGACCAAATAGGCTAGGTAATTAGGATAGGATGGGATGGAATGATCAATTAAATTAGATTAGATAGATATTTTCCTATATTCAAGTCTAGATAGACCCGAACCCAGACCCAAATCCAGACCCGGACCCAGACAGAGACAGATGAGACGGAATATGCTTCTGGATCTGGATCTAGATCTGGAAAAACACTTCTTCTTCTTCTTTTTCTTTTCCTTTTTCCTCAAGTCGAGACCATAGTCAACCTCCGACCAGTCTTCTCCGACCCATTCGCATCCGGGTCGACGTCCAGGTTCGCGGGTGTGGACTTGGTCAACTTCCTGCGCGAAAACACACTTCTCTCCCAGCCGTCGAAATCGCTGATTTGCGTGGTGCGCACTAGTTCGTACTTGCCGATGCGCGGCAGCAGCACGGCCCAGACGAGCCAGTAGACTCCGCCGGCGGCGATGATGCCGATGCCGACCACGCAGTGCAGGTAGTAGGGCAGGTCGTTGTACACGTTCTGGCCGTGGGTGGGCGGCACAAACGGCGCGGCGACGAGGTAGATGTTGCTGAGCAGGAAGAGGAGTGCCACCGGCCAGCTGGCGCGGAATGGTGGTGCCCATCCCCATTTGGTCGGGTTGGCGTACAGAATGAGGAGCCCGGCGGCCACGAAGGCGTTGACGATCGAGAGCGGGTAGGAGATGACACTGGATAAGAGGATATGTTAGCTTGGGTTGTTTATCAGTTCACCATCACCGTCAACGTCACCGTCACTGTGAACTTTGAAGTATTCTTCGAAGCATCCTTTGAAGTACTTTCGATGCAACTTAAGATGCACCTCCGATGCACCTTCGATGCGTCCTTCAGAGCAATCTCATGTCAAGAACCAACTTGGGGGTCATCACTTACTTCAAAATGAAATTGTAGGCGTCTCCGGGAGGTGGGGCCAGCATGATGATGACTGACACGAGCCAGTGCTCGAAGAGACCGGCCAGAGGGGCGTTGAAGGGCTTATTGCTGGCCCAGAGGCGCGAGAATGGCAGGATGCCTTCACGGCCAAGTTCCTGGACAACTAAATGACGAACATGTCAGTATGTCTGTGTGGTCTGTGTGGTAGTTGACATAGATCGAACCCCCTCCTCATGCAAAAAAGTAAGGGGAGAGGGAGAAGGAGAAACACTTACGTCGACCTTGGGAAAAAATGACACTTAGAACGTTGCCAAATGCTGACAGCGCCACAAAGACCGACAGCGCTCGTTCGGCACTGCCTCCAAACACGTTGCGGAAGAACGATGCCGCCAGGATTCGTCCCGACGAGATGATCTCCTCTTTGGGCACGGCTGCAAAGTATGAGATCTAGATATGCCGGGTTGATGTCAGTGGTTGGTCGTGGTCGTGCAGAGACAGACAAAGGCGGAACGAGATCAAGAATAACCCTAACCCTAACCCTAATCCTAAGAATTGGGAGCACTCACATTGCACAGCATGTAGATGACCGCCACCGAAATCAACGCGGCTGGTCCTGCAATCCTGATGGTTCGAACGGGATTCTTGGTCTCGCTGAGGGCGTAATTGGCATTGCTATAGCCGATATACGACCAAATGACGTTGTACAAGGCCGTCACGACGCCATACCTAGACATAAGAAGGTTAGCTCCAGTGCCTTGTTGGGACGAAAATGGTAGGAATAGGAGAACGGAGAACAGGTGTCATTGGGGAGGGGACAACAACAAATTCCAAGGTAGAAAAAGGCAAAGAAATGCAAAGGCAAAGAAAGGCCACTCACGCGCTACCTGTAGTTCCCTCAAAGGCATTGTCGAAGTTATGCGGTTTGTCGATCTTGAGCGCACCGCCCAGAGCAGCCTGATGCACATGCGGTCAGAATCAGAACGATATTTGACGGACACCAACAGCTGTTCCTGCTGGATTGGATTTGAACGGAACGGAATGAAACGTACCCAGCCCGCGACGATAATGATAAGCACGATGATGAGCTTGATGCAGCCCAGGAAATTCTGCAGGCGCAGGCCCCATTTCAGCGCGCAACCGTGAATGAGAAAGGCGGCGGTAATGCAGGCCAACCCCACGCCTCGTTGATTCCATCGGTTGACCTCGACCTGGGCTGCGTGGAGAATGTACTCTCCGAAGATGACGGAATTGGAACCGGCCCAGCCTGATTGTTGAGCGCGGTTAGCAAGAGAGGTTTCTTTTCGCATGGTCAAGCCAGAGTCACAGACGTACCCAGTAGAATGACGTATCCCGTGTAGAAGCCGGTGGCCAGGTACTTGGGCCGGCGGTAGACAAATTCGAGGTAGTTCTTTTCGCCGCCGTTTCGCGGGATGCCGGTGCCAAACTCCAAGTACACGGCCATGCCGGCGCCGGCGATGATCATGCCCGCGACCCAGATGAAGAGGGTCAGGCCGACGCTGCCGGATAGGGAGAAGATGGTGCTGGGGGTGGCGAAGATGCCAGTGCCGACCATTCGATTGAAGACGAGGAAGAAGGCCGAGAAGGTGCCGATTTGGCGTTTACTCTGCGATAGAGTGTGCTCAAGGTCTGTGTCGGAGCCTGGCGGAACATCTGGTTAGTTTCACTGGAGTGTGATCTATCGCGCACACGAGAGAGAGAGAGTGTGTGTGAGTGTTTGTGTATGTGCGTATGTAAGGCTGTCTTGTCTTACCATTGTGAACCTCTCGTCCTACGCCAGGTTGCGAGGCGTCTTTGGACAATCCAGCTGATGGAGGAGCATTGCGGGATGAGCGGGTGACCACTGAGCGGATCTTGTCCAGCATCGTGGAGCGACAACAGTGTTATTCAAGTATCAGTATCAGTAGGCAGTGTTTACAGATGCAAAGACAAGGTCTGGTTGTTTGACGGAGAGGCTTTTGTGGGAAAGGCCGCCTGTCCCCAGAATATATACAGGACCTACAAGGTTGGGGTTGGGTTGGCTACTGGCAAAAACTCAGATCGCATGAGGTCGGTGGCTCTGGGGGAGGTTTTTTTCGAGCAGGCCTCGCTCGCATGGTACGATGTAGCATCACCGATGGCTGACATTTGCTTCTGGACATCACTCGCTCCCTGGGCCAGGCTAGAACACCAGGTTTGAGAGGTTGTAAACCAGGATCAGCTGCACAAGTGGAATGACTGGAGACGGGTTGGCGAATAGACGAGGGAGCTTGGGGAGCAGGAGTCCATGCTGACGATGCTGAAGGCTGCTGTCCTGGCCCCCAGCCGTGATCGCGCCATCCTGGGAACATATTTCTCTGACCTCCAGCATGCAAATCTGGCGTCCAAGGTTGCGTCGATTGAGTCATAGAAACTGCTCAAGGCTGCGGCTCTCGCCTGCAAGGGGCGCTGCACGCGTGCCTCGCCTGCGCTGCGGGAGCAACGTCACGGGCATGACGGGCGCTCCGACCATTTGGGGATTGGGATTGACCGTGGCAAACCGAAATGTTACATGTGTTTCATTATTTGTTCTGCTTTTCATGGGTGAGAAATTGCGTGATTGGGAGTGGGAATGATGGACTCGTCTCATAGGAGGAGAGGGTTTTTTATCCCTCGATCCCTCTCTCCCCTTTTTCTCGATCCCACGCCACACTGGATCAGATGTTTGAGTCGACACGGAGCATAATTAACACAATAACAGAGAGATTCAGCCTGGGATTCTTCACAGGGTGTGTGTCTGGTCTTGATAGCACCTCCAGGAAGAAAGTACCGTCACGTGAAACCGTTGATCTGGATGAAGTACTCAAGCGGCCAATCGCGGCGCCGTACAGTCACGTGCTGCTCGGTGCCGAGAAGGGATTAGTCGTAGTCGGGGGCCTTACTATTCTTGATCTAGTGTTCTTGGCGGGGTTCTCTCTCCTTTAGGTAGTCTCCGTACAGAGTATCCGGACTCCATACGATACTGTTACATAGTCCACTGGCAATCCCCACTGCGCTGCGCTGCCTGCGCTGCTGCCTTGCCTGCGCTGCCTGCACTGGCACTGCATATTGCACAAGGCTGACGGCAAGATTGACATTGACATCAAGGAGCATCCACTGTACGAAGTAGTCGCCCGGTCTGACGATGTGACCATGACTTACGCCTTGCAACAAACTACCACTAGCTCACCCGGTAGTTGATCATCACTACGAGACTACTCTGAACCGAGACAAATCACAGACCACAGTCCACAGAGTACCCTATACACTGTCCAGCAGTACAGAGTACAAGTCAGAGCAGTTCTCAGCGCCTGCTCCGAAAATCCTCGTCCCTGACCACCTCCCTCCCCTAAGATACTTTGGTATGCCACCACAGATGGTACCCTTTTCCAATATCGTCCATGCGCCCCGGAGGAAGCGCCTCCTAGTCTAAGCAGTACTTCATGTGGGCATGATCGATGTCCCTGCCGCACATGTCGCTCCGATTCCTTGGCCGTCCAGTACCTCCGCAGGGCAGCACACAGTGGGCCAAGTGGAACTGCTCGTCCCATGGCACGGCGATCTAAAAAGACCCCAGCCACGACGGCCGGAGAAGGAAGATGGAGCCGACGGCCATCACCATAACCATCGAGATCAGCACTGTTGTAAGGACCGTCATCATGGTTTTCAATCTTCGATTTTTGATTTTCGACTCCTTGCTTCGCTCCTGTCGCTGTTGCTGACAGCGAGAGAAGAGCCAACAGGGGCTTTTCCACGTCCGATTTCTCGTTGATGATGTCAATATCCGAGGCGTGATTGTCTATTATCGTACTTGTATCATCTTTCCTGCGTCGATCTCTAACCTCTAACGCAACCAAGAATGTCGGCCTCTCGTATGCGACCAGCGTTGTCCGTCAGCACCGACAAACCGTGTGGGTGAGAACAGCTGTGTATGATGGGTATTGTCAGGGCTTGTCGAATGATGACTGCTTCTCTTTTTGGACCTTGGAGAGGTCAATGTGGCAGACCGACTCTCGCGAGATGGCTTACTTCAGCGTTGCCCGACCAGCATTCTTGCAGCGCTTGTAGGCCAAAGACGTCGAAGCGGCATTGTGCGACATCAATGACGAGAGGTATCTGGATAGATGTACATGTACATGGGCTAGCAGTGTCCAGTGGCTACATGTCAGAGCTGTCGAATGTGGTGAGCCATGAACCAGGATTACGGTATCTAGCCACTCCGAGGTATCTCACGACCAGTGACTGCACCTACGGTATTAACCAAGAGCTCGAGGCCAGCACAAGACGCCCACGCCGCCATCACGGCTGCAGATCGGTGTGCCTGAGATGTAGGCCAAGCCTGACGCTGACGATGCCCAGAGACAAGACTGCGGCCAAGCCAGATGTGCAGGTCTAAGGCTAGGGCGATAGTATCACTCCTACTCGTCGTATTCGGACTCGTAGGCGAAAGCGAAGAAGTTGGAGTCGGTTCTGAAGAAGTCGGTTCCGAAGAAATCAGATGTTGTTGTGTGTTGTTGTCGTCGTTGTGAGGAAGTGAGATGCTGTGACGAACCAGTAGTCCAGACTGTGCTGGTGCTGACCCTGGCGCTAGTCGTGTCTCTGTCCCAGATCCTTAGTCACGGCGAACCACAGCCGAACGAGCATGTCATGCCCATCCCATGCGTACATATCCACTCCACCAGACCTGCAGGGCCCAAGGACCATGGTCGTCCCGGTCGCCAGCTAGTAGGGTTTCGTTGAGATCTGTCCCAGCTCCAGCTCCAGCTCCAGCTTCTTCCGCTTGTCGAACAGATACAGCGAGCAACCGAAGCCGGCGACCACGAGGACCAAGCTGGTGAGGCCAAACCCGCCAAATACGTAGTAATGCGGGATGCCAAAGCCAGAGAACCAGTGAGCCCGAGCCTGAACCTGAGCCTGAGTCCAGACCGGGACTTGGGATCCTGAGCTAACCCAGCCCAACTCCAATCGTGCTGGTGGTGGTCTTAGCCGACTTAGGGACCTGGACCCGAGTTTGAGCCTTAGTCCAGATGGTGTACAGTAGATGGCCGATGGCAACATCCAGCCCATAAAAGGCACACGACAGACAGGATCAGACCATGCCATGCCACCCCCCTCACACCACTGCCACTGCCACTACCACTGCCACTACTACCACCACTCCCAGTTCTTGGTGCTGCCGCTGCCACCGACGCTGCCACTGACGCCGAAGTGTCTGTTCGTGGAACATCTTGTTCCATTTTCCCCGATTTCCTCCTAGCATCTCAGGCTGAGTTGGCGGCAAGAGCAGGAGCAACGGCAGCGGCAGCGGCAGCAGGTGTAGGTGTAGGTGTAGGTGTAGTTCTAGTTCTAGGTCTAGGTCTTCTTCTTATTCTCGGTGCGGACGATGGCGACGACACCAAGACCAATGTCGACATAAAACACGTCGTGCAGCTGGTGACTTCCCAGATGGACGTTATTATTGTCTGGGTCGGGGTGTCCAGCGTGCCAAAGTGTTGCTGCTGGCCCAGATCCAGGGCTGAGCAGCACTACTGAACTCTAGTTCTGAGGTCCTTTTCCTTTCCATTGCCGTTGCTATTGCCCTTGCCGTATCCCGTCCATCGGTCGCATGAACGCCATACGAGCACGACTTTGCGGTTTGGAGGAAGAGGGATTTTTTCTTTTACGATGCTGTGGCGCGTAGAATCTCGACCTCGACATTCATGCTGGTGTTGCAGTACGGAGTATACAGTACCTAAGGTATACAGAGTACAGATCAATACTTGTATCCGTACTCTGTATCCGTACTCCGTACTCCGTAGGTACCTTAGTAAGGTACCCCGTATCCAGTATCCCGTATACGGGCGGATACACGTCGTATAGTCGGTGTAGACAGGAGGCAGGAGACGACCACAACCAAGTCCAGGTGTCTACGATAGCATCTTGACAGTATAAAGCAAGACTGCAATATTGTGACACCTTAGTCCTAGTACTACACCCAATACCTTGAGCATTTGATACTTCCATTAGTTGAATCTAGCTCTACAGAAAGTAGTTGGGTAGTCAATTATCCGTGGCCCATGGCGAGGCTGGGACCCCTGAATCCACCCGACAATCGCATCATATCAGCTCTTCTCTTCTAAATCATCACCTATGACTATATAGCTACTTCTAGTAGCTAAGATAAGATAAGGACGATGGTGAAAATAGTCATAGTGGCCGGCCCATGACTTGTCCTCTCGCAGCTGAGATTGTCAAACTTGGGCGCATCCCCAGCCTTGTTCTTTAACCAGAAGGCTGGCTTAAGCATGGCATACTCCGTACTATACTACTAGATAGTCTGCGATCTCCCTGCGACTCTTTGGTAGAGAACATGGAACAATTCAACCTTTGACAGAGATCCCTATTGTGAAAATAGTAATAGTGGCCGCCCATCACCACTCACATCCTCTCGCAGCTGAGATGCCCAATGTTGAACATTATCACCAACTCCCGATACTGTTGCCGCTTGCTAAACAGACCCATATATTGCGAAGTATGAGCCCAGCTAAGGGCGAGTTTATTAGCCATGGGCTCCCTGTTCGTGACCGTCGCTTGCAGGTTCTCCCACGTACAGACAGTGTTGCCGGTGAAAGATGCCTGTCGTGTAGATCAGTGGGATATCCCCCGAGTACAGGTCCGCGCGGCTCACGGACTGCTGACGCTCTCGGTCGTGGAACAATTCAAACGTCTCGTATGGGCGATGTCTCTCGGCCAAGGTACTGTTGGAGCATGGGCCCAGCGTACGACATGACGTCGAATTGGCAGCCTAGAGATCTGGCCTCGGAGGCGGACTGGCCACAGTGGTGGGAAAGTGGTGTGTCTGTTGGGAGAGGAAGGTCTGGGATGCTGTTGGTATTGACTCCAATGACTGAATGAAGTGGGTTGCTGTTGCTATAGCGGGCTGAATGATATGGTTTGCTGTTGCTATCACCCGCTGAATGATATGGTCTGCTACTGTCATCAACGACCACCCTGACACTAAGAACCAGGATGGCCACCATGGAGAGCATGCCGGCGGCAGTATAGACTCCTCTCCGCACGGAAGGTTTCCATCCGCCTCTTGGATAGGGAGACAGAGACGAAGACGAAGATGAAGATTGGATCCATTCTCCTGTTGGGTAAGGAGATGGAGATGGAGGTGGAGGTGGAGGTGGAGACGCAGATTGGGTCGAGTTCTGGCTGTAGGCGAAGAGCAGTGGTGCCATGCTGGCCGGTGGATGCCCATTCAAGATCTTCATCTCTTTTCTCACGTACTTTGTCTTCGTCTTCATCTCTTTTTCATGTACTTTGTCTTCATCTTCATCCCCCTTCTCTTGTGGTCTGTCTTCATCTCCCTTCTCTGGCATTTCGTCGTCTACAATATCGTAATCATGGTGTCCGTGCCGCCATCTCCCCAATAAGTCAAAGGGCTGTAATAATCCATTCATTCGGTATTCGAGTTACAGGATCATGTCCTGTCCAGCAAATTTGATTCGATCGCAGATCTGGGAAGCTGTATGGACTGAACTTGACTCCAACATCTGGCATGGTCTCCTGGAGGACTGGATCACTCCTACCATAGAAATCACCACGTATGGACGACGTGTGTGTGTGCAACATTCCAGTATGTACACGTAAAAGATGATGTGGTGTATCCTTCTCAAGATTGTAATGTGGTTTGTGTAGCTCAGCATATCGTAATCGTAACCCAGGCTTAAGTCTGCCATGTCCTTGGCCTTTTCCTTTCCTATTCTTTTCGAAGTTGGTTGGCTTGCTTCTGGGAGTCAATCAGTCTCAGCTGTGGCATTTTCTTCTCAAAAGAATCCAACCAGCCCTCGGAATTTTTGCGCTGGGGATGGTCCTTGTCAAATACCCGTTTGCTGATCTCCACGACATCTCTCATCATCCGCGAAGCCTCCAAGTGCTGGCCGAGGTCCCATAACATGTTAGCTAATACATGTTTCGATATCAGTCGGGATGGATGATCCTCCGCTAGTATCTGTTC